AAACGTAGCTTTGCAGAGTCATTAAAACCACACTGAAAAAAATTAGGACCGTTCTAACAACCTGACTGCAGTGGAATCATCTTTTCCAGGATCTTTTTGGAAGTTTTTGGCCACAGTCGCTTTATTGTCCTCCTCAATTCGTTGTCGGCGTAGGCTGGGTCCCCTGTGCTAAATATTCCAAGAGCTGTTCTAATGAGTGCGAATAAGGTTGAAGTGAACAGCACAGTGTTGTCCCCCATGATCGGCATGTTCATCTTAATAAGGCGCTGTAAGAAACAATGAAACAGCTTATACAGATCAACCTACACTTATTAAATTTAGACGGAAACGTCGGCATCATCCTTTGTAAACAAAAAATAAAGGATCAAAAGTTAGATTATTAAATTGAGATTTCTACCGCGAGTATTAAAATTAAACTATTATATCTGCACTGAGAAAATTGAGAAACAAATACCTTATATGCAATAAACTTGGGACACTTCCGCCCGAATCCGACCGGGGGGGACATGTCACACATCAAGCGATAAACCTCAGTATGTGGTATCCGTCCCCTGAGATGAAAAAAAAATTTAGCTTTATTTAAGGTGGTCTGAATCCGAGCTGTAGAAATTACAAAACAGAAAGATCTATTGGCTACATGTATGTCCTTACGTGGCACCAGGATCGTACTCAGACCAGACTCTGACAAACTCATCTAGATGATGAGGGCCAAGAATCGACTCGTCACGTGTCAGATACTCGAAGTTGTCCATGATGACTGCTACAAAAAGATTTAACATCTGAAAGACAAAACATCGCAGATGTAAGACTCTGTAAAGTTAAATGGTTGGCTGAAAATTGTAAAAGAGATTTGTTCTTGATCAAAAGGAAACAGACGCAAGAAATTTCTACTTAACGAAAAAAAAAACATTTGAAGTGCACGAAAAGACTGAGTTTGAATGGATTGGATTTTAGCGGTGGCAGATCAACAAAATAGTTCTTTCCTCGCTGTTTCCAAGTGAAATTGGAATTGTGTTGTTTTTGGTCATTGAGGAAACCATGAACTATGATAAACGCTCTCGGATGCGGGATGAGAGCTATCAGCAAACTCAGGACACATGTCATACCAGGTAGGGGAATCAAAACCGTGGGTCACAACTGTAGGGGATAGTCGCTTTTAGCGTGACAGGGCAATCCTTACCAACCAAACATCAAATGCAGACTTTGACTGTATATCATAATGGCACTTCATAAAGAACAACTGAGAAAAATTTACTGATACAAGTAATGGACTCCTGTGCAAATCTAGAAGTAAAACCACGAAGACTTGGGAGTCGGCGACGTTTTTAAAGTCTTTGTTCATGTAAAGTAAATTGGTTTCTTGTTATAGTTATATCCTGAAGGTTATTCATTGTACTTACCAGAAACGTGCAAAAGAAGTAAAAAGTGCAGAAGTAGATTACTGATGCAACAGTGCTGCCGCATGTTTTGTTTTCATCAGAATCACACTTGGCATCGTCAAAACAATGTAACATTATTTTATGCCAGTTCTCGCCTGTGGATGCTCTGTAACGATAAGAACACGGATGCTAGCGTGATAGAAATGAATTGTCTTATTTCTAACGTCGGGTTTGAAAACAGCCCTCTTACCGCTAGTATCTGTACTTGGAAGTGTGGCTTTTGCGCGATAATAAAATGGGGATAGACACAGAAAGCGCTTACCTTGTCTAAATTGCTTCTCGCCCGAAATGATAATTATTTACAAACCTGAATAAAACTTGAAGAGCCATGAGGAAACTCCTGAAATTATTATGGTGGTTGATTTGCCTGCTCCAGTCGTCACTCAAACGAATTCTACCAAATAACTTAAACAGAAAGAATGGAATTATCCAATCATAATTTGGTTAGTCTTTTAATTATTCGCTTAACTAATCAAAATCTGCTCAGGATCTACAACAGGCGGATCTTTTATGCGCCATCCAGCCGATACTACTTCCTTCAAAGCTGAAGGGATTTCCCATTTGAGTGCTCTTATTCAAACCAGCTTTGCTGCTACCGCGAAGCTTGCAATTACATGTCAGGAAAGGAATAAATCAGCGCTGGGAGATCCCGCAGACCATACATTGAGACACGAATTCAAGCACACCGACAGACTAAGGGCTCATGTTCCCAGGGTGCCCACTTCACCCTATACGTAATAAAGTATGATGATAAAAACACTGTTTTAACGTTACCTGCATCCCAATAACAGCATAGACGAAAAACAACATGCCGATTAAGATTACCACGTATGGGAGAGCCTAAAATTAATAAATGAAATGACTCATGAAAATTGATAACTTAAGTACGGTAAAAACACTAACATGCTAGTGCGGTACATTAGGTGAAGAGGGCATGAAATCAGCGACACAACTGAATTACCTTGAAGGACTGAAGAAAGGTCCATAGCAGTATCCTTATAGTGTAACCTTGCCTGAGCAGTTTTACCAGCCGTGCAGCTCGAAAAAGTCGGAAAAAACTCGGGTCTATCGGGAGTGCATTGTTGTCCTCTTTCGACTTATGAGGAAAAGTAAAAAATGAAACGATATAATTTGCTGAGGTGCGTTAGTAAAAAGAAAGAGTCCGCATAGACTGGTGGAAAATATATCAAAACACGCAAATATCGTGACAGTGAGACACAGGAATCCTTATGTTATTAAGATAAATTGTTTTGAAATGACATAAAAAAACCAAATGTGATATGAATTAAATTTATTTCTACTTACATTGGTGAACTCTAGGATCACTTCGACCAAAGTTGTGATTCCAATGATGAAGTCAAACACATTCCAGAAATCCCGGAAGTAATTCTGAAAATGATTACAAATAGATATTTAGCGTGTTTAACTGAATGAGAGACGAATTCATGTAAAAGTAATACTCAAAGCTTTCTCTCTCTCTGAGTAATCTTGAAGATTTATCATTTTTTTGTTATTATATCTTCCACTTAGTACGTGCCCTATGTTTGGTCAATTTAGCGATTGTATTTCACTGTGCTAAATTCAAAAGTTTGTTGGAGTTGGAACATTTCCCTCAAATTGAACCCAGTGATTTAATAAATATCGCACTAACCTCGTTTTCCGGTCCCTACTGAAAGTTACGGAGCCTCGTTTTTTTCCGTTCGAATTCATGGCCCGTTTGCTTATTTTTTCTGCTCGTATTTATGGCCCGTATGCTTCGCATACGGGCCATAAAGCCGACAGGAAAAAACTCGATCTGTAACTTATAGGATGGAGCTCGAACTCGGTCAGCTAAAGGGCAACCAAAAGAAACTGGGCAGTGTGCGGAATGAGGATGACGTGCGAGATGTATGGCAAAGTGTCGTTTATATTTGCCCATCGTTAGACGAAGTAAGGAATGCAATGATGTTCTTAACCTGAATTTTCTTATGAGAAATAAAATGCAACGGAGGAAGGTTTTAAGTGAGCCATTCTCACCTGTCTAAATGCTATTAACTTCAAAATAGCTTCTAACATGAATACAAATGTGAATGCATTGTTCAAGTAGTTGAGGACCTTCTCATATCCAGGACTAGCGCCATCATACTGCAGAGAGATACACAATGCAAAGAGGCAAGTGTGGTAAATAATTTGTGGGCGTGGCCAAGGAGTCATTAAAGGGTTCATTTGGTCACCACTTCCTTCATCGTCAAGGAAAGAAATAATTAGTAATAAAGCGACCTGATACACCTTTTAGTTTGTGAAGCTAATAACAATAATTAAAAATTAAGTAACCACAACCCCAATGCGTCTTTTTAGGGCCGTACAAACAATTTGTAAAGAAACAACATGTTAATAAATATAGTGTTTAAAAATCCCAACTGGCCGGAAACAGACCAGTTGGCTATTTTCAAAGAGCAGTTAAATCCAAGGTGTATCAGGGTGGGGGGTTTGAACCCAGGACCACCGGAAGAGAAGTCCAGTGCTCTTAACCGCTCGGCTACACCGGCCGCACTGGCCACACAAAGGGGCTGCGAAATCAGGGCGCGGCGAGGTCGTAGGTCCTCTTCTAGCTTGGTTGGCCGCCACTTTCATTTTATTAGAGCATGTAACGCTGGGTAAAGCTCCTCAAATGCTTTTATGGTGCCTATGTAGCAGCACCCCTCCAAGTCTTACAGAAAAAAAGCTGACCCTACCGCTATAGGACTGAGAAATTTACCAATCGTACATCCAGAGGTTATATTTTTCAATTATCAATTAGGAAAGAAGAACATTTATCAAAATTTGAAGTTGAAAACTAATTATCTTTAAAACTTGCACTTCACTTCTGTTACACAGCGGAAATATTGAGTAGTGTGAGATATATCAGCTTGCTTGATATGAATCTCTTACCGAGACCATAAGAACTATCGCGTTGAGGACAATCGTGGTCATGATCAGAATCTCGAATGGTTTGGAATCCACAACTTTCCATACTTTATAAAAGCACGTGCTTCTGTTTTCTGGCATGTAGCGTTGTCTTGGTTTAGCTGTCATTGCAAACTGAATGCAGTCTCGCTGGAAAGCGATAAAGATAGAGGAGATGAATGATAACTTTATTTTAATCTTTTGTACCTTCACTTAGTACTTTTATGATTATTTGCCAAGCTGTTCTGAGTGGTGCCAACAAAAAAAAATTGTTTATCAAAGAATGGCATCCTTAATTGGCGATAATTTTGTTTATTCTCAGGACCCTAATGTAATGATGTGAGGAAAGATAAGATGCTACTTTCTCCTAACACTGTTGTTTAGAGTAAATAAACCTTTGACAACTTCGAAAAAATGCCTTTTTCGGCTTAACGATGAAACGACCAGTACTTGTCATTGTCTAACATAGGACACTAGTGTTCAAAATCGGACATTAGCATTCGTGTGAAAGGGCTACCCCTTAAACTCACATGAGTGACCAAGAAAGAATTACTCTTTACAATATAAATACAATATCAAGTTAAAAAGTGAAGCGGATAAACAATGGGGGATTATCAGTTGATACGATATCAAATTCTCCAAACTTACATCATGAGAACTGTATCGTCGACAGTAAAGAGAATTACTAACGAGATCTTGGGAGTGAAAGTGTTAAAACTAAACGGGGATTACCTGATTCCTATCGAGCTCACAGCCGTCCATCTCCTTCTCACCTTGTTCTTGGAAAGTGACGATAATTAAAGCTACGAACATGTTCAAGAAGAAGAAAGAAAAAACGACAACGAAGCAGACATAGTACAAGGACATCTGTATCTGGTAGTCTTTGATTGGCCCACGATCCTCCTTCGTCGCGTCAATAGTATTAGACATGCCTCTGTAAAGGGAAAGAAAGGTCCCGTTTACTCGAGGGGTGGATAAAGCAACTCACTGGATAGATCTTTATCCAGTGTATAGTGCAGCAAGGTTTGTCATCACTTATCCGCTGGATAGCGATAAATCCTTTGATTATCCGCCCTTTGAATATCTGAAGATTATGCAAATCCAATTGAATTTGATGGACTGTTTCTTCTTCTCTTTTTGCTTATTCCTCATTTCAAGCAATCAGTTCAGCAACTTTAGCCAAAACTCCATTTTTTCATTAATTTGTACACCTCATTCGATGATATAACAAATGATAAGAGCGGTCGAGTGACACGACAGAACTACAGGAAGCTCTACAGGAAAAGAAACTTACTGAGGCCACCCCTCCCCGGTGGAGGAAGAAAACAGAGCCAACATGGCGTTGGGCACGTTGTCAAAGTGAAACTTGTGTTTCATCCACTCTCTTGGTGAAACCTGTATTAAAAGAATATATGCCGGCACATAAACAGTTATGAGCCCAAAGTAAGACCATTTATCTGCCAGGGGCAAGGTGTGAATAACTATTTCTCCTCTAGATCGAAGAAAAGAGCAAGTCAGACATGAGATAATAAGAGTTGATTCATGATATTTGGATTAGGTAACAACTTTGCTTTAAGAACAGCTGACGCCAGGTTTCCAGATTTCGGGATGGTTGTCTGAATGCCTACATTAACATCAAACTGATAATGAACTGTTAGCCATGTTTTTTGACATACACACCGACGCAACAAAACAATTTGATAACTTTGTTTATAAAATTTCTAAGAAGCTATCTTAGCTATCCACGAATGTCTTTGTTCACAAAAAAGCTAGTTAGAGACTGAAATAATATCATTTTGATAAATTACCTCAAAATTCTTCAGACCAATTTTACTGTTTAGACCCAAATTGTACTTGAAATAGTTTCCTCTGCAAAAGAAACAAATTAACCATACAAGGTAAAACCAATTACCCCGAAAGTAAAAAGAGAACAAATCATTTTAAATTAAAGCATTTCAGATGGTATTGCGTTGCAAATATAATTTGAAAAGCACTTAAAGCCGCAAAGCTCAACCTGTGTGCGACTGTAAAAAAAGTGACGAGGAGAAGGATAAGGAACAAAAACTGTTGAAACGAGTTTGTAGAAGAAATAATGGCATGGTACGAGAAGATCACTGACAAATAGACACCAACATTCAAGATATGTACTCTTTGACAAAGTAAAAGAAAATTAATCTTTGGAGCAGTTTACCCTATATGATTAGCGTGTAACTTTAGAAGGAGGTGCACCGATAACAACACGGTAAATACTCACTGACAAGTTTCACGTGTCATCTTGGAGCGATCCGTGCAGTACCAGAATTTCCCCTAAAGGAACAAAAAAGGTCACCACTGACGTGCTTTGAACCAAGAGGGGACCAAACGAGCATACTTCTGAAATACCTTCGATAGGCCCTAGTTCAAAAATGGTTGCACTCAAGTCTGTTTTAGACCCGACCTCTGATGCCGCGGGAACAATGGTAATTAGAATCTTGGCGAGTGTCCTGGGTTGTTTACGTTTTGCTGGGCAATAGATCGATGCCTCATTGGCATCTCGTCAGAAACGTTCATGACACGTTCTTTTAAACCTCAGGGATTTCCCTAATCATATTTGATCTAATTAAAACTTAAGACAGGGACTAATTAACTATAATACCATAACTATTTTAGTTTCTTGGTTAAAAATCGTAGTGCAGACGTTACTGTTAAAATGAAAGCAGAAATTTAGAAAATTGCAAATGCGATGATTTTTTAGGTAAAACAAGTGTACGAGTTGGTTTTTTAAACCTTACCTTGAACAGTTGCACGCCAACCACAGCAAAAATGAAGTAAAACAGTAATGTGATGAGGAGGATGTTGCGGACATTCTTTAGCGAGTACATCATACACTCAAAAACAGCCTGAAAATTGTAATAAGTATTTAGCCAGGCCTCATACGTTGTCTCCTTTATGAACTTATGTGAGGAACAGCCGCTCCATTTAATAAAACGCTTTTCAAAAGCTATTTGAACTATGTGGTTCTATTACTTAGGCTAAAACAGCGACTTCCTAAAGCAGACGAAACTTTCAAGAACAACATATTTTCCCGAATCGGAACATAGTTAGTTGTTAGATTTTAAATTTATTTGGCTAAAATTGACCGTATTTCAAACAAAAACCAAAATTATCATTGTTTCTTGTAAGTCGTGTATGGATCCCTTAAAGAAAAAAAAAGGAAAAACAACACAAACCTTCAGTTTCTTTGACTTGTTAATGGCCTTCAAGGGTCTGAGCACTCGCAAAACACGAAAAGATTTGATAGCGTCTTTTTGTAAGTTATCTCGACCACTGCTTCTAATGCTGAAAAAAGAAAAATATACTATACAATTTATAAAGGCCGCTTTCAAGCAGTTACAAAGCACAGTGGAAGGTTTCGCTTTAATCCTTAAATAAGGAATGGGACGTTGTGGAGACTTTTACTGCAGAGCTTCGGAATCTCCAGTGACGCCCGTAAAGCTGAGTTGCAAAACCGAAAAATTAGATTTCTCCCTCAATAACAACCCTTTTAAGTTTGAAAGGCGTAGGGACAAATTGCATGCATGACTACAAGATAATGCCGTAATAATCCACTGATATTGGATCCAATTTTAAAGAAGGAAGCAAATTCTTACTCCAACAGCAAGGCAGCGATGTTACAGGCTACTACGAAGGCATCGATTATATTCCAACCACTCCTCAAGTAAGATCCTTTGTGAAGGATTACTCCAAGGTCGACCATCTGTGGGAAGGAATTTAGAAGTGGTAGGACTTACAATAAAAACATTTATTAGACAAACATATATCAACTACCTAGCAATCAGTGTCAGTTGCTGCGACGAAAGGTTAACGCTCAAAACGTCAACTTTTCAAACTTTCGACTGTCAATTTTCATTATGAACTCAGTTGAAGAAACCTATTGTCATGCAGTACTCCCCACCGACGCAGCACCTTAGAACTTTACCCCCTTTAGGTACCAACTAATTTTGCTTTTATCATTTGATCTTCAGAGAAAACGGTAGAGAATTTGAAAAAAGATAATCTTGCAGCTCTTAAGATATACGCTGTACCACTGCTCATTAATTTCTTTCATCGCCTTGGTTTTCAGGTGTAACCTTCATTACCTTAACGAGAACTTCTAGAGCGAAAATCCCAGTGATTCCATAGTCAAAATACCGGATCACCTGTCAAAATAAAATGTAGACTGATTTGCAATATTTTTCCCTTTAGAGCTAGAGGGTATTCAAAGAATATCACGTGACTTACACACCTTGTTTCTCGGTGCGTCTGGGTCGACTGGGTCTTCCACTGCTAACAAAACGCTGCTGACTAAAATGACTGCCAGAATGAAGTCATCGAAATATCGGAGATTGACTACCCAATGGCAAGCTTGGCGAATACTGAAATTCATTACAAAAGGTGAGATATCAAAAAATAACGTCCTGAAATTTGAATCTTTGGGTAGATGTGGACTTTGTCATCACGGCGCCTTACTTCTAGGAAGTCCGTATAGCGAGTGGTTTCTGCAAGAGAGTGTACCTCATCCTCTCTTGTTTTCCATCTTACTGGAGGTGGTTTGGACTTATCATATTGCACCATCCGTTTCCGAAGAATGGCATTCACCCTCACGGTTTTTATCTTAATCTACTTGACGGATCATCTCCAGCAAAGGAGAGGAGAGCGAGCACGTCAATTTCCACCCATGAAAAATCAAACGTGCGTCGCAATGAGTTAATCAGAAAAACGTGCCCGTCATTTTAAAATAACAGCCACAAAGCCAAAATGCTGTAAAGAGGGCTGTATACTTCTAAAGCCTTGGACATTATCTAATCAACTGAGGCTGGATCAATTGTCAGTTACAGGTGACTGTGTAAGTTGCTTCATTACGGATTGTGATTGCCTAAAACAACGGGATGTAGAGATTCATTCGCAACCCTGCGAGCAGAATTCATTCTTATAACTTTCTTTTCCCTTGAAAAAAAACATAATAACAAATGTGGATAGTTTGTATGATACTCACGGATTATCAGGACCAAAAATAAACATGGAACTCTTTCGTATGATTGGTACATTTTTGTGCACGTTACGCCTCCGTATGATTCTTCCCGCATCACGCAAGCTGAGCAACGTCCTTCGAGGCACGGTTTGCTCTGAAAGATGCAACACGATTTAATTTTCTCATTATTTCTCATTGACAGGAAAAGTGAAGAAAGGAATATTTAAAGGATTAAACCAACGGAGCCTGGGGAACTTGAGACGACCTTATTCGGAAAAAAAGGAAAGAAAAATATAGGAAAAGAAAAAAACTTTGTAGAGCCAGTGTTTTCAAGCGGCATGGAGCACTTAATTTGAAATATTGAGATGCTCAGTTCAAACCCTCCTTTCTGCCACTCAGCTGGACCTTTCTTCGCCTGGCTCCTATGTTGCCTAAAAAAGCCAATCAGTTGCCTCCCCACCATAAGGGCTTTTCAGTGATTTGCTCACTTTTTTCATTATTCATTTACAGTGCCCCAGACTTGCAAGGAGGTGCCAAATATAGCCATTCTTAAAATGTATTTATTTCTCCCTCATAGTACTTCCTCATTCCTAGAGCAGAGGATCTCTCCTTGCACAGATCAGACAGTGGTGGAGGTAGGGTGATGGATTCCTTAAGAAAGAGCTGTCAGTATCGTGGGGTAATTTACTACTTGTCTAAAACCAAACCTTTTACAATAAGATTAAATATGACTTCTCAACTTGAAGTTTCGAAAATGTACTCATCTTAAAGCAGTTTATTTGGCACAATTAACCAAAAAAGAGAAAGAAAAAATCATGCAAAGAAAAAAGATATAAATAAATGTACAAAAGGAATTAAAAAAAATTGTGTTCTATGAGTCAAATCTCCCCCTCATTCTATCAAAAATTCCTGGATCCAACCGGTCCACCCCGCCCCAGGTGTTTTCCTTACCTGCCATATCTCCCTCTTCATCCCTGTCTGTATTTCCTTTTTCCCTTGAGTTACCGTTTAAAAAATTTCCGTTTGATGCTCCAAGGCAGCCGTTCCCATCCTGAGAAATCTTCACCTGGTGAAGCAAACGTAGAAATTGAAGAATAAGAAAGTAATTTAATTGAACATTTTTTCATTTTTGTGAAGCTTAATGTCAACAAATTCAATAAAATCCAAGCTGCCCCACCCTTAACGCAGACTTCTTGTTCCATCGTGCGCCTCTGAAATGGAAATTTGGAGAAGCATCAAGAAATGGAAAAAAGAGTGATCATCTTTCCAAGTTATCAAACTAAATTGCTATAGTATGATACAAAGGCTGGTCGTGAAAGTCTTGTCTGACATGTCACAACCATCGAAACTTACTCAAAATGGCCCTGATCAGGTAAATTTGGAACACGCCTTTGCACTCTCACTAAAACTCTTTTTGGTTATAAAAACTGGCGCCCCGCCTTGAGTAGTGCAGTTTTTACCATAAAAAACGATGCTTTTCAAAAGTGCTGCAGTGAAAAAGAATAAACAGATAATATGGTGCTTCCTCCCAACCGCGTATCGCTCTTGGTAGAAGCGTCGCATGACATTCAAAGCACCGCTGTGAACGAGACTAACATACATGCCATCGGTCGCAGTTTACCTTTGACCACTGATCTAAAACAGAGGGAATGATTAGTGCAGCCTCAAATATTGAACACAACAAGGCCGAAGCCTGAGTTTGGTTCTCAAATTAAGCTAGGCCAGAGTGAAAGAAGGATAGAGCGTTCAAAAGGTGGCATTGCTTCCCTTTGACAGTAAAACCCTGACCGGTGCTTTATCTACACGCAATCGTAGAGGGAAGCATCATGGTTGTTTGTTTTTCTTTTAATCAAAGGTTCTTTTAGTGAGCATTGCTTACCTTGGAGAAACATGATCCAAAGACGGATATACTGGCTTCATGTTGCGAAATGGATTGTCGTTGTCGTTCTTATTATGGCTGATTTTTCCTAATCCTATAAGGACGGGGATCGTTCGGGCCTTGGCCCACCCGTCTCTACGTTTTTCCATTCGTTTCTTCCTCATAGCCTCCAGCTGTAGTTGCTCTTCCTTTTCATCTTGCGTTACCGCTTGAGCGTTCGCTAAGTTATCCACTGCTATGGCTAAAAACACGTTTAGTAGCGTGTCTGAGAGAAGCTTGGTTAGGGAAGGTAATTTTGCATGAGTAAAGCGTAGCACATGGAGAAAATTTTGTTACAGTGCTCGGTGTTTGACATCCCTTGATGTGGGTTATCAGTCGAATATAAATAACTGAAAGAAAGCTAGCAGTGGTACATCCACGGAGTGTTTCTTCGACCATTGAATTCCAGGTCTAAATGGGAGGCTAGTTTTTTTATTTTTATCACAATATAAATCATTTGATGGCTTTGCATATTAATTTGTACAGTTAAGGATACAATTCCCAAGTATAACCAGAGAAACAAAGTACAAAGATGACAATATTCCCCAGATCTTATGCGGGCCTCCTGATGCAACTATCCCATCATTCATAACAGTATTCCAATCTTCTCCCGTCATAATCTGAAATTATGAGAACAAGAAAATCGAGCTCAGTGAACAGGAAGGTTTTACGTTGTTGAATGCACATTAACTATGTATGTCAGGTAAAAGAAATTATCTCATATTAACCTGAAAAACAGCTAACATGGCTTTCAAGAAGTTGTCAAAGTTGGTGTGCGGAGCGTCGTGACGTTCACTGAACCTGTGAATCAAAACATGATTTGTCAGGAGCTGTCAATCAAAACAAAACATTACGTTATCATATTAATGAAACAAGAAACCCATTCAACCTTAGTACTGCGTTCCTTAACTACAACATCAGTTGTTGCTTTCGTTATTTAAAATTTAGACCTAAAGAGCCATCTTTACTTGGAAGGTTGTTTGCTCTTGTCACTATCGCGGGACAGAGAGAAAATGAGTACTGCGAAAGGATTAGGATCTTTTTGGTCGCTCTTTCAAATTGGGTTTCAATGCACGAGCTCATATCCGCTAGACCCGTTGGTATCGATTGTACGAAAGGACTCTGGCCTCAGCCAGTTCCGTCAGTTGTCCTACCAACTAGGTTACCAAACAAGATTTATTTGTAAGTGGCGTCCCAGATATTGTCAAGATTAGCAGTGGTCTCACTGCTCACCAACAAAGTATCTGTGGTCAGGACACCAATCGTTTTCAGTGGGTAGGGCATCCAATGTCGAGATCGGAACTGCAAGGAAGACTAAGATTTCCTACAATCGTTGCAAAATGTTGAAAAAGTCGAGCTTAAAATGTACCCTTTTCCTTCCTTATTTGACTTACTTTCCTCCAAAGAGCTGCATTCCAAGAAGAGCGAATATAAAGATGAACAAGAGAAGAAGGAAGATGAGACTGAGGATTGATCGCATGCTGTTTAGTAGCGAGGTTACAAAGTTACGCAAAGATGCCCAAAACCTACAACCAGAGAAAAAGGCAAGTAAAACATAATCATGCCAAACAACGCTTTTAGATCGAAAGTGATATATTCAAAACCAAGGAAACAAAGAAAACTCAAACTGAAAACAATCTAAATGCGAAAGCGGAGGAAAATGCGGGTGACGAAATTACGATAGATTAAGAGCCACCCATTGAGCCCTCGGCTTATAATTGTCCTAAGTCTCTCACTCTTAAAATCTGAATACTGATTCTCTCAGTTGCTGTCGATGCATTTCTTTGTTTGTTAAGGGCTTTAACCTGACAATATCCCTGATGAATGATCCGGCTTTTTCCACCTGATTCTCACTACGATTCTGTTCAGCAGTTGTAACTGTAGGGAGTTAAACTACCCGCCGAGAGAGAATTGTCTACGTCACTTTATCGACTTTGAATCTAGTGGTATGGTTTCTTTTCCATGTATGAGCAGGATCCTGAGATAGTTGATGTATGCACGGCTCTGCCAAATTTGAAAGTAATGTGTGTTGCGGCTCACCTTGTAAATTTGAAAATTCTAAGAAGACGAAGACTTCGCAGAACACTGATACCAAAGCTATAACTTGTAATATTTTGTACGACTATCTCGACAATTCCTCCTAGGACAACCTGACGAGAAGAGAAGAGAAGAGGAAAACAGAAGTTCAGTGATTTCAAATGCAGGCACAACGAAGTGACATTGAAAAGCTCGAACTAGGCCCTCTCGATCCTAAGTTATGTGCGCCGACTTTTCAGCAGGCCACGGCGTCTCATGATCTCGCTAAAAAACACGTGACCAAAAATCCCGAGAGCAATGAATTGGGTATCCTTCGGGTTTAGTAACGTAACAAATTTTTCCTATTTTCAGGAGTACTTATTCAATAGACTTTTTCCAGCTTACCGCACAATCAAATCTGTTAAACGCAGACTTGAAGTAAACTCTGGGTCCCAGGCCATACATTTTTAACAACATCTCGGCTATAAATATGCTAAGGAAGACGTACTCTGAAATGGCTGGAAAGACCAAAACACAATGATTACCGTGTATGAAGCAAAAAATGAACTAAAAAGATATAGAACGGAGGTTTGGAATGAGAGACCAGTATAAGAACAAATAAAATTGTACAGGGAGCCAAGGAGATCACAAAGTAAATTAAGCAAACTTCACGAGCGATCGAATCACGATTGATTGTAGGGGTTTAGAGGAAATTTTTCCCACGCTCGAGAACAGCATCTTTCTGTGCTAGACTACTGAGTTTAAAATATACCATCTTCTTAATTCAATATATTCTCACAAAGTTAAGTTTCGAAATTACTAATGCTGGAATTAAAGTGTAAAATGAAAAACCCTCGTGGTCTCGCAAGCTAAGAGCTCAACGAAGAAAGGAAGGGAAAAGAGAGAGTAACGGTCATATGATGAATATGAGAGAAGACAGGCCGGACAGGATAATACTAGTTCTCTTTTATGACGTACGGACCTCACTTCTAGGGTACGTGCGACATGACCTCGAACAAAATATTTTGCCGTCCAGCTCTCTTAGTCAGTAAGTGCATAGTATGTTATCCTTCACCCACCTTGAAATCTCTCCAACCAATCAGGTTGCCCGTAGTGTTCAACAGACATAAGTACAGTGTTGAGGAAAACACAGACAATAACTGACCAATAGAATACTTGACTTTTAACCATTTGACGGACATGGATCCGAAATAGCTTTTCCTTCTTTTTAAGTTTCCGCATTGTGCTGGAACTGCAATGAATCGGAAAGACTAAATCATGGCATTTTCTAAAACTTTTAAACCCTCAGTAGAATGCAAAAGTTCAAGACATTATAGCATAACTCTTCTCTTTCTTTGGTCTCCGAAGTTCGATTTTCGCTTCAAGTTTCGTTTGTATGGCTCGTAACAGTATCCGTACCTTTCAGACCAGTTTTCTGATTTATTTCTGAGATATTTGACCATTTCTCCGTGATCTTCTATCAAATGCATGATGGAGTCTGACAGACTATAACGCTTCTTTAGTGGATCACGTGGACCACCTGCATGGAAAAGGAAGATTGATCAGATTCAGTTCAAGGGGATTTAATTGAGAGAAGTTCTTCCTACTACATAGGTGCATCCTATCGCAGACCAGGCAATGTAAACGAATCAGAACTTGGAACTGAATCACAGGAAATCACAGCTGGTATTTGATAATGCATTAAGCTTATATCGTATGGAAATGATTCTGTCAGCGTAAAGTATGACCTATAACAGTAAACCAAGCTCAATTGGAAGTCACCAGCACATAGTCATCATTTTGTTGTTGTTGATGTCTTCTTAGCTTTACATATATAGTTTACAACAGGGACAGCTCTCTATAATAATCCCATAAACAACGCTCGGCTGTTAACAAACGATTTTTTTCATATATCGATTGTTTTTAAAAAAGCTGCAACAAAACTGTCCCTCTTTTCTTACATGACTTTGAAAAAAAGGTTAAGAAAACATATTCAAAAAAATATTTGCAACACCGCGTACCTCCTCCTACTCCATGTCTCTCTCTTTCCTCTCGTAAAATAATGTCCTCTACAAAAAAGGAAAATATAAGTCCATGATGAATTATAGATACCATGCCTCTTGTTAATTTCACAAAAGTTTGTAGTTTGGTGTTTTGTTAGAGGACTTCTGGAGGTTTGGCCTCACTAGAAGTTCCCCCCTTCCCTCCTGTACGAGTTTGCCACCCTGAAATAAAACAATTTCGCCCCCATCTTAGCCAGTTCGCCCTCAAGTCTTTCGACTCGTTTCCTGACGGCGGAACCTATTGCTATCATAATTTATTTCGATCGTCACGCAATTTCAAAGGAAAAGCTCGATCAACATAAGAATTCTTGGCTACCTTAACTAACGTACGTCTACTGCACCAGCAAAGCCGCTAAATATAGCCGGTCGTTACTTAACTGGTTTGACACTGTTTATTTCAGTAGGACTGTTACAGTTGACGCTCTGTACGTCTCCTCTTAGTAATTGGCAGAAATTGTGACTTAACCAATTCTTTTAATAGCGAACGCAGAGGAAAAATTCTCACCTGCCCTCCCTATCCAGTCTGTGTACGCATTGACTTGTCTTTCTATTTTTTCTCGACTGCGATACTTGAAAAACGTTCGTCGATTTTCGGCTCTTTCTCTCTCTTTTGCAAACTCACTGGAAAGATATGAAACAATAGCATTGTTACTTCACCCTTTGATAGGGATTTTTAAAGCAGAGAACCTATAGAACTTGCGACTATGCTTGCAAGATATACGTTAGGTTACGGTTAATTAAATCGAAATTTTTACGCCAAGTGTTATTGCTGTCATAAATTGTGTTGACAATACTTACCCACTCAAGACACCAAGAACTAAGTTGAGCATAAAGAATGAGCCAATGATAATTAATGATATATAAATAATTGATGTGACCACACGTGTGTGATAATCTCTTGCATCGTAACTCTGCAATAAAAAACGATAAACAGGTAAATTCTTGTACCAGGATGATTTCGTTATCAGGCAAATCAATCGTGAAAATAAACAAATCAGCATAGATTTTCGAAGTTCTTGTCAACAGAAACGGTGCCCGAGTTTTCTCGGTTGGGATGCCATTACAAGGCAATCAAACCTAAGCATTTTCAGTTAGGTGGACATTGCAATACCTTTACATTGCGTCTATTTCCTGGTGAGAAGAGGCCCTCTGGATATTGAGTGCTGCGATCGACTGTGACGTCTCGAGGAGTGTTAAAGTCACATACATCGAAAGGGGTTCATTTACAGCAAGCGAAAATTTCTTCGTTGAAAATTTTTTTTCTAGTTGTGCGATCACCCGAATGGCTTTTTTCCAAATGCGTAGGAACAAAATAAGTTTTCATTAAAAAAAGATGCCTATCAATGTGTTAAATCTACTTACATGATACATAATATCAGTCCACCCTTCCATTGTGATACACTGAAATACCGTCAACATTGATAGAAAGATATTATCAAATGTTGTAATGCCTTTGTTTGGTCCTCTCCAAACGGATTCGTTTTTTGCACAGCTCAAACCCGTATCACAGGGGCGGCCAACATTTTCTGGATCACTACAGACACGTGGGTTGATGAATTTAGGGTCCCGTTCACCTGAATAAATTCATGAAAACATAAGTAGTCTTAAGATGATGCATCTGTAGCCCAAGGGATTTTCAATTGTGCGAGTGAGTACTCGTCTGCAACCGCTGTGGCCTGGGCTCGACGCCCCAGCTTGGCGTCACACGTGGTTTGAGATTTTAAATTGCTTATGGTAAATGGAACTTTCGTCCCAAACTAATTCGCCTCTCTGTGAAAGCCTTAAAGCATCCAGAGAATTGGGTTGATTCTAACAGCCTCTCTATCTTCAGAACAACGCTACCTATTCACTGTGTTCCGGTGTATTTATCATAGTCTCCATTACGCTCATTATTCTTGGTAGAAATACTGTTTGTCAAACATCCTTGTGATTACATGATTATGACTCTTGAATGGAATTGAAATAGTAAATTTTTTGCAATAACCCATACTCGAAAATACCTAATTTTGCAATGATTTTCATTCTCGCCCTCGCCCTTTTTTCTCCTTTTATCTTAGATGTTTCTGACTTTTGAAGTTAACTTGTATTGCCAACCTTAACTGAGGCGTATTTAACAATTATTCATCAAAGTTAAGGTGAATGATAATTGTTTTAGTATGTAAAACACATACAAATACCAAAAAATTAGTTTATTTCTTTCAATATACCGAAAAAAAGCAAAAAAATTCAATTCTTGACGCACGATTTTGTCTCCGGCTCCTCGGAGGTGAGTAGTACTCGCCATTTACTTCCGAACTAGCCAATCAGAGCGCGCGAAAAGTGCAATTCACTTGCGTGGTTTATAATAAATAAATATATCCTCTCACCTGTCGTTGTATTGTAACAGGTCAGCTGAAACTTGCCTCTAAGAAGCTCTAATCCTATTATGGCGTAGATTACGATAACAAATAAAATCAAAAACAAAATCTGCAGCAGAGGGATCATGGCTCTTGCTATTGACTTCATAACTACTTGAAGACCTGCAGCAAAACAAATAACATGCAGATTATGATTTTAATTGAATAGGAAAGCATGGTCAATTTTTGGCCTGTTGGAAGAAGGAAGAGAGATGACACTCCTCTCGTCACAAACGTGAAACAGAAAATGTGAGCCTCATGAGGAATCGAACCCAGATCTTAAGACAAATGAGAATCCTAACAAAAAGCACTGATCATCAACCTCCGCTTTTTGCCGTTAGATATGAGTGCGTTGTGCCTTTTAACCAACCCCTAATCTTACCAGAGCATTTACTATTTTTTCAGAGCTGGCAGGCCTGAGAGGTTTATAGTTTGCAAGAAGAATTTTCGAATCATAAATAAGAGTTTTTCTAGCAGGTCGTTTAATTCCAAAATTGCGTCTACTACTCAAATGATGTTTCAGTACGATAAATGATCTATTCATTTTAGTTTTTAATTCTAAATTGCGCATTGAGGGACAATAAATTTAGACTTTGGCGAGGGTACTGAGTCACCAAGCCGTATCTTTGCTCTGATTAGCCAAAGTCAGCACTCGTCCCAGTCCTGGGCGTAAAGAAAAAAAAGACAAGACAAAAATCTGTCCACTCACTTGGTATTCCAGAAACGATCTTAAGTGGGCGCAAGACTCGCACCGCTCGCAGAACTTTAAGCGACTCCGACTCTTTCAAGCTGTTGCTGTCACTTCCACCAGAGATCTCGAGATCTGATATCATGCCCACCAACCTACAGAGTATAACAAAGTTCGTTTACCTGAGTCGGAGCACATAATAACAACGATAAAATATTGATTATGGAAATACAACAGGTATTAGGCCCAAAAAGAACTGATTTCAAAGAAAAAGACGATAACATCGACCAATGATATCGTCCATGGCAAGAAAAATAACCTCTCCTTAAACCAAAGTCGCAAAACAAACGCAGGCGAACTATATCAACCTTCGTACATATTGTCTCTCGGAAAATTCGCGCGAAGCTTTCGATAGAAAGTTTGAACGCATCCACGAGAATTCAATTATCGTGGGACAAAAGTTCGCTGGTGGCTAAACAAATAACTTAGAAAAAGGACTCCCCCTCCACGAGGGATATGGGCCATTTCCGTTCAGTAATTATCTTTTCTCCGCTCATACTTTACAATCTAAATAATATTTTATGTGTTTTGGTCTTCCTTTTATCAAGATCAAGCCAAAAACTCGTTTTGAAAAGGGCAATTAGAAGTTTGCGTGAACAGGAATGATGAAACTATCTATAGCTGAATAAGTAATTTTATACGAGACGATGCATTTACAGATTGCAAAGTTATTATATCACAGAGGCTTCGCAAAATCATAAAACTGGATCGTTAACAGAAGGAAGAATTTACGATGGGTCCGAGGTGGTTGATAAACTACACTATTTAGTTGAAAGCTTTTTACAATCTATTGAATAAAATCAAGGAATATATAAAGAGTTTAGAATCTCTCGATATAAATGATTAACGTTGCCGGCCACGCGAACTTGTCAATCAAACTTACAATGCAAGCACTAGCATCCAAATGGTTTCTGTGCATCAAAAGCGGAACAAATAATTCGAGACAAAATGAAATTGTAAAAAACTTAGAAGGTTAAAAAAGTTTGGATCTTTTTAAAAGACGATATGTGTGCTGGACGAATATCACCAGCGCATTTAAATTCATGAGAAATAGAGTCAGTGTTAGGAAGTAAGGATATTGATAAATCATTTTCATTAGAGACGAAGCCGATTGAAGTTCATACAAACAGATTGCACGATGGGAAATAAAAGCGAATAGTTAGTTATAATTGAAGGAAAATCTTAACTGAACTGAAATAGACACCTCTTGAAGGAGGTTCTAAGTGACTTGAGATTTGCGTCGCTGTAGCGACATCCAAGTCTTCATGGAGTTTGTATTTCGTCGTTTAACCACTTCAAAAAAGGAAGTCCGTTTGATAAGGCTGGGAAAAAAGTCCATCGCTAAACCCACGACGAAGAGAAGTTTTCAAGCAAAAATAGAAAGCGAACTCGTACAATCTTGAGATTTTTTATTTATGGGGAGACATTAATTTCCCTCAGACTTGCAGGAAACTTAAAATATGTACTACGCCAGTATATCGAAGGAAAAGGAGCTGATGGAATTAGGGCACGACTCTATGACAAGAAAATACTCTTTTCATTGCGGTACAAAATAAATGACTGCTAATGGCCTGAGGGCAACCGGGACAGAGTTCGTAATCCGAGTAATTAGCAATTAAAGAAATTTTAAGAAAGCAAACGAAGGGAAAAAGTCTATTACATTAAGGCATCAAATTATATAGATAAAGATGAAAACTCAGCACGCTTCCCTGCGTTGAGACAGAGAGAGGTGACAAGTTACTTTCTGTTATGAAACTTAATCATATTTTTCGCGTAATGATTCATAAATTGGTTATGTTTCATCATAAAGTTTGATCTTCGATTTTAGCTTTCCGTATTCATGCTGGTTTTTTCCTTTCTGTTATTTTTAGTTCACACTTCCTGTTGCTTATTTTAACAGCCATCTTTGCGTCACCTTTTTACCTTTGCGGAAACTACTTTTAAGAATATACCATCCTTTTTTCATTTTCGTTGTCTTGTTAAGATTCGGTTTCAACCGGGAGAGGGGGAAGGGGAGGGTGGCACTTTTATTTGTAGGACGGCCGTAGATCTGTAGAACATCGTAATACGTTTGCTGTGCTGCTCGTGATCAAATTGATTAGTATCTCAATATTCCGCAGCATGTCATATCAGTTTGTTGCGACGTCTTAGGAAGTTTTTATCGGCGAGGATGAATTCTCCTCCAAAAATTATCAGCCCGTTTCACTCTAAAAGAAATACTTTCTACGAGCATCTGGTAAAATAAAGCTACGAGTAGAAGGTCAGTCGGTATAAAATGACGTAGATGCTCATAATTAAATTGGGTTTAACAGCCGAATCCTATGCTGCCGGGAATATGTTGCAAGGTTTGTTTTTCACGGGTTTGCAAAAAATGGTTTTCATCATGCATAGGTAGAAATTTCATTAGCATTGGGTATAAAGTCAGTAATCGATGAATGAAACACTACTCGATGGACAATCTATCACGGACATTTCATCAGTTGCTTAAATTTAAATATCAACAGCTTCCGCATATTTCGTTTTCCGTGGACAAATGTTCCACCCGTAAAAAGGGATTTTTAAGAAACAAATAGAAAAATTGAATCCTCTGAAGTTGCATAACAAAAACACCTTTCAAGTCTTTTCTCTTCCTGAAATTAAAGCTGGATCAACAGAGGGCAAAATTGTATTTAAATTAGCTTATCGTACCAGCACGTAAATAAAGTCTTGTCACTTTTTTTTCCTTCGTCAGTAGCCTATTCTTATCCTCACACATCCTTCAGGTGACTAACACCTTTAAATATTTACCTAGCTGTCTTAAAACATAATTGAACATACGTCGGTAGTCGCGGTGAATAAAATTTTTCAGCACTTGATTTCCTTTTGTTTCAAGATAAGCAACCTTTGATAGGATCTAACCTGACATTTTTCATTTTAACAGTTATTTAACATGAAACGAATATATATTGAACCAAAGAAATAATTGCCAGATCCACCTCGCACGGCACTAAGCCTGAAGGTTTTGCAATTATGTTGCTGCCTTTGACAGAGAATGATAACTTTCTAATTCCCATTGTTCCTGGTAAACTTTCATATACTGATGATATGAAACTAAAACAAAACGCTAAATTCTTCAGCGAGGACAAATCCATATGTGTCACAAATAATATTGAAGCTATTTACCCAAAAATTCCATGGCACATTAACTATGTCAAAATACAGCAATTGGTCTTTATCCATAAATAGGCGTGGTTAAATTGCGGGTTAGATAAGTTTTCTTTACGCTTTTTTTCTTAATTAAGCGCAGTAACAAAGGCAGGAGACAATCTCCACGAGTTCTTTATATTATTTCATTTTCATGTACTGAAATAAACTTAAATTAAGCTGTTGGAGTTAATTTCTTTTTCCTTCCTAATTTTTGGTTAGTAGATCTAATTTGGATTGGCTGAATTAGCGGAATACTTAAAACAAGAGGGCAACTTGTCGAAAGAGCGTTCGTTTGTAAAATGAAAGAATCGCCCATGGAGTGTTTCTTGACGTGGTTTATTTTGAAGTTTAAATAAGCATGTTGAATTGAACAAAACAGAATAGCTTATGCTCTGTCAAGATATTGCCATACATTAGCTTAATCTTTGGAACATAATAATTCTATTCTTAACTCCTTTAAAATGCTAGCGGTTACGACGCTAAAAACACAAAGACTATATATATATGCTGTGACTTTGAGGGAACCTTTACGGTGGCTAGAACACCGCATCAGTGTCTTTGGTTTTTCTGGGAACGAGGTTTTACTTACTGAAAATACTCAACTTTTGATTATGACAGAGTTCCATTCAGCAATCGATAAATATAACAGATGAATTTAAGGAAATAAACTTTTTAAGTGTCTTATTCACAACTGTGTTAGGCAACACGCATCGCATACCATTAATTTTGTGCCGTAGAATATTAGACAAATAACATTGTGAAAATCGATCGTAGTTGCTTTAAATGATTTCATTCTTTTTACTTTATGATGATACACTTACGTAATAATGGTAAATCGAGCGTTTTCCAGAGAAATTTTATTGTTACTGATAAAGTCGTGGAGATCTGAATGGGCTGACATTCGGTTAGTGTCATTTAACTTCAAACGAAAGGTATTTGATTTAAAAATAACATGCAATAAGTTTCTTGTATCTATTGATTTATCAGTACATGTATACACGTTTCGTGGTTGTTTTTGTTGTTTGCGACATCAATGTCATAACAGTACGAGGTGCTACATATTTGCAACATAATTGTCGTCCTGTTCAGCAAACGCATTGCTTGCTTAGTGTATTTATTTTTATAACGATTTATAGCCAGCGAAGTGAGAGCGAACTCTAATAAGACCGGCCGATGATTTATCTCTGACTGAACGTAATACATGGCCCTTTTATGATTCACTCCAACTATTCTTTCATGCACAACAGGGGTCTCCAAAATGGCGTCAAAAAGGAAGACATTAAAAATCGCTGGTAAGATTGAGCTCCCTGACCAAAAAATGCGTTTCAGTTTTAAACGCACACCTTGCGCGCTCTCCGCTTCGAACGAAATTTCCGGCGTGGATGAAAATGACAACAAAAGCAGCTGAACGAAGAGAGAGTTAATATTCGCAAACTCTACTGTCGTTTAGATAAATAAAAAGGGCTTACCCAACAACGACCACCACAAAATCCAAAATATTCCAGCCGTTTCGCAAGTATGCATCCTTATGAAGAAGAAATCCACTGGCGATGATCTTCGTTGCAGCCTCGATGCAGTAAATTATGACGAAGTACTTCTCGGATTTTTCCTTAAGGAAATAAACGAAAACGTTTTAAGAATTATACGTACATAAATTTGTTAGTTGTTCTCTCTTTTTCGTTCGTAACTCACTTTTGTCTCCAGATTTTTCGGGAATTTACTTTATAATATATTTCGTTGTTGTGCTGGGCAGGTTTCCTGCTTTAAAATGGCTTCTTTAGAAAAAAAAAACTGAAATGTTTCTTTAATTAAACCATAGATTTTTCTTTGTCAGTTACTGAGGAGAAGAAAGCAGTTTCTTACCAGTTGTTCATTTCGCTCAGTTGTATCTCCATTGGGTAGCGGTTCATCTAACATCAGAACAACGCAATTTACGGCGATTGTCAGTAATATAAAATATTCAAACTTCCTAAAGCAGAGTTCAGGAAAACAGCAATACAGCAATCAAATTGTGAAATCGACTAAATAAAACTTCGTATCAAATCATTTTCAAAAGCGAAATAAAGTTAGAGTGCCTAAGGAACAGAAGTCTGAAGCCAATTCCTCGAAAAGATAAAATGAAAGGAAAATTTTGGATCAGGTTCAATCTGAAGAATTTCATGTTTGGAGTAATCGTATTTTCTATCGTGTCAGTATTTCCCTGTGACGCGCGAGGAAAAATAATTTCACGCTAACAAAATCAAAACAAAATTGCAAGCGCCTCTAAAAGCTGATTGCGAACAGACTTAGGGCACCGCAAAATTAAAATTACATCAACCTGAACATGAGGTACCAGAGAGACACAAGGTAATATAGTTAAATATAACACAAGTGTCAGGAACAAAAGGGAATAACTGATGAAAATTCAAGCAAAGATGTATTAGGGATGATGATGATGATTTTTTTAAGCTTCTCAGTAAAGGATACTTGGATTCGACGATCTTTTTGCAATAGAATCTTAGAGGATTGTCTTCCGGAAGGCAGAACAGCGCTTTCTTTGAGCGGTTGGCATCATCGATGACTTGCTCTCCATAAGTGGACATAGAACGATATTTACGCTGGAAAACCTCTGTTGCCGCTCGGAGCTTGTTTTCCGAATTCTTAGTGAGATCCTTCGCCTCATCGGCCATCGAAACATTTGGACTTCTATTTCGTCGTCACCTGTGACCCGAAAATAGCGCGTCATGGAAAGTGAGCAGGGAATATTATTCATTCATCAAAATTCATCTTCAACGAGAAATCACCGAAACACAGCGCATTAATTCAGAAAAATAGAAAAGCCGAACGTCTGGTCATGTAATTTGCATATGACGTCCGCCAATCAGCATTTAGTTCTTTTATTACTCAATGAGGCTGGCTATCGGGATTTGTAATTGATGTATACAGGAGAATTGCGGAAACATGGGGCACTTTATGCCGTAAATACAGCTGCCTTATGATATCATATTAACGGGTATTCCGTAAACGCTTGCTGTCGCTTAATTTGAAAAGCTTTTCAACCGAAAACTGAAATGATTCAAGCGATGTCTACCGAGCGCACCACTGCCAAGGATTCCTCAAATTTGCTCGTTTAAATATGTAAGTAGAGAGACACAATAAATTTCATATTATAATCAAGAAAGATTCTGCCTCGAGGATATTGAAATTCACACCTTCCACAAATTTATTTGAACCTTCATAGAAGGACTTCGAACCTCGATCGATGATCTACGTAAGTTTGAAGACTTCGACAAACTTAGTATAGTAGTATTGATTGCTTTTTCGGACATCAAAGTTTATTACGAAATTTTAACGGTTCAATAAGTTTCATTTGTCACGAAGTGTTAGGGATTTAAAAATTCATAAAACGAAGCCTTAACATGTAAACTAATGGAACTGTAGCAAAAACAGTGAATACAAATATTATAAACACCAAAACATTAAACCGAAAGTATTTGAGTTTTCATGCTTTCATGGTAAACAAAGAATCAGTTACTCTTGAAGTTCGTTCAAAATTGGTTAAAATCATTTTCCCTGGGCGCGGTCTCTGCAAATTGAGTTGCCTTTCTCAAGAAATATTTTCAATAATTGCAATGGTCTCACACAATCAAACATGTGAAATATTCATATTATAATCTTGGTATGAAATTAGATAACTTGATTACGTTTCGCGCTATCTAACAGAGCAAGTGCAACTATTGATAGAAGTAATTCTCATACAAAGAATATAGAATTTACACATAGTCCTCTTTGTTTAGAATAGTTTCTAATTGAGAAAGGTTAGGTTTGTGTGTGGTTCGATTTAACTTAATGCCTTAACCGGAATTAAACGACGTTGAATATGGATTTAAACCTGCGAATTCGAAGTGACGTAGAACATTCGGCATTCAAGATCGCAGACAGCCCCAATTCTTTCTGACTGCTAGTCACTAATCACTCTTTTCACTGACCATGCTCTTGGATGTTTTCTCGAAGCACCGACCGGAGTTATGAAAAGCAGAAGAATTTTCTTTTACAATCGTGGTATTTCAAATCCTGAAAGTTTGTCTAATCGCTTCTTCAACCACCATAAATTTCATTCTATGTATTGGCAAAACCACATGAACTCATGAAATAACTTTAGCAACCTTAGAACCATCTAATAAGCCAAAAGTGTTTGAAAATCTCTTCACTTCCGAGTTGTTATTTTAACGCAATCGTGACCTTCTAGTGTTCTATTTATCAAGTCTAATTGTTCTACACTGCCTGTACACCTACTTTTAACTTGAAGAATAAAGTTTGGAGTTTCCTAATCTAAGATCTGCCTTGTGTTTGGGGCTGGCTTTGCACGGTTTAAAGGATACTGTGTATTAAACTAAACGTCAATCTTTAATGGAGAAATATGCCCTGAAGACATGCACATTTTATTTCCACCTCAAAGAAGAATAGGCGAAAATGTACTTGTAGGTACGGTTTAGTATTTTGAATAGTATTCTAACTTTTCTGAAAGATTCTGCAAATGTATTGAAAATTTAATGATGGTCGGCGCCATTTTGAGAAAAAGCAAAGTAACCTGGCCGGACGCACAAAACTGCAACGAGCGGTTCTCAAACAGCTGCTGCTTGAGTTATCGGAGGAAAAAAAAATCATTATCTAAGTCAAGAACGCCTTTTTGTGCAGCTTTCAGTTGTTCACACCGAGTGCCAAGAGATGTAAGGAAACAGAGTGAGACTATTTCATATCACCCGAAACAGGCCAGGTTGAAGAGCCAAAAAGTGGCGGCGTTCCTAGTGAAGGTTAAACTTTGGCACATTTGAAGACAAATTTTGAGAAAATTGACAATTTTCATGCATGTTTTCAATGGCGGAGATGAAAATCATGGAATTTCTGACGTATAACTCTCCTTTAGGGAACACAATAGCAAATACACATTCGAAAATACTTTTTGCGCATTCTTGTACTTGGATCATATCACATTAGAACTTTTCTCTTTTGGAAGTACGATTTGTGCATTTGAAGATATCGTCCGGTAAATGGATAAATATATTACATAGATAGATGGATGAGTAAACGAATAAGCTGATGAATAAAAACATAAAGATATGTATATATATTATCGTATGAATAAATAAATAAATGAAAGAAGGAAGAAATAAAACACTCAGTGGATCAAATTATCCACAAAGTGTTTTTATCCTTCTGTTTTGGAAGTATGGGAATATTTTCTATCCATCCCTGATCTTCAATAAGAAATTCCAAACCTGATGATTTTAAACAGTTACCCTGGCTGGTTATAGATCACTAATTACGTGTTCCGCCCTTGAAATTCTCACTTCATCCACCATTTTCAATCATTGTTCATCAATAGCAAGAATAGAAGTTCAGGTGGGGGGTTGTAGATTAATTTTCAGAGCAGATATTCTTATAACATTCCCAACTGTTGTCTAAAGGCATGAATAGCTTTGTAAGAGAAGCGTTAGATCGCCCTTATTGGAAGTTTTTAATAAAGGAAATGCCTCTAGCTGACACACCATTGTTAATGATGTGATAGCTTTTACATTTGTCATCACAAAGTTAATATGAGTCTGGCTAAAACCCTAATGAGCTTTGACACCCAGCCAGACGACACCTGTCAACATCAAACATGAAGAGAACAAAAATAAGTTCTTTAAAAAACTAATATCTCTATTTGCAAAGGACAGGTGGTCTATAACTGGAGATTGACCAAACTGACTGAGACGAAACTGTGAAGTTAAAAATCCAGACGTGTTTGTTACAACTTGTTTTATCTCTGCACTAATATTTGACCAAAAATATAATTATTATTAATATTTTCATAACATAAATTAGCATATCGCTTGCCGTTTTTCGCAATTAGACGAATGATTGCTAACATCTAATTATGTTGAGAAAATAATTTGTTCTGGAAAATAATTAAAACAGGACGGATTTCGTCTTAAATGAGAAAACTATCTTAATTATTAGATCAAGAATGTTAAGAATCAAACTTAAATATTAAAAACATTTTTCAAACTAAACCAACTTTGCTAATAGTGCTTTCTGCAATAATGTAAATTGTAGACATTAACACATTTTAAAACAAAGAGTATTCTGTCATCTTCATTTAAAATATTTGACAAAAACACATTGGATATTTCTTTACCGAGATAAAAAGATAATGAAGGAACAAACAGGAACAATAAGGACCGAGTTGTCTGAGTCACGAAGTTTTTACCAAAGCTGTTTTCAGGTTTAGATGGAAACGGAAAATAGTACGTCTGTGATCTATTTCTGAACAGACACGCAGCAACAAAGAGTCTATTTGTTTTAATTAAATGATTAAAAAAAGCCAAAAATGTTAATAATGACATCATCACTGCGCCTGTCTTCCAGAAGATCATAAATAAGAACCAATTAAAATTCGTGCGTGACTCAGCTGATCATATAAATGTAAATTTATGCTTGATATTTACACCCTGATTTTCAACAACAGCGTCATTTTTCCTCGAGCGAAGTTTGGAACAAAGATATCTTAAGATCATTGTATTTGGTAAGATAAGCTTTCAACTCACAAATTAGACTCGAAAAATAAAGATGTAATAGCTAACCAGTACAACTAAGTATCTCTTACTGTATAGCCAAAGTATAATCACTTTCAAATAATCCATGAGCCTGCTATGGCTTACAAACGTAGACTGTGACTCTTGATTCAATACAAACATATTTTGTATGGTTTCCGGTTTGGTGAAAGGTAGTGCTATTACAACTGACTTTCTTACAATTTGAAAAACAATTTGTTAAAATTCACATCACAAATGAAGGAGGATGTTCTTTTTGTTTGACTCAATCTCAGCTATGCCAAGCAAGTCTGTGTTTATAGTTACCTCCAAGTGTGTTACAACTCAAGAGAGCTTTTAGAAAAGGCAATAACAGCTAATTTGGATTAACGACACAACCCTGGCTGCTGAAATTGTAATCTCGGTTGAGTTAAAGTGGCAAGGTAGAAGCTGGTAGGAGTCAGGGCTTATTTTCTTTTGTGTGGCGCCACATTAATAAACTGAATTAATGAAGTTTTTTCCTTTAAATTATAGCCTGAACGATCAAGTTGATAAATTGCCCTCTTTTTGAGCTAAAATGGTCTCTATTGGTTCAATTTTGCTTTCTTCTACACGATTTCCACTTCCCAATTTTTGCGAGTTTTATTGGTTTTTAGAGAGAGAGAGAACTTTCACTCTGCATATTCACACCTTCTGTATGGATATTCAGTGTAGCTACTGTTGTCCTCTTAATCTGCACCTGTTCAACAGGAGTGAAATATTTTTCTGGGATTTTACCTCACTATTCGGTTCGTTCTTTAAAATTCTTTTCTATAAGTCCATGTGAGACCCCATCGCGATTTCTGCGGACGATCGCGGAAAGTGTTCCACAGGATCATTTTATCACCATATACTTAAGTTGTCGTACTTTATTTGAGATTAGTGGAGAAAATTCATAATTTCCACGCCTGCTCGCAAGCTCGGATTTTGAGATCATTTCTGCCACGAAGTCTTCGATTATTAAGCTAAACAGACAAATAGTGCGCCTTTTAAAAAAAATTTCCAATAGGTTTGCGGCTATATTAATGGAATGGAAGAAGTAGCTGGTTAGCATTCATTTAAGTCAATAATGGTACCTTACGCCATCACAGCTTGATTGGTATTCTTGCAGAAAGGGGCAACGACACACTGTTCTATTTTCTTTTATCTGACAAGAACTTAATTTTGCAAACTTGAAGAATTGTATCGACGAAAGCGTATTTTGCAAAAATATGCTAGATTTATGTTAGATTTAGATATGCTAGTTTGTGAGAGCGTCTCAGATCAGCCTTGAATGATTTAAGTTCACTTGATATACGTTGAAAAGCGTACAAAAAAATATCGATTTCATTCAAAAGCCTACCTGGTGTAAACTGCTGAAAGTGATCCTCTTCACTTGTGTCCGTTCTGTTCTGTTTTTATTTTGTGGATCGACACACAATTCCGAGCGGAGCGGAAAAAAAATGCATTTATGAAAACTAATGCTCGTTTAATCTTCTTCCTTTTCTTTGATTATGAATTTTACCTGAAGCTCGTTAGTAAATTCGAATGGTTGCTATGCCCAATGGTGAAAACCATGGTAATCGATCTTAGCTTAAAACCTGCGAGTGATCATTTTACGTCCTAATCGGAACCATTATCAATAATGTCAGTGAATAAAATTTTCAGTATTTCTGATAACAGGATACGATCAGACACCAAAAAACTGAACATCAACCTCACTGTTACTGGATAGTTTTGGTTTAACAGCTTTTTTGGGTTGTATAGTAATAGAGTTAGGAACCTTAGTAAGATTTCCTCACCAGAGTCAGTTAGATTTCGGTTTAGAACATTGTATTGCGGCAAATAAAATACACTCGTGTTTGTCAAAAATGAAGAAAAAATAACGAGATAGCAAGTGTTACAAAATGACACCACAATAGCGCTAATTCTTATGAATCGCGAAACACTTGAATTTCCATGAATATACGGTATATACGATGGGAATTAAACAGAAAATTGTGACAATATGTTAGAAAGAGTATTTTGAAGTTCCTTTTAAAAAGCACTTAAAAGGTGACTATGGTTTAGAAAAGCTGGGAGGGACTGAGTAGAGGCGGATTAAACAACTGAATGAAAACAAACTGAGATACTCCTGCTTGACGTTCGTATGAAGTAAAAAACCATCGTTGTAGATATATGGGCGTAAATTGAACATTTCTAGAAGGCGATTAATTTAATATTTACATTCGAATTTCGTGGCAAAAATCAGTTACTCCAAATCAACAACACAATGTAAATCACAATAAACATATCGTTATAAAGGAGAGGGCGGTGTTGGTTAATAAATTGATATTGGCTCAGGTGTTACACAATTTTCTCGTTTTATTTCGCAACCATCTTCCATCTTTTGACTATGACATAATTGGTTTGAATATGACAGCATAGTTAAGGTCCAAGAAAATTTCCATGAAATTCCAACCTTAAACAATAGTAATTGCACAAAGCTGAATTAAGTACATGTCGTCGACAGACAATCTCCGTATATATTCAGATACTCTACCTCACTAATTTCTGTTGGCTCTTTTGCGTTCAGTTTCAATTCAGCCATACCTCACACTGATACAAAAGCAGACAGCATTTAGTTTACCAATTACAGCCCCCAACGAATCCTTGGCATTATTAATCGTGATTTTCTGTTTTCAGTATTTCAATAACTATAGAATACTGATGATTTTCATCATAGAAAATTTGAGGCTTTACTTTTTATGATCCCGAGTACAATCACGTATATTCTAATTATGTTATGCATAGTTATCCACAAGTTAACCATATAGTGTTACCTCGGTTTTATTTTTCTTTCCTATTGATGAAGTAGAGAAAATGCGTCTCTATCACGGACTCTGTGAAGCTTCTGTCGCGGCGCAACTTTTTGAAACATGGAGTGGGGGGGGGGGGATTTTGACGCTGCACGGGATGATTAGTAAACAGAACTGTTCGACTGGCCGCTGTATACACGAAGAGGATCACTTAAATGTTCTCTTGCGTAAGGAGAGATGCGGTAAAAGATGTCTGTTTACTTGAAAAGCGCAAAATGATAGATGCAGACATATCCTGATAATCAGTTAAAAAAAAACTGAAATATCTGGGATGTTTTAGTCGGGTTAGGTAAACTGTGCTTCATCCAATAAATTACTGTATTCATGATTATTCGTACATAAAAAAAATATATTACAGTTCGGGTGAAGCTTTGTTCGAAACCTGCTATCCTAATCGTGCGCGAAAGTTCAATATGGAGTAGCGTGACGTCTTCACAACTGTTGTAAAATGTTTTTCACATCTTGCTTTGGCCGTGACCACCTGACTGTTTCTCCTTGCTTGATTGATATTTCACCCTCTCCATACCTGCTTCCCAGGATTGAGAGTTCTTTTAGGGTAATCTCACCTGAAGAAGATAAGGACAACAACCAGACCTGAATATGTGCTATGATACTAAGTGGTACATTCTCCGCTATCTGTATTTTGGTGTCTTCCGCGCCAAATCTATGCCTGACCAGACCCACAACAAAATGGAATACATAGATGAAATGGTAGTATGAACTTCCTCCGTAAATGTCTGTTTGTACCAATCAGAATCCTAATCAAGTCGCTTTAAATCTCAGTTTCCGTTTTTTTCTTTCGGCTTGTCGTACACGTACTTAGAGAGGTAAAAACGACTGCGAAGGAAACTACCACTTTTTGTACCGGTATCATTTTTAAACTCGTAGCTACCGTTAGATTTCTTCGAAGCCTTTTCCCGCAAATTTGGGAAAACTTTGCAGAAATTTTAAATCGGTTATAGGTGACGATTACATAAATTTCAAAGCGTAAAAGAAATAACTTCAGTGACAGTCTATATGAAACGGCAGCCGATACGACTTCAAGTAAACTGTGGAACTAGCCAAGCAGACCACAGGCCTCGTCATCGAAAATTGGTTTTTTACCTGATTTGACAGTAAACGTAAACATTTCTTCCTCTTCACTGTCTTCTTCTTCTCTGTCATTTCCCTTAACGTATGCTCCCTCAATTATCCCCGACGCTCTGGGCGTGAAGAAAGGTAAACTAAACGGAATTGGAAACTTGGGCCAGAAAGTCAGTGATGCATTGGGAGCAAAGTACTGCTGGCCTGACACTGCGAGAGGTATATGCCATAGAACCATGTGGAAAGAATAGTGAGAAGTGGCCCAAGGCAGCCCGTCAAGTCCATAACCACTGCTTGAAATGAGGCCATGAATATTCCATTGATCATTGAGCGTTGAGCGCCAATGATCGAGCGATTTTTTGGCGCGGTTTAGCGCAATTATGGGGTCTGTGTCTGTAAAATGAATTGGATATTGGTAATGGGCTTTATCTCTTATCTTTTCCTAAGTGTGATATTTCAGTTCATCAAAGTAAGGAAAATATCTATCCTAGCAATATCAGGAAATATCAGGAGAAATGCTTTCTAGATCTTGGGACCGGAGTGAAAGGGTTTAGCGGACACCAGCATGGGTCCTGTGGGTGCTCACTTCATACACAATTTGCTGAGATTGTTTGAAAAAAATAACCTAGCCGGGACCTGGAACTGACACTTGGAAGTCTCGATTTGTAATCCAAGGTGCATTCCATGACATTACCGTGACTCCTGTGATGAGACTCCTTATCCGGCAATCAGTACCTTGCGGGTGAGACTACCATACAAGTTTTGTGATCCTTCATTAAAATTAAAGTGAAGAAAGGCTAGTAATAAATTTCGAGTATTTCCGTTTAACTCACCTAGATGCAGCATAAGAGAGGACCAGTCGGCGTCTGCACCCATCCAAACTGAATTATGCTTCGTTATATTCTCTAACGATTTACATCCGGGAACATGGTGGCTTAAAATGATTGATGTGTCCTCCTGTGTGATTTCTGTTTCACCTGTGTTCAAAACCTTCAGACCAAAAGGGGAATCATTTCTCTCAACTTCGCTTAACAAATGTTCTTTCAGTTTACTACGAGGTACCAGATCCCCAAGACCAAGAGAGTAAGCCCAGACTTGACCATACAAGGAATCTGACATGATCCACTCAGGAGAGCCATATTCCATGTCCCACCAGGCATGGTAATACTGCTTATTTTCGTCCCACAGTTCAACGTCGATGCGTTTCTGCGCTTGATTAAAAGCACGATGGATGCTCGAAGTAAACTTGGTATCGTTTTTTATCGTTCCCATTTCTTGCGCGGCTCTCAAGGCCAAGAGATACACAAAAGAGTTGTAGGCGTCGTGGTCATATTTGTCAAGTGCTACGATGTCGTACGTGCTAACTTTCCTAAAAGGAAGGCCAGTACCTAGGAGTAAATAGGAGAATTATTTAGAAGTTTTTCAAATGACTGTCTAAATCTAACCCGAGCTTGCATCGCCTTTGCTCTCTTTACATTGCTTAAATCTCTTTACATTGCTTGTTGTGATCACTTTGGTTTCCATAATGCGATTCCGATCGAAATGCGCTCTAAAAGTCTATAAAACTTGAGGTAACAATTTACATCTTACGTGATGCGGGAAATAGTTCTTTAAGTATAACTGAATCAATTTTCTTTTAAAAATCAGGGATGAAAGATATATTCAGAGCAAGTTGATAAGCTGCCTTTATATCATTTAGTGTGTTCGTTCAGTAATTTTAAATGCAAACACCGATATATGCAGAAATATATAATACTGCTACAGCTATGCATGTATGAGTGCAATTAAGTAAACCTTTAGTGGAATCCACCATGACCCAGGCCATTGCTCTTTTAGCCGCTGGCCAAAGTCGGTCGAGAGTAGCCTGGTCCCCAGTCCATTGGAAATAGTGGTAAAGTCCAACCACAAACATAGCTGTTGTGTCCGCCATCACTCGGCCGCCGGAGTAATCTACAGGGCAAAAGAATTGAAGGAATCTTTGAACTGGGGTGGATATGCATATTCATCTACTTCCTATCTAAAAAATGATCAGTCTTAGATTATTTCTATGAGTAAGACTCTTCTCTCTAACCTATACCCGTAAAGCAGTTTTAATTTTAAGGAGTATTATATTGTGACAATGCGAGTCATTTAGCAGCATTACCCAGCTTCCCTGTTGGTCCCAGACAACCGGAAGTAAGCGCCTCTTGTAGCATACCACTTGAGTATTGATTGTCGGCCCAAGCCGTCAGAAGTTCACGCACTAATTCTGCATAGTATAACAAAACATAAAATAATTATAACGATAATCTCAAAATTATGTAAATTAATTTTAAATTAGAGAGATAGCGAAAAACGCAATTGACGGTTAAAATACCTGGGAAGAAGAGAGTGTAAGGAATAATTCTCTGCATGTCATTTTGAATGGTGTCGATATCATTACAGTCAAAAGCTTCCCACTGTCGCCATCTTCCATCTTCGGCCCAGAATCCAGACCTCCAGAAGCTCATACTATTGACGAGCAAATCTTTTAGCCAATCAGGAAGTTCATTGACTCTGTTCTCGTCCGGACCTTTGGGTATATGCTTAACCTTGTCATTGATTGGCTCCTTTCTTGCAGGTGTAGACCCGACGATCGGTTCATGCCACGAACGAATATCCATTACCGACTGGAGCAGATCCTTGCGCATGTGGTTTGCCACATCCTGGCTGGATTTGAACAAGGCCGAGTATAGATTACCGACGTGAACTTTGGCCACATCACGGTTGGGATAATACCACGACAAAATTAAGGTCAAAGATTTCTTCTCTCCCGGCTGGAGCTGTGTCATCACAGACGCTGCACCATAAAGCCCAGTGTTATTTAGAGATTCTGTAGTGCCAATTTTTCCTGGAAACAGAAGGAAACAATAATAACTTTCGATATAGATTAGAGAGCGCTAATCATTGGAAGAAATGGAATTGATCCACTTTGTAATGAAAGCGACCACAGAATCTTTTACGAAAGAGCAAATACAGAAAATGTAAACACAAACCACAACCAGCACGAACTCGACCTGGGTACAAAGGTTCTATAATTTTTCGCAAAATTTTAGTTACTACCTATACGTCACACATAGAATACAGCACTGTGATGTACTCACCTGTGTTTGAGAAATTTTTCCAAATGTCTCCAAAGTCGTCAGCCACGGCAAAAGATCCCGAACTATCTTCATCGTCAACTGCATATAGTGTTGTGCTACCGCTCTGAGGGAAAAACCCAGGCCTGTGGCAAGTCAACATGGAGTCTTTCACAGACCATTCTCCCTTCAGGCCTGATACGATGCCGGTGGCCCAGGCGTGAAGGGGCATTTTGTCCTTCAACAGACACGATGTAGGTCCATTGGTTGTCCATGACATACATTTGGGCATCTTTGAACACGCGTGCGCACAGTCCGAAGGTTTTATCATTCTGGAATGAGGAAGAAAGTATGAATTGATCTTGACTCTTTTTTTGAAAACAATGGTTCCTTTCATTGTCATTCTAGTAAGAGGACAACACTGATAGATCAAATGGGTTAGAAAGCTACCAGCAATAATCTCACATCACCTGTCCATCTTTAATAAAGCAGCAATTACGTCTGATTAGTGTCATCGCTAGTTACAATTAGGTGAGGTTAACTCAGCTTACGGGAAAGGAGGTGACCTGGTGATCAGGGCGCTGGATTTCAAAACGAGAAAAAGCACTCGCAGCTACAGGCCTCTAAGCTGGAAGACTTCTCGGGAGGATAGATTAGTAAGAAAGAAACTGAGTGAATGACTATCAGGAAAAAACTTCCACGACAACTGAGACCAGCGCTCAATTACATACCTAGTGAATACAACTTCGCCATAATTATCTCCGACACGAATTGTATCCTCCTGTTGTCCTAACGGCAAGTTAAACATGAACGACACATTCAAAGGTCTGTCAGCCTTATTCCGCATGCCTAAAGTAAAGGCAACTGCTGGGACCGCAGACTTGTAACGGTGTCTCACATGAAATGATGAAAAGGCGTATAGACTCATGTCAACGTTCTCTGTTATTGAACCACCTGTGTATAAGACAAGCAAAATAAGCAGTGTTCGTGACTCAGAAAGCATGGCAATGATCAAGAGATCTTGCAGTAACAGATGTTTTTTGTTCCAAGAGTTCTCCTTGAATCTTGTTAACTGATTTGCAAATGTCCTCCTCGACGTGAGTTACAACTTAAGGCGGAGAAAAGAGACATGAAGAACGAAAAAAACGTAAATATTCTACTCACCGGGGGTTAATTTACTGACTGGGTAAGATCCAGAGTATGACAACCTGTCCACTCCAGGGTACCCATGGGGAGCATGGATTCTCAGCAGCGCTGCCTTGCTCTTATCTTTATTCACTTCTGACACTCTTACTCCAAACACTGCCAAATTTAGCGCTCCCTTGTTCAATTTAGCTGAACCTCCGGGAGACTGGTTCTCGAGCGTCCATTCGTGAATCGTTCCGTCTGCGCGTAACTCAAACGAGCCCGTGCCCAGTCCTCCTAGAGGAACCGCTGATCGCATGCCAGACGGCGGATGTCTTGTGCTCTCGCGGTGCACAATTCCGGATGTACAGTGTTCCTGGTCCCGGATGGGTGTTGGTATGGCACTTTTCAGCCAGCAGCAAAAAGATCCTGGTTGACAAATGATGAAAGGTCGTTAAAATTAAGTTTATGTTTGATTCAGGGGTGACATCATAAGAAGAAATTAGATACTAGCCACTGTTTTGGGGTTAAAGTGTTAAAACTGCACGAAACACCAAACATTTTATTATTATTATTTTTCCAGACAAGAAATTATGATTTGAAGGAACTGCACTAACCTTTGGGACAATTAGCTGTGCTTGCTTTCTGGAATCTTAGTGTCCAGGACTGGCAACGCGGCTCCTGGCAGCAGTATTTCTCACAGATATTGGCATTATTAGTCATAGTACTTCCTTTTATTGACATGACCCGGAAGCTCAAAAAAACATCTCCACGCAGATCTGTGCTATTCATCCACAGGGAAGAATTACACGTGTGATAATTCTTTGGCATCTCATACAGGTACGAATATGGTGAAAACAGATCATTGTTCCAAGAAGCACGTGTCTGAGAAAAGATATGAAACGCGGTTTGTAATTTTTCAGACTACGATTTTCTCTGCTACACTTTTTTTAGGTCTGAATAAACCATATTGGCGGTAGGGGGAAACCTTTTAATTGGGCAAAACCACCATTAACCGTTTTGCACAATAAGACACCTTTAAGCGAGAGTCTATTTTCCTCAAATTCTCTGGGACAGATTGGGTTAAAGTACTCTTGAAAGCCTAGCTTTTCAAGGAATACTTGTTTGTTTGATCCTCATGGTGCTGAGGTGGCCTAATGATAAATGTATTTTACATGCCCCTACGTACCTTTGATACATTATATTCCTCCACGTACAGTCCACACTGTTTGAGATACACAAACCTACTTTCGTTATAAACAGTCGAAGGTCCGTTTAAAAACTTAAGCTTCTCCAGTTCTTTGAGAAGTTTGTCCTTGTTAGGCTGTGGCTTTACTGTAAGGAAAGAAAAAAAATTGCAACAGGCATTAGAGTTATAAAGTGGAAGAAAATCTCCGTATGGCAGCCATAAAAATCTACATGGGTTCAAAAAAAAAATAACCTGCGTTTCTAAATAATAAATAACAAAATAATAGTAAGGCTTTCTGATAACTCGATGCAAGTGTTTGAAACGACACGCATGAATAAGAAAGCTTGCGCGTACCACCGCATGCACTTTCACGATTCGTGACCTTTGTTCAACTCGCTTGATTACGGCTTGTTATGAATGTATATGAATCAAAATTTTTTCAAAGCAAGGTAATTCAGAATATATTCCTTCAGTTTCCAACGAATGTCAATACATGAAAATCATATATGTGAACTGCGGTTTAAAAAATCGTTTTGGTAGAGCACTGCACCGGTATCGCAGAGGTCATGGGTTCAAATCCCTTTCAGGCCTGAATTATTTTCATACCTTTTTTTGTAATACTACTTAAGTAGTGTACTGCGAAGATCGCTTATATGTTCATTTCGTAAACCGCAATTCACATCTATGCATTATGATTTTGATATATTCATAGTCATTGACTCTTCTCTCCACGGTTTTATTACGAACCAATCAGCTCCCAGTTGGCTTGTTAGCTCAGTTGGTAGTGCATTGCACCGGTATCAGTGATCATGAGTTCAAGTCCCGTACAGGCCTGAATCCTTTTGAGGCCTTACTTTTACTGCAGCATAAGTCGTTTTCATTACTGCGAAGATCGCTTTCAGATTCCATCGTAATTTTTTTTCTGGTTTCTGGACTGAAAATATGATATGAGTAGATTCCACTTAACTCCGAGGACGCTGCACTTACCCTTTGAAGCTTCCTTTACCATTTCTGCTTTTTCCTCATTCTTGTGTTTATCCTTTAAATGCTCTTGTTTTCCCTTTCTCTTTTTGTGTTTCCTTTGACTTTGCAGCTGGGCCATTCTGGTCAAAATCAGCTCCTCTAACGTTTTACCGATTTCTAGCTGTGTCTTATCAAGTGATACATGTTTGTGTTCATTAAATTTTAAAGAATTATCTCCCGCGCTGCTCGTTGCATGCTTTAATTTAGCTTCATGACTGTCTCCTACACTCTTACCTCCATCCGACTTCGAGTTAGCAAGCTTAGGCACTTTAGAAGTGTCGTTATACTTCTTGGGACCAGAGTTTTCGTTTAAATTTTCGGCTAAATCTTTCATTTCTTGTCGAAGGATAGTTAGGGCATTCTGTTTGTTCCTAGCGGCCTTGTCTTTCCGACCGATTTTCTTTGTATACATCCCACTGGGTTTATGCCCAGACTTTTCCATTCCCACGCCCCAGGGTTTTAGATTTTTCAAGTCCTGGTTATACCGATATTTCCTTGCTTTCTGTAGTGTATAAAGCTTTGATTCAGTGCCATTGTGTCCTGTTCCTATTATCTTAACCCTACTTTTGCGGCTTTTATGCCTTCGATGACTCCCTGGTGTTTTCCTACCATCATTCAAAGGTTTTCCTTTCTTTCGCATCTCATAATCTATAAATGCTGAGCCAGACTCATGTTTACTGATCATATTGTAAATCTTTTTCACTTTCTCTAACTCTTCCTCTCCTTTGGGTCCTTTAGCGACCATGTCTAAGTCCTTTTTAGGAGCTGCATATCTCCAAACTTTGTGCAAGTTTTGCTCAACTTCTTTCAACAGTTTTCTATTAATTTTGATTCCTGAACCACTGCCACTGTCACTGGGCAACTTCGAAGAATCCGACAGTCCACTACTCTCTCCAGAGATGTCGTTTTCCACCGACTCTACCAGTGCTTCCTCTTCACTTTCGCGTAAAATACCAGATCCTGATTCATGTTTTTCATCTGAATCATCCTCTCCTCCACCCCATGAATCATCACGTGCCTTGTGCAGATCAGCGTCTTCCGAGCCTGATGCACCACTCTCACCCTTTACGGATTCCTTTGGCTTCATTCTGTGCTGATTGACAAACTCAGATTCATGTTTTATCACCAAGTTATAAATCTCTTGGGCCTTTTGCTCCTGCTCCTTACTCTTTGGTCCCTTGGACATCATTCCGAGGCTCTTACCGGCCGCAGCATAGCGCCACACCTTACGCAAATTACTTTGAACCTCTCGCATGATCGTTCTGTTTATTTTACCAGACCCGTCTGCATGCTTTTCGTCAAGAATGAATGCCGAACCTAAAGAACTAAAATCAGCGGAGGAATCTTCCCCTCCTTCTTGTCTCAATTCCTCTTCTATTCTGTCATCTAGTAGGCTTTCTCCGCTACCGGACTGCGAACTGGATTCGAATTCTTCTATATCGCTGGGACTGACCACAGACGCCATTTCTGTTCTTTTCACCGCAGTCACTGGGTGAGTTTGTGTCTGAATTATGTCATCAGTGACGTCATCGTCCTGCTCGGTTCCTGACTCATTAAGTAGGCCTCCTTCCCAGTCCTCCCCGCCAGAGGGCTGTTCCATTTTGAAGTTCATACTTTCTGAGCCGCGTTCATAAAAATTTCCGCTGAACAATATACTTTCGTGGCTGTTGTTGGCACTTTCGTTGATACCATTCTTTTCAATGGAACCAGAATGTTCTTCGTCTTCAATCTCCTCCAACGAGCGAATAATTCTTCTATCTTCGGTAGTGGACTTCTTAACTGCTAGGTCTCCATCCTCACTCAACGTTGTCTTCTTCGAAACGTTGAATGAGCGAGTATCACTTTGTGACGAGTGGAAAATATCATTGACTTCTCTTCGATTGGGTTCAACTGAAAATGAAAAAAGGTCTTTGTGATAGCATCTAGCCTTTTATGGAGATCATAATGAAACGCTCTCATTGAGTACGGTCATGGACAGCTTTCTAGGTTAAGTAATCGAACCTGCACGAGCTCATTCCCTTACCGTCACATGATTAATGGCTATAACGTATGAGACTAACAGCTCTGCTGAAACATAGAATGCATGGTAAATTTATCCGAAACCGCCTTTTAATGCTTCAGTGTGAACTTGGATTTCAAAGAGGTCAAAATAGATTGGCATTTAAATCATAAAATTAGGTTCTCTTGTGGAGGTTTAAAATTTCTAATTAATACAAACCTCTAAACAAACTATTAAATTGACCAAGCTGTGAAGCTAGAATATGATTTATATTTGCAGCGTTCATAGGAAAACAGAACAAAAAATGTTTTGCCTCCATTAAGTCTTGCCTGAGATTTTTTTTTCCTTATCATGAAGTAGCGTTCTACAGTTTCCTCTTTCATTCAATGCTGCAATTGGCTTTATTTCAGTAGCCCAGAAAGAGTAAGGAGTGTTTCGTGGACCAATCACAGAACACCTAATTTAAAACGTTTCTAATTTGAGATTTCTTTATACACTCATTTAAGAAAAAAAGAGCTTTGTTGGCTAAAATAAGAGACTTATATACCTTCGTTTTCGGCGTCTTCTCTCGATGCGATATACAAGAGCCTCATGCCTTTGTTGTAACTTGCTAACCTCACTGGTGTACATAATTCACGGGTGAAACAAGACACTGAGTAACAGTGTTCACCAATCCACGCAACTAGGTCGCATGACCTCTGATCACAGCACCGCTGAACACAAAGCTCGGTATCATCTGGAGGACCTAGTCTTTTAAACTTACCAGCTTGGAGACCACCTCGAAGACGAGCGTTTGGAAATGTGTAGCTTTTTGGACAGTTGAAGCGTTGAAGTGCAAACGGAGTTACTGCAAATAAACATTGTAGTAAAAAATGTTCAGTTCAGTAAGTTAGAGTTAAGTGCAAAAAAAAAACCCAAGAAGTTTAGACTTTACTTTTGCAGTTACCGGAACAATTTAAACTGTAATCGAAAGCACTTTGCTTGATTAAACTAACAAGGCAGTAATCGAAAGAAGAGGGGTATGTTTAGCTAAGAGCTTCAAGCTCCCACTCAAACGATGCTGGTTGAAGATGAGTTTAAAAAGCATTTTCGTGACAGAATTCCAGACTGAAAAACATACTTTTAAAAATCACAACATAATTTTTTAAATACTGATTGGAGATATTTTCAGCAGACCATTCGGAAACTTTGGTTCTCAAACTTATGCACACTCCTTACACTGTGCGCTCTTTGGAAGCTCGTCTTTTTGCCTCTCATTTCCATTTTATTTCAGTACCTCGCCTTACTTCTAAAGTACTTATTGTATGGAGTAGTTATAGCCAAGGTCACAGTGTGACATCGATATAGATGAATCATCGGACATAAAGCAAGTTTATGAATTGAATGTCGAGTTACTAACGCTCTCATCTTACCGACAGCACTTAAACGGGCACTGTGAGGTCTTCTCTAACCCTATTTTCATTTTACGACTCTTGAAAAATGATTTGGAATAGACATGCAATATTTTTATGTTCAGCAAGGAAGTTGTCTTGATTTTAAACTTTATGTCTCTATGCACTGCAGCGAACGTACTGTTTCCAACAGGTTTGACATGGAATCCATGAAAGAAAGGACGGAACCATTTTTAAAAATCTGATTTTAAAATGTAGTTTGGTGCCCAAAAACGTTACTCAGTTTCAATTTACTACAAGTTTTCAGTTAAGCAAATTATGCCGGCAGAAATTAGAGCTCCTTCGATCAACTTTAGGCAATTAAATACTAAAAATAGCAATTGTCTCTTGTTATAGGCTAAGGTTTGAATTTGAATAAAAACCAGCACGAGCAACAGGTCTTCAGACCAAATACACATTTCCTCTTGGGAAACTTAAGGAAATCACTATAATAATATTTTTCAGGTGACATTTCTATTGAAATTCGGGTTTAAAAGTCAAAATATGTAACCCTCACTCACCTGGTGAAAAAATTAGAATTAGGAGAAACGTGACCATGAAAATCTCGTTAGGCTGTCTCCACATTTCAAAACGTTGATTTGCAATAGTCTTGAATCGCCAAGCCTTTCTAAGATTATTAAGTAATTAACAGTGCTATAAAAAATGTGTAATTTTCAGAAAAGTTCATCAATTCCTCAGAATTCTAAAAGCGAGCAAATATCCACGTGATTTCCTTTGTTACTTTGCAATCAGCGTTATCTAAATCAAGTTGAAGTAGGATGCACGCCAGAACTGCACACGACAGGTAACAGTTGATTATTCACTCATGATGTTGTCGAAAAGTCAATCGAATTTCCTCTAGCCAGGGATTCTCCAGAGATATTTCATGATGAAGCGAAGTTCAGAACAGCGAAAAATCAAGCGAGCGAAGAATAGTTCAAAAATTCATGTCTTGAATCTGGCGGGTGGCAGCGGGTCCTAATCTTCAAGTTTTTCGCGCTTGGCAAAGACAATTTCCTTGTTTGGTAAAATGATGAGGAAATGAGTTTAGAATACTTTTAGTATGCTCTTGTGTCAGCATTTGCTCCAAGTATAGGTTCTTTGACTTTTTCCTGCTACAAGAAACCTTTAGTACACCTTGGAATTTGTTTCTGTTAAGTTTAAATGAGTTCATTTTCAATTCTGTTCGAGCTTATTTCGTGCAAGCTATCATAACCTGTTGAATTCAAAACTTATATCAAATTACACAAAACAGTAAAACGGAAAAAATCTTAAAATAAACTTTTTTTAAGTAATAATGAGTTGAGGATCATATTTTTGACGGAGGATTAGGTTTAGGTTTGAGAAACTATGGCACCTGATCAAAATGTGTTGATTGTCAAAAGAACACCAAAATATAGGAAACTCACCAACAATAAGGGAAAGATAACAAAAGAAAACGAAAGACATATTTTAAAAGTCATATGGCTGATAGGAAGCCAAAAAAAGAAAATTTAAATTAACTCCCTCAACGTAAAAAAAAAGAAACCATTGTGGAGGTAGAGGAGAGTGTGACAGACTTGAAGTCAGCCGGCGGTCAGTTAGGCAGGTATAACTAGTAACTCAGTCAGTTAGCCAGACAGGATTTAGCTTGATATGGCTATGTGGAGTTATGAAGGACCATGCCAGACTATTAAGGACTGTGCAGGGCCCTGTAGGGCCACATTACTTATCTTCGTCTAACTCTTTCGTTGAGACACTATATGACTATTACATTACCATAATTCGATAACCTCTAGTTGACCGCTGGTAATATGGACCTAAGTCTGTCAGACGAATTATCAAAACAATATCTTTTAACTGGCCACACCGATCTGAGCAGCGATCTGCGTCGATATGTTTGGATGCATTGTCTCTGGACGTTTAGTAAGTATTTTTTTAATTGCCAGAGAGGTTTTATTGTAGTGTAAGAACAGAAAATATCGCTGAACGTACCCCGGTGAGCTCACTGCCTCACATAAATATGGGAGAGAATTGACAAATTTGTCAAATTGAATGCACGTGCTTGTTTTTGTTGACAACACAACATCTTTTAAAAGCTTTTCTTCTTTTTCTTCTTTCTTCTTTTCTTTTCTTCAAGAAATCATTTTTTCACTCAAGGAACATGCATTTCCTTCTATTTCGTAAACATACATGTGTAGGGAAATCGACCTCTCGTGAGGGGGGTTGTTTCTATCCTGTAGGATGATCTGGAAAATTCTATTCATATCCTTTTTTAATCATTGGATAGCTTTTAAAAGATGTTGTGTTGTCATTATACAGCCAAAATATGCCAGATCACATTGGTCTTATTCCATTGAAATATATGAAATATATCGAAATATATCGAAATAGAAATATATCGAAATATATCGAAATATATCGAAATATATCGAAATATATCGAAATATATGTCTAAATAACGTTGTAGTCACTAAAGAAAGAGCCAGAAACCGAAAATTCCTGCAATTGTAATACCTTGATGTTGAAGGTCATCCTTAATTAACTTGTATCATTAAACAATATTAGATTATGAGCATGTGAATTCAATCACTTGTAGAAATCCAGAATGAATAATTTAACTGTTAGACTTAGTAGAATTCTAACAGTTGTTCAAAACTTAACAAGACAGGGTTGTGTTTTAAAATATTGTTTTGTTTACAATCATATTTTATTTGGAGAAACTCTTACCCATCTTATATGCTTCCCTATATTTTTCATATCTCATAGAAGACTCACATATGCATGAACCATTGTTTGACATGTGAATGTAGGCTATTCATGGCTGGCTCATGTGTTTTGTATGTCTTACCATCAATGAGTAAGCTCATTGATTTCCATGTTTGCATCTTTCTCCTATTTTTTTATATTTTCTATAATTTAAGAGTCAAAGTTTGGAACAGTTTGTTATATTAATCTCTGAAGTTTGCACTTTACTTAAGCTGTACTTACTTAGTATCCTAGTAACAATGAAACCTGATATAGTTAAAAAAGTAAGATCAAATTGTTATTGTTGAGATGCAATTGTACATGTAGGTGAAAATGGATGATCATTTAACTTACTTGTTCATGTTACAGCTGAGCATCAAAGATTAACATGCTATAGTATGGTGAATCTTGTTTGTACATGTAGTTTCGTCAATTTTGAAATTCCACTTCTTGATCATTTGGAATGAGATAAGTTTGGCGCTTCCTTAAGTCTAAAGATGTTATAAATCCTTAAAGTGGCTTCTATGGGTAATTATAATATATTTTTATACCTACATTTTTGATGTGCTTGAGTAAGATTTGAAACATGTTTTGATTTTCTTTGGTAAGGTTCAAACAGATGCCCAACAAGTTGGACCAACCCAATTTGTTTTCAACTTAGCTGATGTTGAAAGAATTCACCATGTGATTGTCTTCCTGACGGGTGTCACACCCTTTCCAGACGGGATGGGTGGAGGAGTTTATTATTGTTATCCAACTCCTGAAGGACCAACATCACAGTTGCTTGGATTCATTGGCAACAACAAGCCCAGTGCTATATTTAAACTCGCAAAGGTGAGTTATTATGTCAATAAGCAAATCAAGACACAGTTCAGGGTTTGCATAAGTTTTCCTAATTCTCCCAACTCATGTTTACGTAAACATATGAAGAGCTCTCTTTTGTTTAAATGCAAATATTATATTTTATAAGCGAAATATACAGGATAGCTTTTTTTTAAACCAGGAATGAAGTTGAAAATTGTAAATATTCCTCCTGGTTAATTTTTTGCAGCTTGGAAGCAAATGACAAATATCAGTTCCACGCTGTAGAAAATTTGAACATCTTGAATTGTAAAAATTTGTTCCCACAAAATATTAAGAGTCATTATTCAGCAAAGTCAAACTTGAATAAGCAAAGCTTTCATACTACTTGGTACACAAAAGAATTCAACTGATACACATCTGTACAAAAAGGAAAGACTCAATTGCAACTATGAAACAATTGCTGCAATGTTCGGTTCTTGGGCCCTATCCAAGGTTGCTTCTAAGCATTGCTGATGTTAAAGTGGTCTGATTCTCCTATTGAGGTAAACAACCTCTAACTTTCAAAGTAAATTTGAGATGAATTATTTCACAATAAGTTGAACATAATTTTCAAATTTATTTTGCTACTTGATTTTCAGGCAAGGCCTGAGGAAAGATTACAGAATCCATTTGCATTGAATGCTGGTATGGCTCTTGACCAGGTAGGGGCTCAAATTGGTATCTCAATTGAGCCCCTGGACCAGTTAGCCCAGCAGACTCCAGCAAGTCACACAACACCGTCAAACTTGAACTCATATGTAGAGTACACACAAAAAATGTTAGAGAATTTCTTCAATTTTGCTTCATCATTTGCCATTACTCAGGGGCAAATGACGCCAAACCCCTCAGAGAGCTTTGTACCTTTAAGTGTGGTACAAAAGTGGTATGAAAATTATCAGAGGAAAATGACGAATGATCCGAATTTTTGGAAACGTTAATGGTATGAATTTGACACCATACACTTATAGGAATTTAATGTATTTTAGAGGCAAGGAGCAGGAATGGAGTAAAGTACCCTTTAGAAGAGTTTGCAAAAAAATAAGAAAGCTTCATAGCTAAATATAGACTGTGATTAGTAGACTTGCATACGCCCTACAGCGACAAGAGGTTTTGAAAGGCAGGGCGTGGTAGCAAAATGCAACATGTCTGCTAATCTCTCTGTAAGAGAAACACTTATCGAACTTCGTAACTCGCTCGTCGGAAAGTAATTATACCAGCAGTTGTTATGAAACGTAGACAATTCTTGAAAATAGTTTGAAGAGTCTAAACCCGGGAGGCGATCTTCTTTGCTGGTCAGCGTCAGACTTTTTGCCATGTCCAAATTAAGCTATCATTGTTACGGAATTTATTTGGTTGCTGTGGTACTACAGTGTAAATATAATTGAAATAATAATAATAAAAAAACATATTTATGCAGGATGACCATTTCAGTTATAAAAAAACTGCTATCAACATGGGTCCTGCGTAGAATGAAGAAATGAGTAAATAATAAAATAAAGGATCAAGTAAGTAAGAAATCCAAAAATATAAAAAGAGATAAAAAGATTGAAACTATGAAATTAGGAGATCCTCACAGCTAAGAACACTACTGAAACGAGTAGTTGTAAATAGAACCTGAAAAAAATTTTTTCAGGTCCTATTTACAACCACTCGTTTCAGTAGTGTTCTTAGCTGTGAGGATCTCCTAATTTCATTTTTCCACCGCAGTGCAAATATGTGAATTTTCATATATCTAAAATCTTCATTCACTTGGATGTTTATTTGGACCCAATTCAGTGTCCAGCTCTCAGTTAGCTTGTTAGCTCAATTGGTAGAGCGCTGCACCGGTATCGCAGAGGTCATGGGTTCAAATCCCGTACGGGCCCAAAATTTTTTTTTTTTTTTTTTTCAGGTCCTATTTACAACTACTCGTTTCAGTAGTGTTCTTAGCTGCGAGGATCTCCTAATTTCATCTTTCCACCGCAGTGCAAATATGTGAATTTTCATATATCTAAAATCTTCAAGATTGAAACTAGTTTCAGCACAATTATTCAAAATATCTGCTCCTTTATAAAAAAACGCTCTTTAATTGATTTTAATTTAACCCTATCAGTAACTCGTTTGTTATTATTCCTGATGTCCTAATGGTGAATATTATGTCTTTTAATTTGAAAATATTTGGAGAAATAACTTGAGGCCATTCCCTTGAGGCACTTTTCAACCTGTTTAACAATGAGGTTTTCTCTTCTCGTAAGAGTGACCCAACCGAGACTTGTAACCATCTGTTCGGTGGACAAATGAGCAGTATTCAAGACTATTCAACCACCTCGTCTTTGTAGGCATTTTAGACCTTCTTCATTCCCTTTACCTCATTCATGGAAAACAGCACCACAACAATCCAAAACTGGAAGAATCATCGATTTAAAGAATCTGTTCGCTGATTCAAGTCTTGCTCTTCAAAATCAGAGAAGGCCCCTTTGTTTAAAAGCTAAAGGAACAGACAGCATGACAACAGCAGTGTCTTTATTTTCGTGGAAGACAAACACATCTGTCTGCCTTCTATTTACATGGACAGTCGTACCTAATGTGCTGTTCGCAGTTAACAAAACAAGCTGTCATTGTTAAAGGAATCGACTCTTAATGAGCATTCAGTTAACAGAAGTCGTCTGTGGTGAATGAAATTTCGATTGATTGCCGTGAGTAATGCGGGACTACTTTCGTTTTACTTTACTCTAATCTGTGATTGGTACTGAGATCTCACGTCATCCTACCTCCTAACCAATCAGATGCAAAACTAAAACCAATAGCTTGGTGACGTGCGTGTTCCCGTGCTTGAGGCTGCTTCAAGTGTGTTTCCTTCTACTAGGCTTCCGGAGTGGTATTTACCTCTGTTCCAGTGGGATCGAAAGCTTAATTCTCGTGGGGAGTGTGTGGGGACGCGGCTGGGGACGAGGTATCGAACATTGCATTCGCTCTGACAAATGGCTAACGCTCGAAACGTCAGCTTTACAAACTCTTTGCAGTGGCCAATTTACATCATCAACTCTGTCGATAACACCAAATTTTCTTGTCATACTACCCCACCGACGCAGAACCACAGTTTCTTCAAAAACTTACCCCCGTTTTGTTCGTCAAGATAGTTTTTTATATAAATATATTTGGCGACTGTTTTCCGACATCGCAATGTTTATTTAAACGGAACAAGTGTTCGGCTAGCAGTTAATACTTCTCAACAAAACTACAAACTTACTTAACTTGACGCAGCCATCTCCAACAGAGCATAAACTACTACTTTTCTTAGGCCTTTTTATTCCTTAAGCCGCAATTGACCCACCAAACATCGGTAACGTTAACCAAGGTCTTAATGCTGACTTAAATGTAACTCAGCACATGTTGTCAGCAAACAGAAGGCTTTACTCGGTTGTTGACCAAAGCTACAAACCTACGAAGTATTCAATTCTGTTTGGGGCCAAATAAAGCTACGCACAAAATTTTGACAAAACTTTGAACTTATTACTCTGTGTATGTGCCCTTGATTGTCCTAATTTCAGAACTTTGATTCGCTAAATCATGGTTTTTAGAGCGATTTTCAATTTAGTGTTGAAAGTAACTCAAGCTTGCTTTTTTTTTGTACTCTGCTATATGAATGGTCCAGAATATTAACCGCAAGCACGATCAATCAGGTGCGAAACTAAGACATGTCGCGACTTGATCATTTGCTCCGTCCCGCGGGCGCCTCAGGCAGCTTTTTTTTAACTATAAGTTTTAATCGGCTGCAAGTGACATTTTACTTTGTTGTCATTATTATTTATTACTATGGCTTTTGTTTTCCAACAACTAGAGGAAAACTGCTCTATACTTGAAAAAGAGCAAAGGTCTTCAAATTACTTCTCCCTTAGTCGTACAACATTGTATGATACGTAACATCTTTATCGGGTGTGAAGATAAGATCAGCTTGGTGGTGTTTGTCTTTCGCACTGTTCAGTTCACATAAGTAGTGGTCCTCTCCCTGTTTAAACAAGTTAAATGATTGACAACTGCAAGATCGTAAGCAGTGTAACCCGCACGTAAACTCGTCCCGCACTGATTTCTGAGTAATGACATGTCCCAAGAGTTTGAAGTTCTCTCGTCTCGTAAAGATCGACTGTCGAGCTGGGGGAAACAAACGAAATCAAATTAAATCATAGAATGTACTCCTCAAAAGAAGAGGCTGCAGATTTACGGTGAAAAACAAGATTTTTTTTATTCATTCAATAATGTGATTAGGGACGACATAGGTGTTGTTTTGCTTGAATCAATCCACATATTTCGTATTCTTAATCAAATGCGAAACTGAAAGCAGCTATAAGCTGTTTCCTCGCATTTCTAGTGCTTTAGGTCGGTTACGTCTGTCCTATTTGAGTTTTATTTGGTCTTATTGACTTTATTAACGGCGAAATTCAATACAAAAGCGCTCTATAATGCAGAGTTCTACTCACATAAACTGGAACTGCACGCAGTAGAGGGTGACACAATTTTAACGCCTTTTCTAAGCATTGGGGCGACCACGTTTTCACACCAATTGAATACATTTCCTCTGATGAAGTCACAGCTGTCATAGACTTTCTTTATCTCTTCTGCTGTCAATTCCCTACTCCAGATCCTCAGGTTGCTCATACTTCCGTTTAAACGTTCAACGAACTCACCAGACGCCTTCCTCAGAGCACCAAGCACTAATGTACCACCTCCTTTAAGACCTTCATCTGAGGGTAAATGTACCACAAAATTATTGTATTTCAGCTCAATATACATAACGAAAATATCCCCAGATATTGTTAACCTCAATAGGTGTTTGTAAAAGGTGGGGTTTGTTATTTTTGTCTTTTTTTACGATATTGCTAGCTTGCAGAGGAATGATGTCACAAAATTGTGGCGCGGACGATAAAGGGCTGGGTCGACAAGAATTTTTTCATCCAAATCTTATCTTGTGTCAGTGTCTTCTAGTTCCTCGCAGAGAGTAAAACAGACTACTAACAGTCCAGTTTTCCTGCGCAATACAGTTTGAAAGAAATAAGGTTCACTGAGGAAGTGCTCTTGTCGTAAAACCAAGGACTAACATGGAAGATCCCGATCAAGTGGACTTTTATAGGACAAGTTTCAATGTGACAAAATTTTAAATATATTGATAATTGACATAAAATCTCTTTCAAAAGAGGAAGTGGGTGCTTAAAAGAAATTCTACTCCAGAAATGACTTATTTCAATGAAACGTCGTCGTAAATTTTTGGTTCCATTGTATGCAATATGTATACTCCACACCAAAGGAAAACCTGTTTTTATTGCCACTTCCTTTATTACTTTTTTAAGTTTCAACTACAAAGGAATCACTGTTGGTTAACAATTTCTTAATACGTGCCCCCCCCCCTCGAAGTGCCCCTACTTTTAGCAGAAATTTTAAATAAGCACCTGAACGCTATGAGATACATCAGCTCTTAAAATAGAAATATGCACTGAAGAAAATTGGACTTTTAATCTCGCTGTTAAAGAGTATGTGTAAATTTTATCGATAACAGGTCAAAGAAACTCAATTCTACCAATAGCACCACACGTTTGACGCCTGTTCCACCCACCCTTCCCTTCTTCCCTCTCCAACACCTGCTAACTGGCCTGCTTGACATACAGAGCCTCGCCATTCTATCAAGTAACCATAGTGCTCTGAAACGAGGCAGTATAAATTTGTAGGGCGTCTCACCTGATCTGAAAGGCTTTACTGTTCGGATATGAGTACCTTCAAAGTAGAACCCAATTGTACGAAGTTTTTCGTTCCAAATGATGCTGACATGATGCCAACTGTTATCGTAAAGGTTACCGTGTGGTTGTCGTAGATAGCTGGAAATACAGAAGAACGTAAATAAGACAATGTGCAACCGTATCAGTCTTCTCCAGTTTCCTCTTGCCCATTGTCGATTTGTTGGTTTGCTTATCTAGGTCTCCCTCAAAAAATAAGGTCGTGACAATATACTTTAAAGGAAGTATGTGATAATATTTCTGACTGGATCCTAAGGTGACATTATTAACCGTTTGGTTAATACTTTGGTAAAGCAGAAACCGATCACTCTCGAACAGACCATAGGAGTAAGGATTGTTAAGAGCGGAAACGAATGGCGTTATTTCACGCCAAAAACGTCTGTAGGTTAAAAAGTGTTAAGGTTTCATAAACATGTATATAACTCCTTTAAAGTGAAAAAATGATGGACTGTAAACAAACACAAACTTACAGTTGAATTTGGTCATCCATATAAACATTTATCGTTAATCCTGTTGTCTCCAATTGAAAAGCCTTTACGTAGTCAGTGGTGGAATAAGACAACAGGGTAGTTGTTGGCGCCAGCGATCCAGGGTGTGGCAATAACTTGATCCAAAAACAGACCGTGAATGACACCATGTCAGCAAGGGGACTGAGCTCTGCTATAGCATACCCATCCAAATGTTGTGGAAAGTGCAGATCAAATGATTCTGTGAAAACGCACACACAAAAATTTTTTACTCATCTTAATAGTTTAGATTGTAACAGCTTAAATCTCCTATTTAAATAGTTTATGAGTAAGAGCGCATGGGGCGACTTATAACAATTGTGCTGTGGACGGCACTTATTTTGTCTTAATTTTTTTTAAGTTTAGTCCAAAATTGTTTTGCGTAAGATGATTTTGCCGATATCAGGCTTCTCAATGTCACATCACTACCCTTGTCTCGTGTTAGATGAACTTAAGATCCCCATGAACATCAAAATTTCATCAATTGCGCTATGCAAAACAAATTTTTAAAGTTCAGTCTATAAGCCTTTTCGAGGCTGAAAGTCATCTTGGGAGAAAAAGAAAAAAGAGAAAAAATGGATGTTACAGCCAGAATAATATGCATTAGCTAATTCCAGTAATTTTCATCGCACCGTTGTATATCCTTTTAAGGATATTTCAAAATATCCTTACCTTGACCAGCAACTAAATTCAACGAACATATGACGCCAACAAGATTAAGTTTCTTAGTTTGATCGTCTGGTCATGTCATTTCTACCTGATCTGCTTGAGAGAGCTGTCACTTGGTGCAGCTGATAATTGAGACCAATCATTAGATACATCGTAAATAGAACTGATGCCATGTGGCCGTTCATTCTGCTCTGGAAGCTTTGAACCTGAGGGAAACCAATTGCATTTGTAATTGACCCGCCTCGATTAGCATTTGCTATTTGGGGGTCAAAGGAATATGTTGTAAATAAGTATGAAAATAAAAATAAAAGTGTGTGAAAGATAAAAGCATGTGAACTGATCATTAGCTATACATCGATAGCAATGGTGCTTTTAATAAAAAAAAAAGAAGGAAAAAAACAAATTCGATATTTGGTAAAGGACCAGTTTGTGAGGATGAATTCTTTCTGTAGATCATAATTGTTTTTTTGGATAATTATTTTGAAAAAAAAACAAATGTCACGAATGTAATTGATAGTGTAATTCACGTCACAACTAAACTGAAACGGAAAAGGAAAAGCAAAAAGGGTATACAGATACGAATTACTCTTTTACCATCCTCTAAATGGAAAAGCTCCGGAATTAACGTCGATCTCTATTTATGTGATAACTACATACCCTGATACATTTCGACGAGAACCAAATAGTTACAAAAAGGTTACCCAAGAACCGCTCGGTCATTCCATGTTTCTCCTTCATTTTGCAACGAAGAAACATATCTTTGTCATAAAAATTGTCTGCGTTAAAACCGCTATTTACATGCATGTATTAGAAAATTCTTCTCATACCTTGGATAGTACGTATTGATTAAGAGGAACAGCATCGAATGTGACTGCGGCAATCGCAACTTCTCAACACCACAATTACTGATAAAATAGGCGATTTATTGACGGTGAACGACGTGGGTTGAAACTTATAAATAATAAATAAATACAAATTACAACAATTGATTAAGTGAAGGTGATAAGAAAGAAATACCCTGAGCCAACTTGAAACGACAATACTTACATTGTTACGATTACTGCAAAACTGCGCTTGACGAAAAAACACTGTCCGAAGACGAAATGAAGAATAAAGGAACTGCTTGAAAGCGTAGTGCGACTAGTGCAACTACCGAAAAGAAAAAGGCCCTGAACAGAGAAAATTAAGTTTATATACGCACGAAAAACTAAAAATTAATGCATGCGCAAACGACTAGCTGAAAGTTTAATTGACGCCAATAATTGCGAAAGAAAGAATGATGAACGAAAGTATGTGATATGGGAAACAACAGAAGCTAACTAACAGGTGAAAAAACATTAGACGACGAGAAACAGCAACAACACAAAAGGGACACCTTAATTAATGATTGAATACATTCCGCATGCTAAGATCTTACATCGAAGTTGACGACAGATATTTTAAAATAACGTTATTGCAATAAAAACGTAAGAAAAAAGGCAAGAGAAAGAACACGAAGAGTTGTCGAGGCTTAGTAAGACGACGACATGCTCAATTTATGAATAAAGTTATTCTAAACAGGCAACGAATACTATTGAATCGATGAGCAAACAAAGCACCGGTGGTGACTCCTTTAATTTGTCTCCCGATCTCTTTAGTCTTTTAATAAAAAAAAATTGTTACTCAGTGGAGTCGAATGAAATCAGCAGAAAACTATGTCGGAATGGTTATTTTTCCAAATGTATGGTATACAACGTAATATAAAGGAAAACGCGTACCTTTATATGAAATGTTATTTTTGGTGAATTTTTAACGGTATATAATTGTGGCCAAAGGAAACGATGAAAAGAAACGACATTGCAGTCGGCTGGACATAAACAAATAGATTAAATCGTGCGTTGTGCGATAAGTTACAATCTTGTATTAAACACGAGCCATTTTCAAGACGATCGGGCACTAGGCCTCGATTCTCAAAATTAGGGTAAAAGTCTCCTGATTCTGTCATCATAATTCACTCTACAGTGAACAGACAAATACAAGCAAAAACACATAACGTGCTTTACCTTTGGGAAAGGTCTTGATTTTCATGTAAAACCACAACTGATGATTAAGCCTCCCAGTTGACTATGGAACATGTGCCATTTTAAAATTAAGAGAAGCCAAAGTCCATTTTTAGAATAGCGTGAATGAATCGTGCATGTAAGCTCTATCGATTCAAGTATATCCTCCCCAGAAACTACTAATTATTGTTTGAAGTACCACTGTATTGTGGTCAACCTGTGTTCGATTTTAATCAACATGACGGTTAAATTAAAACTGTGAGGCACCAAAGGTAAATAGTGTCAAATTTGGTAATATTCTTTTGCAAAAAGATCAATACAATATGTCTTACAAAGCAAACACAGATGGCTATTTAAGCCGTTTAAATGAATAGTAAATAATTTCTGTTAAACTTTTCTAATTAGTGCGTCAATACATTCTCATTAAAATCACTTTTAGACGCAAATTCTTTCCACGCCCTTTAGAATTTAGCCAATTAAAATTTAAGTGAACTAAAAAATTTGAAGAGTACCTCTGCGATAGGAAGTCGACTCAACCAAAAATCTCCTAGCGTTACGTTAGGTAAATTATCGTAATTCATACGATCAACAAACAATATTATCAGAATAAAATCTGGTTGCAAACCTAGTGATGTTAATTGGAAGAGTGACCAAGAATTGTTCTCTCGTCGTGTAACGGAAATATATATGACTGGAGTATCATATGACATTCTATTTACTTTGGAATGAAAGACAAGGTCATAAATTGTGGAAAATTAAATATCCAATCTGGAAAGGCGATAAGGAGTACTTAGGAAGATTTCTTCATATCTAAATGCAAATTAGCACCTCGCACAGAACAACTGAGAAAAGAAGAAATTTCGAAGTTCTCGATCAAACTACTCGGAGTTCCAGTGCCACCTAAGCCCCGATTGTCGATTATTTGGTAAAAAAAGATTTGTCCCCGGAGTAAAATTTGAAATGAGGGACACTGCCCATTACAGTGCTAACACTCAATATAAAGTTTTTATTAGTACATATTACAGAAAAATGATTGAGTTGGTTATTTTGTTCTCTGTGATAATTTTATAGCGCAATGATAATTTGATAACTTCGGATCAATATCAGTATCTGCCCACCTACCCCTCCCCTAACTCAACAACAGTCAATTGATAACAAGTTAGGGTTAATTGATAACAAGTTAGGGTTAATTTTGGGTGAGGGGAGGGGTAGGTGGGCAGTTGCCCAGATACTGATATTGATTCATAACTTCCATTTTAAGGTTCGTTGATGACATCTAAAGAGAGTTAATTCTCATTTGAATGAAGTTACAGGTGCAAAAGTCGGAGAAGCTCCCAAGCCAATGATATCCTCTGATTCTCTTGAACCCATACCTCATTGTTAGCATATAGCTTGTCAAAGGAGCTGATTTAAAATTTCAGGAGTTCTTACACGTTGCACATGTTGAGCACTGTCTGTGGGCCGAGGAAAAAGATCAGCTTCAACAGATACGGCAGCGGTGGAGTCTATCTCCTTTCATAAAGCCGTAGGATAATCACCCAATGAAGTAAGGCAACTAGTCTCAGTTGTGTTGCATCTCTGACGGCGCAAACTTTGAACAAAACTTTTCTGGTTAGATCAAAATCATCGAATGCCAACTGTGCTTTTAACCAAGAGATCCAAAATCACACAACCAAACCTTTACGCAGATTCCTTTTTTTTTACTCATTCATTAATGTATTTGTTTATTTATCGATGACTGTTAGTTTCTTTGTCTATCCATTTATCCATCTATCCATCTATCCATTCATTTATTTCATTTTAATTTGTTAATTTGATTTCTTTTCCCGGAGAGATTAAGAAAAAATTGAAAACTTAAATTCGTCCCTGTAACGACGTCAACTTCGGTAATTATCATCTTCCTTCACAATTAGATTGAATATCCTGACAAACAAAAGGAAGTAGACTAATCCACCGATCAGAGTTCAGGAGCCAACAAAAATCGAAGCGATGACATGTGGAGGTCTTTAAAGAAGAAATTATCCATTTATACTAATACAACTGTACATTGTACAGCTTGCTTATTGCATTAATGTTTCACTATTATTGTTTGTACCAGTTGATTTGTTCCATTAATGTGAGTAGCTACCGTTGTGTGCATAATTATCGCATAAGTACAAGTGTTCCTTCATCCGCAGGAAAGTATAAGGCCTTAAGCGACGCGAGCCTGCGAGATGCCTGCCAGGGGTCTATCCCTCATCATTGGTGCCAGACCCCTGGAAAACCTCTCCGCGACTCGTCTTGAAGCAACACGTGTCCTGCAAACTTTAGAGGCATCCTAAATTACGCATTCATTTTTTTCCTGTCTGACCGCTAATTACGGAATCTTACTACAATTCCACACTGCCCCCTGTTCATAGACAAGTGTGTTTTTAAAAAAAAGCTGTATCAAAGGTAATATATGATAACTTTTTTCTTCTCTGACTTCTCCACGGTTTCTAATGTGGGCTGGTACCGAGTCTCGTCCAGGAATATGCTGAATAACCCGGCCACTAAAGCGTTCAATCCCATGATTCCGTAAGGTAAGATTGGGTGAAAACGTTCCTAAAAAAGACAAGAAACTTGATCTTTTCATCCAGATTCATTTGTCTCGAGATCAATATATAAAGCCCAAGCCTATCCTACACACTAACATATAAAGGTCGATCGTGAATAAGAAATCATTTTTGCAAGTGCAACGTGCAGTTGCGCTCCGTGAACGTATAAATCTTCTCTTTCTCAGGCCCTTCTCTTTGTTCGTCAGCCATGTAAGAAAATGTTGCTTATTACAATATATATTTTTCAAGAGAATTAGTGCTGCGATCTAAATGGCACAGTGTCGGATCTTATTCCACTGTTACTGCTCTCGCAGTTAATGTCAGTATTTTAGTTTTCGATAGGTTAATACGCTTTGCTTCAACGAAGGGCTCATGATCAAACAGTCAGCTTTTCAAATCTCATTACTACGACTCATCCGTGGCACTTCTGATTCTGTAATCGTCGGATTATTTTTTTTAATAGGTTCGTTTGGTACGGAAAGAAAAGCCTTTACCACTCACGTATAAATACAACGGCTTACCGAGTATACGATGTACGGAGTACAGAATGATCCAATCCCAGCTGCACCTTCAAACACTCCCATGGCGATGTTTCTGAAGTGAAGAATCAATAATGATAGTGTCGATATAACACAGAACAAGCATTCCGAACTTATTTCACAGCATCCTATGATTGTTCCAGAAAACTCGAACCACCCGCTTAACCAATCCGATGTAAAACTGAAATCAATAGTGACTTGGCAGTTCACGCTTTTCCGCACTTCGGATAGTCTGCTTGTTTATCTCAAGCATTGATTGGTTAATAGTGCTTTGTTCTGATAGGCTGCTGTGATCATCTTGGTTTTGGCTCCCTGACACTCTATCACCGTGACTCCCGCAGTTCGAAAAGATTAAGCGCTAAAACTTCGATAAACTAGTAAGGTAAAACTCTTTAGCTCTCACCCTGAGAAGCTTTGCTTCGCTTAACCTGGATGGTGACAAAATTCAAGTGTAAAGAGGCTCGAAATTTTAACTGTAACTCGTAAAATAGGTTAACCGTAAAAATGTTTCTGGTAATCGAAACGAAAAGAAATTAAACGTTAGCCTCACAATGGCCATAATTTTAACCTTAAGCCGTAAATGTTGCATTGAGACCCTCATCGAGTAATTGCAGACAAATTTTCTGTTCAAGTAGCTTCTCGCATTGATTCTATCAAAACCTTTAGCCGAATATGATAAAAAAAAAATTTATGGTGTTGGCAATTAGACCTAAAAACTCTTACCTGACAGTTGTAGGAAAGAGTTCTCCTGAATACACATACAGACCATCATAAGATATCATTATCCAAAATTTCGACCAGATCAGCGACATAATGATTTTACCGGCAAAATATCCTTCAAAAATGATAAAAGCAATGATTGTAAATATCTTGCATTAATAATATTAAGTAAATTGCCCTTGTCAAAGCGATTCTAAGAGAGGTTAAATAATGAAATCCCACGGTGATTTTCCACACAACAAGTAAGGAGTACGTCTTCGCTCCTGTATAAAAAAAAAATCTTGACATTTTTGTATATCAGTGGTAGTCTGAACAGCTAACTATTTTCTCCAATGGCGCAATATTTTCCTTTCTTAACTATTTATTACTAACCCTTATTGGACTCGTCGTCTGTTGTCAAGAGAAGGGAGCCCGCAGCACCGGCAGCAGTGAGGAGCATTGGAACAATGACGCCCTTTTTACGACCAAACCTAGTAGAAGAGGTTCTCTGTCTTACTTTAAGTAAAGTATCTTCGTTCATTACAAGCTGCCTCCTAACTGTTTCATGATCTGAACAATTTGTCCTCATCTATTCTTTTAGATTAAAATAAGAGTACGATGCATCACCACACACACACACACAGTAACAGCAATAATGTATAATAAGGGAGGTTGTTATTATTATCATTATTATTATCATTACTACTATTATTATTACAACAGTGATCTTTTCTTGAACACAAGAAATTCCACGATTGATTTCCTGAAAAGGTTTTGTCTATATTGAGGATTTGTGAAAGGTGATAAATTTATCAATTCGATTGCACGGTGACTGATAAGATGAAAGAGTAAATATAGCACAATACTATCAATTGGAAAATTTATAGAAAATTAAACGAATTTTTTTTTGTTCATGTTTCGTAAATGGCAAATCACGAGATTTTGTGCAATTTTTTACTGACTTGTTATAAATCCAAATGCCTGCCGGGATTGCTGGAAGCTCGATAACACTGGTCAAGAAGAAGTTCAAGTGCGTGCTGCCACCAATGGTGGGTGTGCTCAGGTATACGCCATAGTACACCATGGCATTGACAAACCTAGCAACACAAAATGAAACAGAGGAAGGTCACCTAAATGGCCACTGTTTTGTACCCAGAAGGCAAGAAACTTCACCCTTGCAATGCCGTTTCTCCCTTGGCAGTTTAAATAGGTAGCGCAAACTCCGAAGAAAACGGATAAGTTCGTGGGATGGAATATTGTCTAGTTCAGAAGGAACAAATCTCCTTTCCGCCGCGGAAATTATGGCTGTCAGAGGCCACTTTGGTTCGCTTAACACTTGAATTACGGAAACCTACATTTCACTGAGAAGTAGTTGTGCCCTTCTTCCTAGCAGTTTCTTGTATAAAATGAGACGAATGTCGTTCTCTATAGACATTAGCAGCAGGATAGTTATGATTGAAGGAATCGTTGACTCCTGACTTCGGCAGTCAGAGAGACTTTGCCAGAAGACAAGACATCGCTTCTTATACTATCCCATATAGGAACCACTTCATCTAAAATAAGGCAAGTCTGAAATTGATACATTCATCTACAGGCGGCCCAAGCTCCAGCTGTGAGATGATCACCTTGCGAAATAGGAGTCATGGCGAAGTCATAAGAGTTTGTATGGGAATATTTACGACGGCTCTTAGGAATATAAATACAATCAAACTCTCAATAAATGTACCTCACCACCGTCATTTGACATGAACAAATTGTTTTAGAACCACGGATGCCAAGTTACGGTGTTGTCCCCGGCGAGGTCGTGTGTCAAGGTGATTGTGTACGCGGGCCGTTAGCAACGTCTAAACTGGAAATTTTTGAAGCAAACTGCGGCGTAGCGTCGGTTTCACAGGGAAGATTGAGTTTATAGTGAATTGAAATGAAACTGAAGTACGCGTGCTTGGATACTGCGTTGGATTTGTGGCCGCCCGGTCATTTTGAGCTTGGATTTCTCGCTTCTCGGATCGGGCTTTCGGAAATGGAGTGCGCAGCCTTGGGCTATTCTTATGTACTTATAGTAAACCTAGAAATAGATGACTAGCTAAAATGGGCTCTTATCAACAAAGTAAGCGGTCAGATAGCAAGCGATGCACCGTGGAAGTAAGGTGAGGTATTTTTATTGAGAATTTGATTGTATTTTTTATTCCTAGGAGCGGTCGTAAATATTCTTATACAAAACTCTCATAATTTCGCCATGACTCTTATTTCGCAAGATGATCATCTCACAGCTGGAGTTTGGGCCGCCTTTGATTCATCATCAACCAAGACAGCTCATTTGTGTCTTGGAAAAATTTCTTCAAATTTATTTTCTTGAGAGGCTACATGATTTTCCTACACCGTGGTGAAAAAAAAAGTTGTTGATATTGAAAATTATTTAAGATTACATATTTCTTCTTCCTACCAACAATAACCCGTTATCAGTGTCTTCATAGCCATGTCGCGTGAACCGAACAAATCCCGAATGTCTCCCATTCTTTCTTCGTGCTTTACTTCAAACTTGATTTCCTCTTTCGAAATCTGTTTGCCATTCACGTGGGCAATGCTTTTGCAGAGATCCACAGCCTTTTCAGTCTTTCCTTTCACAATCAGCCACCGAAGAGATTCCGGAAAAATCCTGACAAAAAGAGGAAGCATCGTTTCAAGGCAACTAAATAGATAATTACTCAGCCATATCTAAGCATATATCACATAACGATTTTCAGCTGGAAATATCAAGTTAACGTTGACTGAATATAAATTGGATGGTTTGTCGTTGTCTAGTCGGTTAGTTTGCAAGTCTTTAGGAGGGACATCTATGGTAAGCTTCTAAAGAACCCTGAAAAGTCGGCACTTACAAGAAGCCCAAGGCAAGAGGGATTGCTGGTGCCCCTGTGACAATACACAGTAATCTCCAATCTGTTATGAGATACGCAATTCCTGCCAGGCCCATCAACGAAAGGGTCCAAGAATACCAAAGAGACGTCCCCATTATGGCCCTGTGTCGAGCACCCACAAATTCGGAGATAAAGATGAAGATACTCACTCCACCACCTGATAAAGAGAAAAGCACCGATAATAATAATTGACTATGATTATAATGATTAGAGGGTACTAGTACCCTGGAATAAATACGTAGCTAAAAATATAACATAGGGCTGGATTAAATTAAGTAAATAATATTTATAGCGGAGATATAGTATTGCCCGAACATACATTCGATCTACACAGACATCAAACACACAAAAACAAAGAATTATAACAAGATTTAACAATTTTCGAAGATCAAACTCTAGCTACCGTTGCATACATGGACAATAGTACCTTAAGATAAAGTCAGTTGCCGAGAGTGTCATCAGTACAATGAAAGATAGTGCTCCCTAACAACCGAGTGAGAATTCACTTTCAAATAAATGTGTATCGCATAAGCAGCTCTGTGAAATCCCTACGTATTTTTTCATAGCACACACTTACCTAAACTAAAACCAACAACGAAACGAAAAAGAGTGAATAGCCAATAGGAGTTGGGGAAAGCTGACAGCAAGCTGAATAGTGCAACAACAAATCCAGATGTGAATATGATGATTCTCCTGCCGAATTTGTCCGATAAAGTACTTATTATGGCGTTACCCATCAAAGAGCCAAGGAAGAGCAAAGAGGAAGACACAGTTCCATAGATCGCTTTGTCACACACCAGGTCAAACTGTGAAGGAAAAGGAGACTTAATAGATTTAAGTAATTTTCTAATTCTAGTCAGATTAAGGTTGCAAAGTGCATTTAAACTGAATGTCGTAATACCAAACCTAAAATCAAACGAATAGTATGAATTCCAATCAGAGCCTATTCACTCACTAATGTCTGTACCTGTGTGACAACTGAAGTATACTCGCCAACAAATTCCCAAGCTCCTCTTGACATGTTACACCTCAGATCGTAGTTGTTGTCCCCTGGGTACACAATTGCACCTATCTGACACTCAGTGCTGTTTGCAACGCAACGCCACCCGGGCTCAGCGGCAATGAACGTTGACAGAAGCAGCGGCCATGCGAACCAGAACCACCCGAGGATGCTGGCGAAGATTAGCAGACGCAATTGATAACGGCCGAAGCTACCGATTTTTGTTAGCACCTGGTCAGCGGTTAATGCCATTGCTTGAACAGACAAGAAAGAGAGGGGGTAGTGTATATTTTCTGATTGTTTTTGTTTTGTTTTATTCTTATTTAGTGTAATTGCTCAGGCTATTATTGAGATACATATGCTCTGATTGGTCGAGTATTGTGTCATATCTTGCAATAATCACTTTGCACGAGGTGATTCTAGCAAGGGCGCCAAATTTCAAATGACTGCCCTGCGTTTGGAAAAAGTTTCCGAGGAAGTAATAGACACGATAGAAGAAAATTCAATTGCAAAAAACACAGAAGATGCTACTGAGTTTGGCGTAACATTCCTCAGAAGTGAACTGTGAAGTTTTTGCTGATTTATTAAATAGACCTGTTAAATTATCTTGATATGAGTAATCAACACAATAGTAACAAAATGCGCGCAATGCTTTCTTTACTTACAGAATTTACAATGGAATTCAAAAGCGTCTAAGCAATTATATTAAAACAATTATTCGCCTCAGGCTTTGTGGCGATTGTCCCATGATCCCCTCAAAAAATCGTTTTGATCGAGAGCTTACAAGTAAAAAAGTAACAGAACTAATATATAAAATGCGACGGGCCTACCACCGAAAAAGACAATAAATTCGGTTTAAACATATTTCACCGTATGTAACTAGTATTTCTTGACGTCCACTGAGACCTGAGCTTAAGCAACACAAAGTCGCCTTGCATACTTTAAATTTGCTTTAACTTAAACAATTATTTTTCTCAGGCTTGCCGAATATGTCATTATTATAATCAAGTCGGCGCCTCTCGCCTCGTTGGTTATTTATCATCTCATATTCGGCGTGTCTTCGTAGAATAATCGTTGGATATTCACCTTGCTTTTAACGAGTAATTTTTGCGTGGGATTTCCCTACACTTTGTCAGGGCCTGCGGTATTTATTTATCTATTTGTGTACGAAAGCAAAGTTTCGGTCACGTGGTCTCTGATTTACACTTGAATGATTTCATTACTTTCAACTCCTGTTTATTCCTACCAACAACCGAAGTTTTACGGAAAGATACATCATAATGACAAAGTCCAGTACTATCCTGTGGATTTACGATTAGCAATTTGAGGTTCCCTCTTTCAACTATGATTTGTTGATACGTTGCGTGACGGCACCAGGTTCTGTAGATTCGCAGTTAAAAAACTAATGCCTTCAAACTTCCTGCCAAAATTTTTCACATTAACTGTTCATGTTTAAACAGAAAAGCTAATTTGCAAAAGTATAGTTTCCGTTAATTGTTCTAAGCTGGAAGCACGAATACTATTAACTAACATTTGAAGTTGCTTACTGGTTTATCCAGGTTTATCGTAAACAAATTCTACTCTGCTACGAGCGACTGATTCCAATATTTCCGCTGAGGAATAAAAGTAGACGGCATTTACCTTTTTGTCGAATGCAAATATTTCATGAGTCCCTGAAACTGTGTTCATGCCTGAAGTGCGTTGACTCTAACACATTTTGGCAGTTAATTGTGCAAAGGATTCGGTGGCTGAGAACCTCAGATGTTCAAATGCACCCAATTGTAATGTGCGGCAAGACCTAACCTAGAAAATTTTTATTTCAGTGACTCTTAACTCTGTCAATCACCGCCCTTTCTTTCTCCCATGATAACTTGGGGGCCGTGTCCAGCTTTGTCAGTTGATTGGGAAAATACACAAACCACAATAAATGGCATTTCCCATGGTAGGTTATCCCAAACTGTATCGCTTTGAAGTTTTAGTATCTCTTGTCAACCAACGGCTACACTGGATTTCTGATTTTGCCAACGTTAAAAAAAATGTCCCGAAGGAAAACCATTTTCCCTTTGTGGTTACGTATGAGTTTCAAATGGAGAACCGTGATTGGCTCTTATACCTTAGAAATACCTTGGACATCAAAACACCACCACATTTAATGTCATGGGTGCTTTGTGTGATCTTTTTGACGTATCCATAAATGTTTACCAAATTGTAGACTACCTCCAGAAGTAGTCCTCTTTTTCCGTTCCGAACGGAACAGCGAAAATTTCCTTACCATTTGGTAAATTTTCCAGTTTCCAGTCTCTCATCAGCCGAAAACAATTGCAAATGGTAAGCAACATCTCGTTCGGCTGGTTTGCTGACTTTGGGAAAACTCTTATCATCATTGACCAGTCATCCCAACCGGTTTATTTTGACAAATGGTAAGCACACCTAATTTCCTCGAAACTAGAAGTCCAAACATGTTTCTCCCGTAACCGTTTTCTCGTCTGTAGCTTGGGATTCTACAGAATCTTTACTCGACATTTATCACTATAACATGACAAAATGTATTACATTTATTGTGAAGGTAATCTCACTGCATCAACGTTTACTTGACTGAAGTACCGCACAAGTACGCATTGCGAACCCTTTTTTAAATTTGCATCTATCAAAGAATTTATTTTTATCTGTAGCCGGTATGAATATCGAAAGTAAGTGCTAGCGCGACACTAAAAGCAATCAAGAGGCATGTTGCCCCTTATTGACGATTGAGCCAAGCAATTTGGCCAAAAATAGATACCAACGGCGAAGGGTAATTAGCAACCGGCTATCTGTCGTTTGTTTAACCCTAGAGATGTTTACAAGGTCACTCTTCTGATCCTCATTTCAGATAAGATAAGGTCAGTGATTTGGGTTACACGAATGTTTCTCTTGGTTTTTATTTCAGCAAGTTAGAGCTTGCTCTTTCAATACTGTACAACTCCTTCACAGCGACCAAGAGATTAAAACACTAAGGAATTGCCGCCTACATTTCTAAAGAATACGGATCTTCTGAGCTTTTTCATCGCACTTGTTGTCACAACTTGTGTTCCATAGTAAAACATAAAACATTTGATGAACTTTAATCACGAACAAGCGTATTACCAACTTTATCAATAGTTGCTAAGGAGTTTCGTTTTTTACACTTCAGAGGAAAAGCTTCAAATCAAGGATGAAAAACGAACAAACTTGCTAGACAAAAAACTTCGCCTAGTAGCCCTCTTGAGTTGTCTGATGTCGCTTGTTAATTCGAAGATCGCTAGTTTTTCCTTGAGTGGCATTCTCGTTCTGATTTAAAATTCTTTACCCCTAACCATGCACTTATGGACATTTTTTGGTTCACCTTGATTTGGAATTGGAGCTCCTAAATTGGAATTTTCCAGTCAAATTATACGTGCGGTAACGAACCTAAGTAAATCTGATCGAATCATGCTCGACAAAGTTAAACGCCCTGAGGGAATCAGATATCCATCAACTCTGCCAAGTCAGACGTCTGCGGAACTGAAAGCTATTTTGATTTCGTTGGAGCTATTTGAGGTATGTAATTAATCCTCGAGTTTGTTCTGTAAGCTGTTATGAGTATAATATCTGAAGGTATTTGCCGCAGCTTTTAATTATGAACCATCTCTCCAAATTACGCTCATCCCATCGAAAGAGAAAGTGATTTCATTTCCTCAAGGTAATGATTCATTTTCTTTTGCCCTTCAGCTGGGTAACATTTTAACAGACTTGAAACGGGCATTTCGTCCAGTTTGATAAGTACTTCTTGATACAAAACAGATTGTTGACTTCAGCTAGACCTGGTATTGGTTCCACTAGGTCTCTAGTACAGTGATAAGAAACGGCCCGTTTCTTGTATCAATAAACAAACTGAACTCACCTCTTCTACAGAAAGGAAGTGAATCACCTCTCTTGTTCCTTTGGGCAACACATAAAACAACTGTATTCTGATGCTTAAGGTTATAGTCGTGTTGATGGCTCAAAGTGAGTATCTGTTACCAGTTGGGTGTCATGTGAACTAGATGATATTTCACCATCCCGGGAATGTCTTAGAAGGGTGTCACTTTCTTCTTATATCGTTTTAAGCTCCAAACACATTTTTTAAGGATCAGTTTTGGTCTTAAGTAACAAAGATTAAAAAGTTTTCGCCTGCACCAGCATTTTCGTTTATCAGTTTAACTGATCCACGCTAGTCCGTTGACCATAGACGTGACTGCCTACCGTCATAACCAAAGCGCCAAGGATTGAAATACTGGTCGGGCTGAAAATATGTAACGCTTTTTCAAAAACTTCCGTTTTTAACCTGACCACACAAGAAACATAAGATTTTCAAAACGATCTTTACAATAAAATCTCCACTTTTGAAACAATTTTCCAACTTTCAAACGAAGATAGTGCAGATTGCGGGTGAATAGTGTCACGCAAATTCGTCAAAATGTGATGTTTACTTTGAAATACAACTGTTTGCCTTACGATGTAATTATTTCTGATGTCAATCGCTACCTTTCGACAAGCCTGCGGGCGTTTGTAGCGTTGTGGCGTTTTCCGACCCAGGAAGATTTGAGACGAGTCGGGGAGAGGTTTGCTGGGGGTCTGGCACTAATATTGAGTGTTAAAGCCTTGCAGACCTCTCGCCAGCTCATGTTGCTTAAGCTTGGCCTCTTACTTTCCAGTAGACGAAGAAACGCTTGTGCTAATGATGAAGCCTACCCTCAAACTATCTTTCGACAGCATAATACTAATCTTCTTCAACGTAAAACCATTGTTCTCAGCTGTGATAGGATGGTTTTTAACTTCTAGCCCATTCATTGAGCTCCCTCAGTGGTCCGTTACCAGACATAAGTTCTTGCGGGCCGGCTGCAGTGTCAATTGAAACCTCGAGGTTTGGTCAAGATCCTTGCCTATACTTTCATTCGAGCAAACAAATTTCAAAACAAAATTACCCAGAGAAGCTGTGACGGAACAGTTAGCACATTAGCCTGCGTTGAGAGGTCCGGATTGACCTTGCCGGGTCACCGCGTTGTCTTCTTATGTCAGTACTGTACAATTATATTTCCTTCTTCCACCTAGGGGTGTAAATGAGCAGGTTAACTTGTGATGCACGGGCATCCCATCCAAGAGGAGTTTCAGTACTTCCTAGGGACATCATGCGAGTCGGGGATAAGCTTTTCCACCCCCTCCACCCACAATAAAATTTCTGCTTATGACAATATTCCTCTAGATTTACCTCTCTCCCCTTCTCCTAGCCATTCATCGTGGTTCCCAGGCCGTTTACCTGTGAATATACATCAGTTTTTGCAACATTTGCTCATCCAAACTAATGTTTCAAAGCAACAGAGCCATGTTCCTTTCGTTTTTAAAAAAATGTGAAACAGTCTTAGTGTTTCACCAGATAAGGCTACCATGATGAACTCAGTCTGCATACAAGTATCTGATTTATTGGGGAATATACCGTGAACTACTTTAGGAAGGAATTATATAAAACAAGTTCCACCAAATTCACTTTTAATTATGAATTAATAATTTCACCAAATGATTATTCAAAACCTTTTGCACGCTACACGCTGTAAACATAAAAATCAGAAAGATCTCCATTTTCCAAGTTCATTTTTCAAGTTCAAAAGTATTCACCATGTTCATGTTGTTTGAACATCTGGGTTGGAGTTGGGTTTAATGTTAAAAGAAAAACAGTGACTGAGTGTCCATGCAAGGTCAATGCATAACATTACTGAAATTTCTGGGTAACCTGTCGTTTCATACTATGAACTGGGTGACCCAGCTTGGTTGATTTGTACCCACTCAGTTCAGTTGTTTGCACTCATGCTAATAAAGTGTTTCCATGTTAGGTATTCTTAACCTTTTCCACCCTAACATCAGTATGCATATTCTCCATACTGTTCCCTGTATATATCTATACATTCCCTTGGGTGCTGATGAGGAGAATTTGTTTCATAATCCAGAGCTTCTCTAGTTGGTGACCATTTCTTTTATTCTCATTACCTGAATGTTTGGTTTGGGGGTGATATTGTAGGGAGAAATTAGATGCTGGTCACTCTTAAGGGTTGAAGTGTTAAAGTAAAGTCAGTTTAATATTTTAAATAGCAACATCAACTGTGTTGAATAACTTTTGAAATTTTTCTATTTTTGATATACAACCAGTGAAATTAAGGCCTAGGGCTGAAAAAGCAGGGTCCATGAGTCATAAGAAAGACACAAACAGTATTTCCACCAGATACATACAGGCTGTATATCTTTACTTTCCATCCTAAATGAACTTGCATTACAAACTATTGTTCATAATATCAAAACCTCAATTTTTAAAAATTGTATTTAGACAGTATTGTGAATGAATGTATATGTATATTGGGACAAGTTGACAAGCAGTTCAAGTACAAACCCTCTCAAACTTGATACAATTTGACTACTTTGGATATGAGACAACTGAGTATGAAACCACTGAATACCGATTTCTTTAGAACTGTAGCTAATGCCAAGACTGCAGAGAGATACAGTTGAAATCAGTACACACAAATAAGAACTTAAATGAAGGAAAACCTAACTGAAAGTAAAACCTTTACCAAAAGTTTGACTTTGTTCTTGCCTACCTACATGTAACTATTTTTATGAAACACAATGCCTATATGTGCATGATAAAAAACCACTATGTCACGGTTCCATGAGGAAACGAACTTAAGTTTTCCCTGAAAGTGCCTTCTTTAGTTCAGATGGTTTAAACACACCATGTTCAGTGACAATGCCCCCTGTTATCAATTCTGCTGGAGTCACATCAAAAGCTGGATTCCAGCAAGCAATGCCAGGAGCAGCAATGCGAACACCTGCTACAGTAGTAAGTTCTTCTGCAGGTCTCTCCTCAATCACAATGTCACTGCCATGTTCTAAGGACAGGTCTATGCTAGTGGAGGGCACAGCAACATAGAATGGGATTCCATGATGTTTAGCTGAAAAAGAAAAGAAAGTTTATTGTTAACATTGACTGGCAGTATTTTATATAAAAACTTTAATATCTGTGGGACAAAGACACTGCCTATTTGTACACAAGACTATAGAGATATCAGTCCGGGTGCAAGCTTCTTAATGGGTCATTGAACACTGGGTTTTTTAGGTTAGACAGTTTACCCTCAAAAATTCCCTCCCAAAAAACTGTTTGGGAAAGGTAATGAATTGCTTTCTTTGTTTAAATAGAAATCAAAACTCTGTCCTTATAAACCATGCAGTGGAAATAACAAATTCAGCAGCACACAGAATTAAGTGCAATTTGGTGTTAATAAGTACAAGTAAATTTTTGAAAGATTTAGGAGTGTTTATTTAACCCAAATTGCTTGAGAAATCATGTTGTTACTTGTTAATAATTTACATGGAAAAAGCATTGCAGAAAGTCAAGACAGATGAAATTTTGAAAGTGCTTGCATTTGTAATTTGCACTTGTGTTATAACTTTGCACTTGTTTTCAGCCAATCAGAAGCACATAATTTTTTTCATGTATACTATTAATCAGTATGGGCCTAATGAGCTAATGAGTCTGAATATCAAAAAAAAAAAAGGAAAAGAGACAATGCCTGGCATATCATTTCTTTACCAGCTATAGCAATCTGATATGTCCCTATCTTATTGGCTGTATCTCCATTGGAAACCACTCTGTCAGCACCAACAACAACTGCATGTACTCCTTTTGTCTTCATGAGTAGTGACACCATTGAATCTGCAACTAAAGTTGAAGGAATATTCTCATAGACCAACTCATATGCTGTAAGCCTTGATCCTTGGTTATAAGGTCTGGTCTCAGTGCAGAACACATGGTCAATATGGTCTTGTTCAGACAAATGTCTTATCACTCCTAATGCTGTCCCAAATCCTGACGTTGCTAGGGAACCAGTGTTGCAGTGTGTGAGCACCTTTAACTTGTCAGCCCCCACCAGTTGTAACATATGCTCTGCACCAAGCCTTCCAAGAGCCTTGTTATCACTTAAATCTTTGTCTAGCATTCCTTCTATTTCTTTGATAAGTTCTATCTTGATACTTTCAGTATCGCTGAGTTTTGATGACAAGCCTTTGACAAATAATGTCAAATGCTTTGCAGCTTCCATAATATTTACAGCTGTTGGTCGAGCTGTGGTAAGATACTGAAGCTTCTCTGCAACAAAGTTTTCCACTTCTTCTTTGGAACTAAATGACATTGGTAAAATCTCTACTGCAAGACTCAAGGCACCAACCAAAGCAATTGCAGGAGCTCCACGAACCTGGAACAATAAAATATACATATATCTCTGAAAGGTTTGAGTATTCACTAAATCAAATGCTCATTTACTGAATGCACAGTTTGAAATAAATGACTCTATAACATACATCACATACACTAGAAAAATTTGCCATAGCACATTGTAACTTGATCATAAATATGACTGTTAGTCATATTACAATATCAGTGCTCTGATGCAGGATCATTTTTAAACAACAAAAATAACCAACTAAATTTCATCAGGATTTAAAGTTGTACCAGGCAGGCACCACAATGCAAAGAGAAAGAGAAAGGGAAAAGTGGAGTCAAAGACACTTATGAGTCCACTGCATAAGTTTCAATCCAAATCACTAGAGCTTTATGTTCAACATAATTCTGTCTAACACAATAAATCTGTAATAAACTGTTCTTCATCTGTGCTTAGTTTACTGTAGTCTTGATCCAAATCCACTTGTAAGTAAATGTGTACAGACTCTCAGTAACATAGAATTTGATTTTCTCTTTGGAATGTATGGTTCACAAACAGTTTTCCTTCATCTCACTTCACCCTGTAATCCTTTCCCCTGAACTGAATGAACAAGTATACCCAATTTATTTACAGTATATATTTCTGGAAATGATCCATTGGAGTTCGTCTTCTTTTTATCTTTATCAGCCGAACCGGTCTTGAATTTTTGTTGCTCTTCAGTATGAAGTCAAATTCCTAAAAATATTTGTTCCTTTTTCTTTCCCTCATCGTTTCCTAACCATCCACCTCTCTTGGTTAGGAAGGAAGCTGATTCAGCAATTTTTTTAATAGAAGATGTTTGTTTTGATCCACTGTTTACAAGAAAGTGGGAAATATTCCCATAAATTAAAGGATGCAAACTATCTTGATTTGTGCCGGGTGAAATTGTCTCCTCAAGATTAACATGGAACTGAGCAAGTTTGCTTGTTTTCCTACTCTTTACACATAAATCACAAACTATTTGAGCACTTTCGGCACAATTTTTCCAAGAAGCTACGATTAAATTCGATGGTAACTTTCTTCTTCGAATTGAATAAACATTAAAATAAATAAGAAGTATTCCACCTTCACTCTTCGTAAAAACCTTTCGAGCCGCCGAAGTGAAAACGTACTTGTATCAACGTTCCAAAACGTTCCCTGAGTCAGCAACCCTGGATGTCCACGTGGACAATTGAGGTCCTTATTACGATTTCACAAAATAGCGCTAGCTTCTAAACGAGATCAGTACATATAAAAGCTATCCTTGTCTACATCACGGCCTTTGAAAAACATTCGTATAATTTTGCTCCAAAAAAGCCACCTATCCCAACATAAAGGTTTTAAATTAATGAAAATTGAATGGGTTCTCATTATTTTAAAATTAGCTCACTTCGCTAACATTATTTGTGAGCTGGTTTGCCTAACTAACCTTCATTGCTTTTATCGCTTGCCAGCCATCTTCTACGCCTCTAATCTCCTCATATACTGACTTGTGAGGAAGGAGAAGTTGGTTTAGAATCTCAAGATGTCCACGTTTGTATTTTATCGCTAATAGAGACATTTTTGCTTCCGATGCAAAGCTTTAAACTATAGACCTCGTTTTGACAACCATAATATTTAACTTCCCCCTCCCCAGAGTAGAAAATGAGCTCTCCCGAGTCCTTCCGCCGAGTAAAGAATGTTTTTCAGTTTCACTGGAATTATTTCGATTTCATATTAAATGGATCCTAAAACGGGTGGTCTAACCTGGGTAAATACGTTACGCTTAACTTCGAATTGGAAAATACTTTCTTAAAAATAAAATTCACTGAGATAGCTTTCTATTTTCCACATTACAGTGTAAATGCTTAACCAAGAGAATAAACAATACCTAATCACTTTGCCTTACTCAAGTATATCATATTTGCATCTATGAAGGTTTATTGCTATTAAAGGGATATAGGCCCAACGTAACGCATGGGACAAAAAAGAACCAAATCACGTATGATAGAAAAAATTAGTAAGCGGCATGATTACGAAAGTAGCTGCAAATTAATGTTAACACTGAGTGCCAACATCCTCGCTGGCTGGAAGACAATACGGAAATTTTAAAGGCCGTTATGTTCATAATTGCGTTCATAATTGCGTAGAGTGACAAGCATCATGGAAACCAAAACTAATAAGAACTCGAACGTTCTCCTTTATGGCTTTTCATTCCATTTGATTCTTACCTTAAAGCTCACTCGGTTTTACTCGCTATTCGTTGCACCGGCGTCAAACAGCTGTTGAGTAAAACATCCTTCCTACAAGTCCTCGAAATCAGCTTGCTGATAACATTATTGTTGATGTCGACATCTACGGGTGTGCTTGGAAGTGGATCGAAAACTAAGGAACAAGTCGTCAAGAGAGATTTTTCTCATGTGCCAAGCGTAGAAGTGTCTGCTCCAACTCGAATGGGCAACTGCGAAATGTAAGTTGTTTTTGTAACATGTGTAGGTGTTCACATAAGGAACATGGTTCTCACACAAATACCCGGGTGTGTTCTTTATTCCTTTTTTTTTTTTAACCATCATAGGTGTTTGCTTCAAATTAATTATCCTTAGTCGGTTTTACATCTTCCATTTGCGTGTACATAACAATACAGTGGACGTCTTCACAAGTAAAAGTCAAATACAACTGATCAGTTCAGTTTGAACTTGCCTAATTAAATAAATATGTAACATCTGGTGCACAATTTGTTGCGACATAAAGGATAACTAGCACTGTTTTTCTGCTTGAGGCATGCAGTGACTTGAACACTTTTTGGAACAAAAACGAAAAGCAATAAATAAAACTCGAGTCTTAAGTGAATTTTTTTTTCTTCAGGGTTAATTAATTAAGAGAAGGTTTTTGGTTTTCATCTCGTTTTGTCAGAGTGCATTTAGAAATTATAACAGTAGACTATTGCAGTGAGTGCATCGTGAGTTCATGTCATCTTTGAAATATATGTTCCTTTTTGTTGCTGTTTGTAATTTCTTGCTCTTGATCTCTCTCGCCGTAATGATCTACTCGATATAACTTTTGTTCCTTGACCAAGCTGATCATCTTTTCACATGAAAATTTTATTTCATCATAGCAACCTGAAAGTCTCTCTTTTATTGTCACACAAAATTGAAATTTGCTACAAGCTTTGAACATTTTTTTAATGAGCTTCTTGGCTACAGCCCAAAATTAGAAATATCAAAAAGGACAACAAGAAAAAAATATCAGGTCTGAACTAAAATTGAAACATTCTTACAATAACTCCATGGTAAACTTAAAAGTAATGTCAAAGTCATTAGTGGAAGAGCGGTAAAAACTTCTGCTATTCAAAATCTCTAAAATTTTAAGGTTAAAACATTCTATGCGATTCTCTGAAAATTAAGCGATTGAAAGTAATATTATGTCCTTCTTCCTTTTCTAATAAGCGACATCTAAAAAGCCAAATGTAGGGGTTCTCTCTTGATTAATCATATTTCGTTGTTACTATCGAACAGAGGGCAGAAATTTAAAGAAGGATAAAGGTGAGACAAATAAATCATATAATAAACAATTTGAATATTCTAAAAATAACTATAAGGTAGACTTTACATTAGATTACAGTCATTTCGTGGAAGGGGGGAACATCTAGCACCCGCCTCCCAGAAAATATACGTCTGATTTGCAGGCTATCACTTGTTAGTTCCATTGTTGAATAAGGTCAGAAGGCAGGAGGGAAAGATTCGTTCGGAATAAAGCGACGTAAGTTATTCCATGTACTCTTAGATTGGATAGTACTCCATCACAGAGTTCCTTGATGCGTGTAGTTTACTAGTCAGCGACCCTTCAGAATCCCGGGTACAGAGAGAAAATGTAAGGTTAATGTGGCCTCCTCGAGAACACAACATAAGGAGCAAGTCACAGCTAGACCCTGGGGTTCTCAATCAGTCGTTCTGAAGTACAGTGTTCTCAGCATTGGGCCGGAATGTTTCCCAGCGTTGACGATAATGAATTCATAATTTGAATACTTCATTTCATCGAAATTATATGAGCGGCTGTAAATATGTCAAACTTGCCACACGGGGACAGGAGAACGGCTTATCTACTCATGCTGACAACGGTGCTCACAGCTTCCTTGTAATAATGATAAGCGTGTGTGAGCTGATTTTAACTCTCTCCAAAAATGTGGATGAGATCGAGACAGACGGGAAAGGAACAAATAAGATTAATTTTAAGTAATTAGGCTCAGCTCATTCCCCGCCAAAATTAATTTTACGCGCCCATTTCTTCCGCCCAGTGCTTGGTCTACTGATGTACACACACATTGATAAAAAAGTCACCGCTGTACTTTTCATCAGGGTTTCAAAGCAATATTGTTTCGCTATTTCTTTCGTAAATATGTGGTGAACGGACAAAAAATAAAATATTAATGTTTGGGTGCACGTTTTACTTTTGTTTCGCGGTTCAACTCCCAGTTGATAATTGGCATTTTGTTAACAACGCAATACTAATGATATATTTTCAGAACGTTTCTCCTGTATTTGAAATAACTCGAGCTCGGTCTTATCTTTCAGTTTCTTGGCTGACTGGTCAAATATCATTATCCTTAACGTAATTATTACCCATTATTTGACTGTAATCATTACTTTCAGCAAATGTTTGGTTCGCGTGATTGGTTGTTTTATGTTCTTTTCTCTCTCGACCTGTAAACAAGTCCTGAGGGAAAGATTATTGGAACACATTATTTGCATCAGTAGTTTTGCTTATAGAGGCACGCCAACACAATTTCAAGTCATTCAACTAGTTGCAAGCGGGCTGGAAACAATTTGACTGGCTGAAAGCTGCGAAATCCGGTCGTTCAGGTAAGGTAACGCTTTTTTGTCCAGATCCAATAAACGTCATTTTCAAGTCATTGCTGGAGGAAACTTCCCCACAGAACCATAAAGTTGTTAGCAAACCTTTTGGCCGTAATTGCTCTTTAAAAATCCTATTAATTGAGTTTCAACTATATCATGGCTAGGCGCCAAAAATTTATATTTCAATCCATCAGCCATTCTAGTCAATAGCGAAGAGAATTCTTTCAAACAGCTTTTCCTTTAGGTTTTAAGGCCTAGGAAAATAACGTTTTTTTTCCTCTTGAAGAAAAAATTTTATTAAGTCGAGTAACCACCAAACGCGCTGAACTAAAAACGATACAACATACGCTTTTCATTCCTTCAGATCCCCTGAAGAAGTAATTTCCACTCGCTTCTCCTTAAGTCCACTTAAAATCAAATTGCGTTCAATTCCATGCTAACATTAAATTTATATCGATGAAATTTCTATTGCGGTTTTAATGATGTATAACTAAGAAGGTAAAGAAAGATCGCGCGCAAATTTTTACCGCAACTCAGCCGTGTAAGGTAGAATACGCCTGGGTGTCCATAAATGCTCCCAAAGCGACTGGCATTGAATCAGTTATATTAACATATTAAAAAAGTTAATGCATGAGATTTCAAAATTGAATTCGCTTATTGAACCTGGGTCACTTCAAAACACTTTCAAACATCCGAGAGCGAAAAGCACTCCAGGGAGGAGCCTAAATTTGCCGCCCTTGTGGTTCAATTATCAATTGATTGTATGATCTATAACAAGCTAAGGTTATGAAGTCCTCAAGAACTTGATTAAAGTGACAGTCAGTAATGTACTTTAAACTCCTTGCAACAGCGGAGAAACAGGTCGAAAGAATCTTCTCCGGTGATTCTTATTCACCCACGAAGAACTTGTATGTCTAACAAAAGGCATATACGGTTATTTACAAAACTTTGTAAATTGGGCGGCTGTAATTAGACACCGACTTGACCGCGCGGTAATGACGTCACATATTCCCGCTTAAAAAAAACTCATCAGAATGGACAAAATTTGTCAGAGATACGACTGATTTATGGTTATCATAACCATAAATCCCTTAAGTTGTTTATTCTAGAATTAAGATCCCAAGCAATACCAAATTGTAAGCTACACCTCCAAAAGTTTACACCCTAAGGTCAAATAAGGGCGGTAGTGCAATTGCTGCTCTTTTCATCAGCCTTTCGTGCAACGATGAGTCATTTTATTTAGCAGACTCTTTCTAACACTAAATTATAGATATAGCGTTGAGAAGTATCGTAAAACGGATATGACATTTTAAAATGGCGAGAGTCAAACACTTTGTTTTGAAGTCGAAATATCATTGTGGTTCACTTACAGCAGACACGAGAGCGCCCAGAAAAATATTCAAACAGAAAAAAACAAATGCTTAATATCAAAAATGTAACATGCTTGGACATAACGTGATACCTCTGGATCAGACACAAAGCAATACAAAACGGAAATTTCCTGCTACCCTCGACAATTTATTATAGATTGTTTACGTTTTACCCATTCTGGATTGTTCAGTGTATTTTTAAAATACGTTAGGGTTGCAGTTGTTACTGTAAAGATGCAATGAGTTATCGATTTAATTAAGCTTTTTAAATCTTCGGGTGAAAACTTCGCTGGTTTGGAGTTTTAAACTTGTAGCATTACGCCAGGGTTTTCGTTTATTTTTTCTACTCTACTTGAAAGCAATTGACTTGGTTTATCAGCAGTTATCTGTTGAACAGTTTCGACTTTAGACTCCTTGTTCTATTTGCAATAAGAATTTTTAGCGTTTTCAGCTCAATTATCTGGCTTTGAATGAACCCCAGATAGAAATAATTGCATAATGCAAGGAATGAAGGGAAGTTTCTTGAGTATGGAAACGTTGTTGCTGATATTGAGTGCTGCTTTTTATAGTCATTGTTTTCAACCTTTTGATATACCTCTGTCTGAGCAAAAGTATCAATAGACAATTGTTGATGATACTAGGCTAAGCACACGGCAAGATTTATCGCCTCGATATCGTAAATAGTTATTATAAATAAAGAGAACATCTTTTTTAAACGAAAGGTCCTTTTTGACTAAAAGTAATGGTTAATTGCATGCTCTAAAATCATGATTTTTCCCAGAAAGCAAAAACTTGACAGTTATTCTTGACCTGTCCTCTAACTAAAATTATGAAGCTCATCATCAAAAATGGGGTTTGAATCTTTCGGAAAAGTTATGATGCTCAGTGAGTAATCTTTCATGCGGGATCCATAAAACTTACATCGAGAAACCATAAAAAGATTCAAGTTTCTCCTTCGCCGTTTTACAAAGGACTTTAAGTTTGTTTTTTTTGTTTTTTTTTGCGCAACATTTTTTTTGTTATATTGTTCTTGTGTTGCACTGCTGAATCATGTCCTAATGGCAATGGAAACAACAAAAACAGCCGGTATTAACACGTGTATTTAGCATCTTCAACATGTCACAGACGACCTGATATTAAAAGAAATCCGGCCGGTATTTGTTTCTTGAATTTTTTTGTGCTAAATCTGAAAGAATTACATTCGAAATTTGGTCAGTAATTGGAGCATAAAATGTAGGAATGTAACCGTCGATCCTGGTTCAATCTGCAAACTAATGAAATTGTCTATCTCTCGCTAGTGAAGAATAGTTTAGGGAGACATCTTGAAATATATGCACACAAAAATTGTTTTAAGAGATGAAAACTAAGGTGAGTGGTCTTTGGCTTTGGTTAGTCTTGTTATCGAGAGTATAATCTCCACCCTATCTTGAGGTGTGTTCTGTTTGAGGACAGCCAAGGAAATCGGCGGAAATTTTCTCTGACTATAATATAATCGCTATGCCTTTTATGGGTCCCTTTCGTTGAGATCTTAGTATCAGTTAATAAAATCATTGTGAATTGATGAACTAGAGTAAATATAAAGAATCTTACCATGGCCACCCAGCATTAAAGAAGGTCAGGAGAAAATTAGGGAGAAGTTTAATTTGTAGATCGTTGCTGCACAATAACTACATGTAAAGGCTCATATCCTGGGTAAGATTAATGATTTGGCGTCCCGGATTCTTTCACTTTAATCAGAGTGTTAGCTTTGATTTTGGATATTGCAAATGTCGGCGAGTATTCAAAATTCACGGGGGAGTGGTAGATTGATTGGCGAGCCCACATCGCGTGTCGTATATCAAATGCCTTGGATATCATGAATCGTTATCAAAGGTGAGCAAACAAACCTCACCCTTTACCTCAGCTGAGTACAGCGAAGCAACACTCTCCACTCAAGCCGTAAGTTCCCTTTGAATGTTTTGAGTGTGTAATACACCGTAGATAATATGAATTGATGACGGTCCTAGAGTTCATTATCGGGGGTTTTATTGCCAGGCGCACTGTGTAAATATTCGTCCATGCAAAGTGTATCTACTTTCTGGTATCTTCTTTTAAAATGAATTTCATAAAGGCGTTCAGTGTTGCTTGCGCTCTTTCCAGTAAAGTAGAGTAAGCCAAAAAATTTTGGGACCACATTTTCTTGTTCGGATTTCTGATCACCCAAAGTGCGATGCGTGCGTTCTCCCATTTCGTCGTAATTTAAGGGCCGGTCTTAAATCAAAATGTTAATAGATTCTATTTGGAGTTACGTTTCTGTAACTGTTCAGGTTACGAACTTTCAGGTTTACGAAACGTTCAGGTTTCGACTTTCCATACTTCTTTTATTCAAAAACTAGATTTTGATTTTGATAATAAAGACACAAATGTGGCATTTTTTACGACTAAATAATAATAATAATAATAATAATGTTTATTTCTTATATTGCGCAGTCTAGCATGCGATAAAGATATGATCGAGTGCGCATTACAACACTAAAATCTTAAAGTAATAATGGCTAGTCCAGATAATGATAATAATAATAATAATTTACAATTTTCGGAAAACAATAAAAGTAAAATATGAGTTAATAAAAGAACTAATAAAATGCTAATTTAAAAAGATGTGTCTTTAGTAAAACTTTAAAAATGTTCAAACTAGACTATCAGACTATTGCAGCTACTAGACTTCAGACTATTGCAGCTGCAGCTCAAACTCTACAGAAATGACATTTCAAGAGGCCTCTTTTTCCCTTTCATCGGTAAAGAACAATTTTAAAGCCTTGAGACCAGATTAAAATTAGATATAATTTACAACAAAGAGGTTGAAATTTTCATTTCCTCTCTCCTGCTCTCTTTAAAGATGCTGGGAGAGACGAAAATAATCCGAGCACCTTTGCAAATTCCCGATTTATTTTTATTGGTGTCTATCATTCCTCGCAAAGAAAGTATGTGTTCATCCCGTTGGACTGTGACCACACTGAGATAATGCAGAAAAAACCCTTAAAATTGAATAAATCGGCATTTTCCCAATCACATGTGAACTCTAGTTTGTCCAATATTAGTTACAGTTTCTTTTGAAAATGGCATAAAATGGCCAAACTTAGCTTGATATACATAAAATCATGACAGAGAAAGTGTTTTAATCTGTCTTCGCAGCTTCTATTAGCTGCGATTTTAAAAAGGAAAAATTTAATATGCCAAATATTCCTTGTTAGCTATTACTAACTGCAATTAAAAAAAACAAATGTAAACAAGCAATTTCAGAGCAGAAAGCCCATGATAGTGCATACACTTCGGCTCTGTGTTTGCTTACTTTGGAAAACGTGATCGAATGAACAAAATGAACAAGTAAAGTATAAAAAGCTGCTGTTAGTGTGTTCAATGTGCTAAGCAGAAAAGAAGTTCCTTTGTTTAACTTATCACACACAGAGCAGGTCAGATCATACATTCTCAATGGGCTGTTGATTGAGTACCTGCCTTATGTCAAAATAACTTTTATACTTAATGCAGTTTTCATTCTTCATTTTGCAGTTACTTTCAACCACACGACATGGCTAACATTAGAGTTTTGGCGATTTTTCTGCTGATCGCTTTAAGCACGGCCGAGAGAATGGTGAGTTTTATCAAATTTAACTCTGTATAACTTAGCTAACACTACGAATTATTCTACTGCATGATCATTTTAAACTTTCATAAATGCACAATATTTTCCCTTCGATTTGAGACTGAAGTTTTTCTGGGTAACACCCTTTTTCAAGAAAGACAAGGTTAGAGGACATTCACATATTGTGAAATTTCTGAGTGTAACAATCTCTCTTTCAATTCCTCTTACAACGACGTTGATTCTTTCGAACAAATTACACCTCATTACGCCTACAGAGCCAGAGAGAGCATAAAATACAGATAACAACTTACAATAAGAGCAGTATGGTGAAAATTTAGGGAATGAACATCAGCTACACGATACTTCTAGGAAACTCTTTGACATAATTTTGATTTTTTTTCTTTTCAGAATGAAAGAATGATCAGTTTTAAAATGCTTTAAAAAAATCTCTGACTGAGAAATGAAAGTAGATTAAAAAACTGAATTATAGAAACCATAAACGAGCATTTTCATTTCGCACAACAAAAGTGTACACAAATTGAAAAAACAAATTAAAAGTAAGTATATGACTCAATAAGCTGTGCAATAAAAGTAACAAGGAAATTGAAAATAGTGACATTATTTAATTGAAAGTATGAAGCGCAATTTCGATCCTCGTAGCCTGTACAAATCATTTTGTTGCCCCACATTTCTAATTCATGTTTTTGTGATTCAATTTTGTTAGGTCCCCAAAGTAGGCTTTGCAAAATGGAAAGCGCTGAGGGAATTAAAGAGAAACACAGGTAATACAAAACATACTCAGCCCTCCTGTTTGATTGGGCATATCATGTCTCTGCAGCAGAAATCGTTAAATGCGTTCATTTTGGTTGCTGCTGTAAAGGAGCAGTAGACGGAAAAGTTGTCAGTCGTTTATAAACACGTGAGATTGGAGAGAGACGATAAGTTTACGAGTAAAAAGTCACGTTTGAAACTTCAAAAATGGGCGGGGAGAAGAGATAAGTAGGAAAGAATAGAGGAAGAAATTCCTAAATAAAAATTGACAGTAGGGAAATACGTGTTTCTTCCTACTGATATCCATGTAAGCGAATATACTCGAGGTACTCTGCGAAAGGTATCCTTGTATAGCTAAGGTTATGCCAATACAATATCTCTTATAGTTTTTACTGCACTCACCAGTTAGCATATACCTGTTATATGGTGTCACTTACATTGATAAAGTAGAGATTATGTTAAACATACGTGAGAAATGTATATAGCTGATGACTTTCAGTTTCTAGACATTTCCAACTTGCCCTTCCTCATTGGAAAGTCGAGTTTGTAGAATCAATCACTATAAAAAACGAAAAAAAATGAATAATTTTCAAGTTGATTTTTAGAGCTACACTGGCTTTTGGACATGCACTCTGTGAATGATCCGATAAAAAAACAAACAATCAAAAAAACTCACACCTCGCTATGGACCAATTATTACTTTGCGCCTGGAAGGAGGGAAGGGGGAGCGGAGGGTCTGAGGGGGATCACATGGTTTTACAGGGGGGAGGGAGGATCAGCTTTCCTTAACAGAGCCTAAAGTGGAGACTATAGAAAATTGAATGCCTGTGAGGGGGTCATTGGAATACAACAGAGCTTAAGAGGAGGAATCCTCCCCACACCACCCCTCCTAGGCGTCCCCCCAACCCTCCTCCTAGGCGATAACTAATGTTCCTAATCAAGTAGTTATTTGCAAATCTAAACGAGCTGGAGCCTGGTTACAAAGATTAAGAAAGAAAAAATGTTTGGAATCAACAGTTCTCAATGCACCACCCTTATGCAACAAAGCCATTGACATTGGAATCACGATGGAGAGAAGGACAGAAGATGAGTGGGGATTGGAAAAGAAGTTTGCAGAGGCACTCATCAATAAGTTCCCTGTCAATCACGATATGACCCACATTGGTGTCATTGGGTTCGATCAGCGTACTCAGTTACTTTTCGATTTCAACAAACTGTTGTTAAGTGCCACATACAAGGAAGACATGTTAAAACTGATCGAGTCCTGGGGCCCTGGTAATTCGAATGATACGACTCGTGACAAAGTCATAGATCGAGCGCTGGAACTTGCGGGTGAAAAATTGTTTACTGAAGTTGGTGGAGCCAGAGGATACGATCAGGTTTGGCTATAAATTTGGGTTGCTTTTGGAAAATCTTTCATTGAGCTCTGTCATAAGGAATTTTTTATAATCGGCGCCGGGGTCAGTGTAAATCCTCAAGCTCGTATTCAGAGCACTTCACCATTTCAGTGTTAGAAAGCAGCCTGGGAATGAAGCTGGTATGGATTTAATCCATCCTCATTTATCACTGATCTTGTTTGGTTTACTCTTATACAAAGTGATCAGGAACCAGTCGCTATTTATTTATGGCCGGGGGGGGGGAGAGGGTGGGAGGATTTCGGAGGGATCACATGGTACTCAGGGGAAATGGAAGGGGAATCAGTCGTCGCCAAATGATTATAGAGAGAGGCTATAGAAAATTGATTGCAAATTACCTGCTAATGAGAAGGGCTCATAAAATATTACAGAGACTTATGAGAATCAGATAACCTTTATCGTTACACAACCATAACCCCCCCTCCCCCCTCCTCCGTCAGGCGATAAGTATCGAATAGTCTCTTAATTCATCCATTTATTCGTCATTCACTAGTTCGTTCATTCATTTACTCATTCATTTATCTAAATACATAGCAGGGCTCATTTCATTTTTATTTTTGCTTCCCAGGTTCTTGTGCTTTTGACAGACGGCAAGCAAGTGAGTCAAAGTGTTCCATCTCCTGATACTCCCGCAGCGCCAGTCGCCCGTAGACTTGAACTGCAAGGAGTACAAATTATTGTGGTTGGTATCGGCTTTCCAGATCCTATAGAGCTTTTGGAAATTGCTGGTGCTGGTGTGGATAATATGGAAAAGTACAACAACATATTTTACCTGAGGGATGAAAGCATTCTTCAGTCCGAGGTAGAGAAAGTGGCAAAACGCATATGTGAGATGACCGCATCAGACATACATTCAGTTTAAACCATTTACTGTTAACAGTCTTGTAGCAGTGACATGTTTCTTGATTTAGTCGCTGAAGAATCAAAACTAATTTTGCAGCTAGTCAGCGATACGTAGAACTGAAGATTTCTTTTAGTTTTGAAAAGTTTGCTTTGATGTTCTCGTTATTTTTAATCAAATAGCTCTCTGATATTCTCATCGCGTAAAGGTCGTATCAATCACATTTATGTTGTAAGAAAAAAAGTTCACTGCAGACAATTAAACAGACGCCCTATCTTGTATTAACAGTTTAACTTCATAAAATTGGCAAATAAATTGTTTTGTTGCCTGAATAAACTTACTAGCGTTTACTAAATTTACCTTCGTAGACTTAAACAGCGCTTCAGGAATGCATGCAAAACTAAACATCACTACATGCAGGGTAGTCAAAAAAATGATTAAAAAATGAAACCCTGAGTTATTATAAAGTTTAGGTTTCGGTTTGTAGCTGAACAAACACATTTAAGATTAATGTCTTTCGGTTCGTGCGTTTTGCCTGACTGAGCTATAACCCCGAAAAACGTAAAACCACACACTAGCTTTTTCACGTGAGAAATAAAAACAAAGTGATACCCCTGTCAAATCCTGGTCAAATCCTACTCGACCTTTCAATGGCCTTCCCCAGTGTATATTTTCTTTAGCCGAAATAAAAGCGTATTTTTTTCAACTTTCTTCTTTGAAAAAGGAGCAGATATAGTTCATTCGCCTTTCCTAATACTCGAGAACAGGAGAAATAAATTAGACCCAGTGTGCATGTCGGTATCTAGCGCAAAATCGCAACCTTTTTTGTTGGTACTCAAAAATTTAGAATGTCTTTAACGGCTATTTTCATTTATGCATTCAATTATAAATCTATATATCTTCAAGAAAAGTTGGATTTTTTCTTCTTTTGTGCTGATCCTCCACTGAGCGCTATAATATTCGCCAAAAAGCAATCGCAGCAAAGTTATGTCCAACTAAACCTGAGAACTTGAAACCCCGCACGAATCCTAGGTCGAAGTGGGGATCGAAATATTTTTGTAGTTATTGTGAGAGGCAACCTGTCGAAAAACAATCGAATAACATCAGTCCCGAGACGTCTCCTTCCCTCACCTCCCTCTCCGACACGAATATACACCGACCCTCAGTGATCTCGAGCATAGACTAATCAAGGATCAGTTCCACCGTATCCTGTCTCGCCCCCTCCCTTTGATATGTATATCAAATGAAGAGGCCATACAAACTGTGTAGCAATAAAAAAGGAATTTTAGTTTTTGGTTGAAAAAGTATCAAAATTGTTGGGTGGCTTCTACATAATAAAACGTGATCAAGCGACAAGGAGTGTTCCCGAAAAACACTTTGGCTTCAGAGATTTACGTAAGAGGGTATTTTTAATAAGGAGAACGAAAAAGTGCCGAAGTATCGACCAATCGAATAATTCATAGCGAAGTGTTATCAACCGTGTTCTGTTTTGTCGTCGAAAACATTAGTCTCGGGTCAAAATTAGGGGATTGAAAAAGCCAGGCTTTAATTTAGTCGTTTTTTAGCTTCGAATAGAAAACAGTTTTTTTTTTCTTCAGTTAAACAAAGGCGCGTTTACACAGATGTTTGTCTCTTTTTCAAAGCATTTTCCATTTCCTTGACGTTTAATGCGAAAGTAATTTACTCTAATGACAGGAACAAAAACATCTGATAGGTGAGTTGGGCAGCTTAGGGGGAACCTCACATTACTAAAATGCTCAACTCAACAAAAAGCCAGGCTTTAATTCAGTCGTTTTTTAGCTTCGAATAGAAAACAGTTTTTTTTTCTTCAGTTAAACAAAGGCGCGTTTACACAGATGTTTGTCTCTTTTTCAAAGCATTTTCCATTTCCTTGACGTTTAATGCGAAAGTAATTTACTCTAATGACAGGAACAAAAACATCTGACAGGTGAGTTGGGCAGCTTAGGGGGAACCTCACATTACTAAAATGCTCAACTGTGAAGAGTGATTGTGCAACTCAAGATCGGAAGAGCTTCGTTGGCAATTTCTTTATCTTACAAGAGGCACTTCATAATGTATTTTGTGCTTTTCTCACGTGCACAGCGCGGGGGTCGATGCTTTAGCAGTGTTATTATTACAGAAATAATCCTTTACATTTGGTTCTTTTCCACTACTGAATTTTTAGGCGCAACACTAGCTTTTTATCCAGCAACGTTTTCTAATCGTAAATTGGTGCCCCGTGCAGGATCTAGGCATGTGTATCGCTCTTTAAGTGACACAGACTGGTTGAACTGCATTATAAAATGTCACAACGATCCGATTTGTGTTTCCTACAATTTCGATCGTTCCTCGGACGATCTTGGAGTCTGTGAAATGCTGAGTTGTGGAATAGAGAGTTTATGCGACCAAAAAAGCTCTCTGATGTACTTGAAAGGAGCGATCTTTCAGCAGTTAACCTCGAAAAAGGTAAGGTTATTCATTTTCCATCGTATTTGAGGATGTTTTGGAGAACTTGACCAGGAGTGATTTTAGAGCACTTATAAAACTTCAGGTCACAGATGTCAAGCAAAGATACCTGATATCTGTGAATACATCAAAAACGTCACTTGAGTCGAAAGAAATTGTCAAGTTTTTGTTCAAATTTGGCAAGCTTTGAGAACTTGCGGATATTGTTACAAAATTCAGACAGCAATTCTGAAGCATACTGGGAGTTATAGAAGGATGTTGCCTTCTCATAAGTGAAGGACTGGAGCCAAATCTGAGACCCTTGCGGCGAGTTGAGCAAAATATATACTTGCTTCGTTCATGAAAAAATTCTCATTGGCAAAAAATCAGTTCTGTATAAAAAGCTCATAGGTCTTTTCAGAGGTGACCCGGAAAGCATATCGAATTCAACCACTGTTTCACAATGCTACTGTCTACTTAAAGAAAAAAAGCTTCATTTGATTGAAATTAGTGATACGGATTTACTTTTCTGTTTGAATGGGTCAAAGTTGTGTACTCAGTGACAGATCTGACAGATCTAATCATTGATTCTGGAATTTCTTTTAGGATACTAATATCTGTGATCCGTCATCAAGCACAGACAGTGAGGATGGAAACAGGGGTAGGTTCTTATATGTCAAAGGTAGAATTGAAATTACACCAAAAATTGATAAATGGATAGATCCGTAGTCTAGGCAAGGTTCTTTCCTGGGGTTGCCGTGGAACATTTTTTTCTACCTGTTTGTCTAGGGTTAGCCGCCTTTTCTCTCCACTGAAGAAACTCCTGTCTATCCACGCCCCGAAGCCATTTTTCCACTGAGCACGTTGTCTTCGTCTCTCTCTTATCTCTTCTGCCTTTTCATCACGAACGCTATGATTCCAATATTCCATTTCCTTTGTCTTGCTTCTAGTAAATATTTTTTACATATAAAAATTATTAAGAATATTTAAGAAACAGACGTACAGACAGATAACAGAATTGCAGATCGACAGACGAACAGTAAAGGCAGAGGAAAAAAGGAACGATGAACGTGGAAAAAGGGTGGTTAAGCAGATAGACAAACAGACAAGATAATTTGGTTTCATCAACTAAGTTGATGTTGTAAATTAGCCACAGTAAAGAGTTTCTGAGCTGATGTTTCGAGCATAATCCCTTCGTCAAAACGAATAGCAGACAGACAGACAGACAGACACACGGAAATGACGAAAGAAGGGCTGTTATGTCTCATTTCCCTATCCGATTCCAGATTTCAGTTTTTCTTTTCCATCTGTTGGTACAACCGATAACTACGTTCAGAAGCAGGGCCCGATGGTCCATTTGTCACAGATAAGTTTCTGCTTCTGGCTTAACGCGACAAGAGATCGTCTGACCATCTTTAGTTACCTGAGTTCCAAAGGAATCATAGAGTTAATGTTGCAAGTCGTCGACAGGAACAGTTTGTTGCTTACTGTGGGAGGAAATTCGAGGTAAGAAATTACTCAAACGACCGAGCTATTGCGACTTGATGGATTGATGGATGAAGGGACAAAAGGACAGACTGATCGACGGGATGCATGTTAACACGAAAGCACTGAAGCACTAACACACCGTCACAGACCACACCTCTGAGCAAAATACAAAGCCTTTATAGTTGAAGCTTTATAGTTGAGATCACCTTCTGTTGTCGTTATGAAATGTTACACTTCTATGAAAAACAAAAGTGCGTTACATTGTAAAGTAATTACATTTTCCGGTGACAAAATGTTATAAATGTTGACATTTGTTTTATCAATCTTATATTTAGTCCTTCGCAGTAAAAAAACAGTAAAACAAAGTAAAAGCAAAAATTAACAAAAGAAGAAGAGCTGTTTACAACAGTAACAAAAGTAGATATTTACACCAAGGTCGCCATCATCATGGACAAATTGCAAATGCGAAGGAAAACAAATTCATTATCAAACAAAAACGAAGGATTTGTATTTTCACTGGAAGTTTTTTTTGTTGGTTGCCTTGCAGTGATTGAGTCATTCTCCATGTATTTCACTTGTTATCTTGTCATTATTGTCCATGAAAGAAAATAAGAGTGAAAGGCACTCAATTTCGACTTGAAGTTTCCCCCAATACCATGCGAATTTATTTTAAAGTGACAGCTTTGTGAAGCCCACTGTGGCTGGCCATTCTTACAAATAGCATGAGGCTTTTAAGTGTAATTCACTTGTCAATTCCAACCTCTTTTTCCGTAGGAAAATTACGGCGACAGTAAACGATGGGAAATGGCATCACACCTGCACCATATGGGACAACTCTGATGGGGCGTGGTCGTTTTTCAAGGATGGTGTTGCTGTATCAAATAAAAGCGGTTTTGAAGTCGGTTATTTTATTCCCCCTGGGGGAACATTCGTGCTCGGTCAAGAACAAAAATCTGACAAAACTTTCAAAAACGTGCCATTTATTGGCGAACTGGCTAATTTTAACATTTGGAGCCGCACTTTGCCTGCCATAAAAGTCTTAAAGATCTCCAAGTGGTGCTTTAGAGGACGGGGAGACGTGATTTCGTGGCCTGATTTTCAATCTGTTCAGATAAACGGCAACGTGAAAATTTCAAAGCCTTCTTCTTGTGCGAAGTGAGCTTCATGCAGGCTATGCCTGGATTGTATTTTGTAGTTATGCCATAGATAGCTTTGGCGAGGAAGACACTAAAAAGTAATGTGACAAAAAGACGATCGTTTTTCTAGAAAATTAGAGGATTAAACATGCATTGGGTTAAAAAAAAAATTATAAATTCTTGAAGGAGGGTACATTTGACATTTAGAAATTTTGAAGGCAACAGTCAAAAGATTATATTCAAGCAGATCACCATTATGTCCAATGGCGGATCCAGACCTTGAGCTAAGAGGGACGGAACATTCTTTTATTATTATCATATCCTTATTATCATATCCTTATTATCATAAAGGGGTAGTTCGCAGAACTTTCCTTGAAAGCTGTAAAGAACCTGCCGATATGATGATGGAAGACGTTCTTTTGCCAAAATGGCTGCAAATAATGATAAATGAAAGAACCTCAACTAAATAGAAGAAGGCAAGTATTCTGTGTGTTTTAAACACCTTTTGATAAGGAAACCGGTATCAGTTTCACCAAGAACGCGGGCTCATCTATGCAATCCCTAAACTCATTTGCATCCACGCTGCTGTTTAGAGTGTGTACTGGAGCGTTAGCAGGATTCTAAAAGCGCTGATCGCGGAAAATCTGAATTTAACCAGGTAAAATTTTACCTTAAACTATTTGAGTACTGTAAGCGGTAAAATTTCCGCACAGCCCCATACTACATTAAGCATTCAGTTCTTGGATAGAGAAAACAATGATAAAAACAATAGATTGCCATTGGGAAAACAGATTTGTTTTACAATAGTATGGGGCTGTGCGGAAATTTTACCGTGTGTTGTGTGCTAAATTTGGAGAGGTTTATACTCGTGCGTGTGGTTTGTGAAAATCCACTAGATTTTATTTTCTGCGGATTGCCCTTGTTCCACAAAGCTTTGCTGAAACAGAATTGTTTGTTCTAAATACGATAAGTACTAATTCATATCGAGCTGCCATGGACTTAGGCAATTTAAGAATCCATGTCGACCATGCTTTGAAGACTTGGCCAACAAGTTTGGATTTGAGTCACAATCATACTCATACGAGGTGTGTTCTCATCTCTGCCATGTCACAAGCATCACATGTGTCAAATACTGGCAGATCGAAAATATTGATCAAAAACATACACCACAATTTTTAGAGTATAACTCGGACTTCCAGTATTCTTGTTGTTAGTCTAGTGGATGATACCTCAAAGATGTGTTTCCGTTTGAGGAACTGAACACCAGCTTGATGTCATATGGTGTCATTTTGCCGGAATTTATAGTGACATATTTGTAAATGTTACATGTTGGTAATGTTCAGGCTTATGTTCAGACTTCAATTTGAATTAGGAAACTTGGCAAGTACATGTACATTTGCTCTTGTGCAAGTCTAAGGATTCTCATAGAGACTTCCCTTGGACATAAGTTAAATGGAAGCTTTCAAACTGTTGCTAGCTAGAATGTTCAAATTACAGTTATTTACCTGCTTTGAGGTAGCTGTCTTGCTCCAATCCTCTTGTAAGGTGATTCAATCAGTCAGCCATAACTGGTTCTCTTCCTCTTATTTCCAACAGAGTTAAAGAAATTTCATGATTTTCTTCATTAGAGATCTAGTAGCATTTTACTTACTCTATTCTTGAAAGTTTGCATTTGCTTATAAGCACTGTCAATTCAAAAAATTAGTTTTGAAGTAATCTGCTTTCATAAATCTTCTTAAATTGTTATTTGACAGTTCCTCCCAAGAAAAAACTGGGCTTGATTTTTATAGGGAAAATAGATGTGTGCTTGGTTTCAACAAAACAAGATGTACTATGTGCTAATTCAGCAGCATTGATAATTAAAGTGGCATGTCCTGAAAGCATGTTTTAAACCTGAAATCTGTCATAGTCATTTTGTTTCTCTTTTATGAATTGTACTTTTCCTTACCATATGACAATGACCAACTCAAACACTGTACACCATTAAGTATTCTTGTAATTTAGTTTGATATTTTTCCCCAAACAAAAGTTGTATTGTGGCTACTTTTTGATATCTTCATTGTAATTCTTTGTAAACAGTGTGCAGTAAATTTTGACTTGACTCTGTCTTTGATAGGTTTTCAAAATATGGGGTAGACTCTGTAATGGTAAAAGTTAGGTTAAGTCGGCAATTGAGCTGAGTTGCTCACCTTGCTGGAGCTTGTCCCTCCCCTTGGATGGGATTCTAATCCATTGTAGGTACACCAGCCCTGCTCCCCCTCATTTTTTGAGGTTTTCCTGGTATTTGACAAGAACAGATTTATTCTCCTGGGTAGAAAGATGCAATATGAAAGATAAGGTTTGGTTTTATCAACTAAGTTGATGATAAATTAATGTAAATATATAAAAATCATATATGTGAACCGCAGGTTAAGGAAATGAATTTGAAAGCAATCTTCACTGTTGCATAAGTTGCTGATATAAGTTGGCCACAGTTAAAAGTTTCTAAAGCTAACATTTTGAGCATTCTACTTCCTCTATTTCTCTATTCCACTATTTTAATCCTGGATTTTATGCTAAATGCCTCAATCAACCTGCCCCAGGAGAGTGGTTAGACTATGGGATTCCCCACTCATCACTGATGACAGCCACTGGGTTAATTTTATAACTACCCCTGCGTAAAGAGTTTTTTTCAGTCGGTTTATTTCACTTGGTTTATATTCACTTGACATATTTTAACCTACAATTTCTGGTAAGTTAAAACACAAAAAGAGATAATTACAGGGTAAACTGAGCAGATGAGATTTCCTGGGTATGCGACAACTTGCATGATGTGAATTCCATTTCAGTAGCATGCTCTTAATTTGCAGTTGAATTATGAAAGCATGAACACATGATAATAATCTGTGATCAACTGTAACATTCATTACCATTGCATTATTGATTTATGAACTGACTGTCTTTCCAGTAACAATGCCTAGTCAAGGAATATTGAAGAAAACTTAATTTCGAGGTTGGGATGTGTGTAAACTATATTTATTCATAGCTGTATGATAACTGAGAAAATGTTTCTTTTTTTCAGAAATTCATTTTCCATAGATTCAATTAATCAATCAATTCTGAAATAGCATGGAAGCAAAGTATAGACAATTGATTGGCCCTCTGGGTATCTTATTTTCAAAAGTACAAAAAAAAAAGGAAAGAAGGGGGGTAAAGTCTATATATGAGCTAAGTGAGCTAAGTGGCCCATCCAGCTGGAGCTTAACCCAGTTTCCTTAGCATGAAGCGACTATAGTAGGATTATTGCCACTCTCCCCTCCTTGGAGAGAATGCCAGTACATCAAAAGGTCACCTTACCCCCCCTCCCCAGCATTTTGTAAGGCTTCCCTGACAATGCATCAATACTCATGACACTCCTGGGCTGGAAGAGGAACTGTGAAAATAAAGTATTATGCCTAAGAACACAACACAATGAACCCAGCCGAGACTCGAACCTAGTCCTCTTGTCCCAGAGTCCAGGGCACTAACCAATACGCCACCACATCTCCCCCTTTTCCCCCTTTTAGAAGTAATATTGGTTATTTTTGCTAAATTTTCAGAAATTCGGCTCATTTGTCCGTAATTTTTTTTTTTTTTACAGGAAGCATGTCTATGTCAGACCAGGCCTCCTCAGAGGATTCTGGCATGAATATCTCAGATAGACTGGGTCTGGATGTCATTTTCCAAGAAGAAGAATCAGCAGAACACCTCAGTCTTGATATGTGGGGAAGTTGTCGCGCCGACAACTTTCAACAAAAGCTGAAAGAAAATGAAAGTTTTAAACCACTGAGAGTCCATCTGATGAAACTTGTTTCAGACTACTTTAATAGGGTAAACGTCAGTTACTTTATTTATGGTGGTACAGCCCTAGCTGTTTATCGTGAAGGTGGAAAAATTATCAAACACGATGGCGATATAGATGTGGCTATTCTTGAAACTGATTTCTCTAACGTTGTCCGCAATATTGATAAATTTCCGGCATTGAAAGACGGTGATGTTTTAATGTCAGATGAATGTTCCCTTCGCAAGCGAGGCTGGTTTGATGGGGGAGGAAAGGAGATTCCATTTTGCGGAGTCGGAGGGAAACGTATAAAATTCATTGCCACTAGAAAGCTTTTCAGACAGTTTGGATTCGAGACCGATGAACATTTTGATATAGGTCTGGCACGTGTGGATGTTTTTACTCTTAGCGAACATCCCGATGATCCGAAATGCTTCTGTGTCAACTGGAATTTACCGGGTGTCTACGATTACAAAAAGAAAGCCTTCCCAAAATCAATATTTTTCCCTATAAAAACCTACTCTTTTGAAGGGCTGGAAGTTACTGGTATGAACGACCTCAAAGCTTATCTGGAGATAGAGTACGGGTATTTAGGCCGAGGCGCTATGTACGATTGTAAAACTCAGCTTTACGTCAAAATACCAAACAACTTGCTCACTCAACTTCCGGGACACATTCAGAAGTCTTTTCTTAATGATTCGTGACTTGCCTTTTTTAAGGATGTTCAGATTTTTTTCCTTTAAAGCGTGTCATAATTTTAGTATTCTGAGTTCAGTTCATTCCCCAATCGTACTTATCCTGTATTTTACTAATTTCCACGTCCAAGATGCAGTCTAGTGTCCAGTCAGTCACCTGTGTGATCCATAAGCTAGTAGTACGAAAATTCCTGCATGATATGAATGACAAAAAACGAGTCACTTTTTATAACGGTTTAAAAAAAGAGAGTGGCGCATTACTTTTAGGTTTTGCACGCACAGTCTTAAATGAATTCTGCCTAATCCATTATTACAAGTTTACTCAGTAGACAAAAGAAAATTTCCTTTTAGGGAAGTGTGTTTGAGTAGTTTACAGAATTGAAGTTTCTTTACAATAGTGCTTGCCTAGGAAACTTTATAAGTGTAGTTTTTGCTTTACACAAGTTGAAACCGTTTGAAACTGTTGTTGACTGAAAACGATTTGTTAATATCCGCGCATCAGGGCGCATGCTCATGTTTATGAATGCTATTTCTCATAACGTCACCAGCTACTCAGTAGTACTGAAAGGCTTAGCATTTTATGCCGCAGTCGGCGCCGAAAAAGTTCTCGGCATTTTCTTGACCAAAATTATAATTTTATATCCCGTACAACTAAACTAACTAATTTAAGACTGCCAAAGCAATCGAGAAGGACTGGATACTCTCCGTTATGGATTCTCGGAATCTCGGACACTCTTGCATTCCTTGGGTGACAGGGATAAAATCAGAAAAAAAGACAACTTGGGAAGCAATGTTGATTTGCAAATTAACCAATGACTTGTTCTCTAAATGGATTTTAGAATTTAAATCGCCAGTGAATGAAAACGTTCGCAGCTTAGTTCAAATTAACCCGCATTCAGTGACTTAACCGATGAGATTTAGTTTTATTCTTCCCGAACTGTACTTCGCTGAAAACACTTTTCTTACCTGGTCCCTCAGCAGGAGAAGCAACCAGTAAAACAAGGCAGAACAGCCTGCTACAAATAAAAACGAATCGCATTTCAATTATCTCGAGATTATTTCCCTCTCTTTTTTAACCACACAAAAGCAAATCTCAAAACGAACGAAACTTTGACGTTACAATGAAATGCTTATTATACTTCATAAAGGACTTTTACTTCAAGCACGAGCGCGCGAGGGAATCCGTCTTGATATATGAAGCTTGTCACATGCACGCGCGCACCAAGATTTGAAACTTTTCTTTGCAGATAATATAATTCCGCAAATAAACCCTGAGAACGGCACTTCTATTCTTAGAAAATCGAGCAAGCAGTGCTAACGACAAGATGAAACAGGATAAACAAAACCGACTGCTTTGTATTCCAGAACAATACGCACAGTCAGTCGTCTTCAGTCTTAAAATTAATTTCTGCCCTAGAGCCCTCCGTTTTGAGTATTTTCAAGCTAGTGACTCATCAGAAATCGAATATTGTCTTCGTTTTCAGAAACATTTTGGCGCAGAGTTGACAATTCACAAGAATTTGATGACGAGTTACTTTGCGAAAAGAATACTGTCGAGGTTGTTGAGAAGTTTGTTGGACTAAACAAAATTTGGGTGCAACTGAAGGAACGATGACCTGTCTAGATTATAATGTAGAACTATCTCACTAACCCACCCATCCCACAATTAAACAAGTAATGATCTCGTTATTTGGTATTATAAACCAAGTTGACAACGTAAATTGAACACCGTCGAGAGTTTCAAAGCTGACATTTCGAGCGTTAGCCCTTCGTCAGAGAGAATGGAGGAACCCACAATTCTTCCATTCGCTCTGACGAAGGGTTAACTCTCGAAACGTCAGCTTTGAAACTTTTTACGGTGGCCAATTTACGTCATCTACTCAGGTACCGTTCACACGGAGGCGGTTTCATTTGTAACCGCATCGGTTTCGATGCGGGCACGCCTTTCGTTTACTCGGCGCCGGTCGAGTTCGTTATCAGAACCGGGTCGTTCTGAAACCAGCTTTCAAAAAAGGAGCGTTTTCAAAACGATTCGGTTTCATTGGTCGTGTAAACGGCGAGTCAGTTGATGATTCTGAATTTACCCTTTACTAACGATTTGGTTACCCAGCCTCACGCTTCGTGAAAACTCTCCAGTTTGGACAGAGGCACAATTTGTTTGATAGTGTAGACACTAATTGCAGAGGTTTTCAAACAGATGTTAACGATAAAAGTTATTATTCCATGGTATTTGCTTAGAATCTTTTAGTCCGTACCAGGCTTTTTTTTTTATCCTACTAAGGGCTTCCTCAGGATTTGAATGGTTTCAACTCAAAACGCGCTGCCGGAATCATGCATTGTGGCTTCGGTATCTTTCTTAAGATCTTCTACAAAGAATAATAATTCCAAACGTTATGCATGCACTAACATGTAAGAGAAACTGTACAGTAAAGGTGTTACATTTATTAAGCGTTGGATACAAGAACAATTATGAACGGAAAGAAGATTTTCACCACGAAGCGGGAAAAAATCTTTACATCTTTCCTATGAAATGAGAAATGTTACTTAAACCTTTTTCCTTGAAATATCAATGAGTCCTGTCCTTACAATCAAAATAATATATGAAAAAGTGGAATAAAAAAAGCTTGCTACTTTCTACAGCTTTTGACTGAAAATCTTCGTGTCAAAAACTGCGTTAGGTAAGTGAGATTACACCATGAGAGCAAATCCCAACAAAAGCGAGATACAGCTGGCCATAAGAGAGGCGCTCGTAAAAGCAGCCAAGGCCACTGGCGGCAATGGTTTTGGTTTAACAAGGTCTTTGTTGTTGCACATGTCTGTCTGGCAGCAGGCTACTCCACACTTGGTCACTTTAACTCCTGGAATCTTGTCAACATACTTTCTTACGCCTTCAGGACCACAGTTCTCCGTTTCAAGTTTGGAACAAAGGGTCTGTAAAGAGAAAAGCAAGGTGATTTAAAATCTGAATAGGACGGAGGGAAGGTATGATTAACTGGCTGGCTGGCTTCTTGATGACTGTTGGGCTAAGTGACTGACTGACTAGGTAACTAACTAACTGGCAGATTGTTTAACTTTTTGACTGACTAACTGAATGAGTGAAAAATGTCTAGCCGGCTAAACTAACTGATTCACTGTCAATTAACCAGACCGACCGAAAGACTAACCGTCTGAAGAACTCCCAGAGTTATACTCAACCTACCATTTGCCCGCATGTCATAGTATACGCCTGCTTTTCCATGCCAAGTTTCAACTTGACCATCATTCCGGTGGTCACGCATGCGTCAAGAACTCCCGTACAGTTAGTATAGGAACTATTTGACACTGAATCACACATAGACTCAAGTCCGCCAAACTTGCAGCTGAGACACTTTATTCCAAGAGCTGAAATTTCAATTCACAGGAAATATTATTGCTTCATATATAAAACGTGGTTTTGTTTTCTAATTTTTTTCAAATCTCTACTTAAAAGCTTTTACGGTGTCCGCTAAATAAAGAAATAGGAAAGTGTGGGCTGAATGAAGAGTCGGCAAAAGTCGGGTCATCTGTTGGTGTTCGCTTCATTTGTGGTCTGCTTAGAACAGGCATCATGATAAAACAATTTGGAACAAAAAAGCCAATTCCTGACTGTCATAATCACACAATCGAAGAAAGAGTTTATTTGATAAACCTATTACTATTTCTTTAACAACATGCAAATTACCATAAAATGATTCTGGTTTATCAAATGTGCAAGATTTAAAAATGAATTTCTTAAAATAAATTATCAGTAAAAACACACTGCAAAAACAACAGTCCAAGGTGACGCTAATACGCAGTTGAAGAACTTATTCAAACACCTGGCTTGATTTGGGTAAAATTTCCACACAGCCCTATGCATTCAGTTCTTGGATAGAGGAAACAATGACAAAAACAATAGATTGCCATTGGGAAAACAGATTTGTTTTACAATAGTATGGGGCTGTGCGGAATTTTTACCCTGATTTACTGCGTGTTCAATACCAGCGGGAAAAAAAGTTGCACACCAAATTCTGTGTTTGGAAATGCAATCGTAAACGGTGAGGCTCCGTAACATTCTTGTGGTCTCAAACCACTGGATTGCCATACAATGCGGTACTTTTCAAGACAAATCGCTGGCATTTTGTTTTGTGCTTTTTTGTTGCGGGCCAAGTGTTATTCAGTAACCACACAGGAGCCGCCATCTTTTGTATCCTTTTTTGGTACGTGTTGGATCTTCCTTTGGGTCTGATTCACAAAAGAAGCCGTGGCTCGTTAGTAAGTTCATTGTTAGCAGTGTGTTGTTACCACAAACCACAATCAAGAGCTCAAAGGTAGTGGTGCCTCATCACAAATGATTCCTTTCGAAAAACTTGTTATTGAGAAGATGATTGGAGTTTACAGAGTCTGAAATAAAAACAAGACTAGGCAGCAACAAAACGAACTGCAAACGACGACGGCGCCGACGGACAATTGAATTCAGACACTTTTATATCTTTTCCTTTGAATGCAAAAGCTATCGTGAGTCACTTCTTAAACTTGTTGTCATTATTATGTTAGAAGATGCTTTATTCTTTACACCGCAAGCTGTATGAGCTTCTTAAAGGAATGGTGCGCGGCAAAAAATAAGTTCACTGGTTTCTTTGCGAAAATATGATGAAAAATGACACTTTTTGTTTCACCTGCTTTATAACAAAGAGATAATTTTGTTCAAACCCTTGACTGTTAGGATAACTCCTCGCGGCGAAATGAGCAATTAGCGAATATTTTCTTTATTTTTTAAGTATCATTGTAGAAAAGTCTTCAGAAAGCAATGACTAAAGGTAGCAAGGCTCTGTCCACAATGTCTGTATATATATTTGAATTGAAATTTTTTATATAAAACTTGCCCCTAAATAAATATTTAAACATTGCTCTTTTTACTTAGATAGTCGCAACAGAATATTAAGTAAGGCGTGTTATTGTTTGAGTAATCAAAGAGGTCACAACAACGGAAGTACTGAAATTAGCATAACGCTTTTCAACGCCTTTTATGTGAAAACGTTAAAAGCTTTTGCAGCAGGACTGTGGATTAAGAACGTTTTAAACCTTGAAACAAGAAAATTTCCAGGATTTTTGGATAACAGCGCTTAAACACATCGGCTACCTTAATACAAGTCGTCAAGCTGTCCACAGCAGACAAGAAAATTGGTCCATAATGTTGACTGAAATACCGAATCACTGATAATCTTAGAGATTTTAACTTAGTAAATCTGTGTGTGATTTAGCAAACTAGAATGAATCTCATGCACTTATTAGCTTTTGAACAATGTTTACTGATATAAATTTTCTACCCTTGAAAAAATAAGGCCTTACGTCATATATATGTATTAATATATCTTCCAAAAACGAGCACTGGAAATCAAACAAGCAAATGTCTCTCTGCATTAAAACTGATAGGCTTTTTTTAAAGTAATTCAGTTAATTCTAGTACTTACCACATGGAAGAGCAATTAGCAGTACACTAATCAGGATTGAGCCTTTCATCGTATCAATAGAAATAAATCCTCTGACACTAATCCTCTGGTCGCGTCTTTCCAGATTCTGTAGCTACAATGAACCAACACACCCTGACGTCATGGTTTTAATTGAAATTAATGTAGTTACCAGGTCTCCGTGACAGATTCTGTCGGTGGAATGGTGGCGGCTTTTCGACCTTCGCACGCCACGATGACACCAGTTCGATTCAGTGAAAACCCCAGAAGTTTTTGAAATGAGTCTTTTAACGGAAACCAATAAGGATATTTGAAGTGCCAGCTTGATAGAAACCGTCCACCCAGGTATTTATACAGGAATTAACCTTTTAACTCTCAGAAGTGATTAAAGGGTAACTTCTACTCTGTTATAGTATCCATACATGAGATCATCCAGCAAACAGGTAACGAGAATACTCAAATTTATCAGGTAGAAGTTGTTATCTTGAGCTAACACTAAATTTACAAGGAAATGTGTAATAGCTACTGGGGAAAGTTCACAATTAGATCTTGGGAGTCAAAGGGTCATTTGAACTGATTCTAGAGCGAAACAGATAGAAAAACAAACGCTAATGTCGGCATCGACTCCGTGGTCAATTGCTTCATCACCGAGCAATTGGCTAGATAGTTTCCTATGTATCTCCATGTGATTATACTGTAGTCCGTCAAATTTTTTTAATTTTTCGGCAGGAAGCTGGAAACATGCAAGAGGTATCGTTTGTAATTATTGTTGCTCTAATTAACAATTGGTTCATACATCAGCGTGTGTTCATCGAGATATGAAGCACGCGGGAAGTTTGGAGAGCTCGAAAGATGCGTAAGAGTAGCTCTAGCTTCTTAAGTGCTCTCCAAACTTCCCAAGTGCCTCATATTTCGATGAACGCACAGCTGACGTATGAACCAATTGTTTTATAACATTTTCAACCCGATGTAAAAGTAAAAAATTGCGGAGGAAATTTCTTTCTCGAGGGATTTGTTTGCTGACGTCATGAGCGTGCACAATAGAAATATGAAGCACGCTCACGCAGTTGAATTTGATTAGACAAATTTACTAGCTATGTTATAAAGCATCTTGTAGTGCACTACACTACTTTTTGGTTTTTATAATTCAAAGAAGGATATCTTGTTTTTTTAACCTTTCGTGCAGCCTAAAAGAGACCTTTACTGAAATGACACGACGGATTTTCTTTTTTCGGACTGACTACAAAATTATGTATTCATGGCGGAAATTGTTTACCATTTCCATGTCTTCTATGAACAAAATGATAAAACAATATCAAAGCGAACGAAGGCCAAAACTAAGGATGCGCAGTGGTCGACTGTATGCGATCAAAAGTTCGTAAAAGACCCCCCGAGTATCCACCCATTTCGGGGTCAATAATACGTTTAGAAGAGAAGTAGAGATAGAAATGAGTTGATTTGCGCCCTCTTTAATAGTAATATAAAGTGAAAACTCAATTTAAATAATCAAGTGCACTTAATAAAAATTTAAAAATAAACAGTAGAACACAAAGAATCATAAACATCAAAATATTTGATAGCGTAGAGCTGACAAACCATTGTCTAGATTTCCTAACCTCTGTTATTTTTCTTTACCTGATTGGTACTTGAAAAACGTTTCTAAAACGAAGCAGCATAATCATGCTTTGAAAAAATACCACTAATCACAAACTTAAATAGTTGCTGAGGGTTAGCACACCAAATCCCGAGTTATTTTCACGACCTTGCAGAAAGCCAAAGTGGCGGCCTTTTCGGCTCGCCTCTTTCCACTAAATCGCAGTAACAGCGATTCCAGCTGACAAGAGGAACACGAGGTTGATAATCAAGGATACCTCAGAGAATGGTGCCACGGATTTAGCGGTGGGTGTCGAAAGTACCACGAGGTCTTTGGTGTTGCATTTATCGGTATAGCAGCAACTGACGCCACAAGCATCTACTTTGGAGCCTGGGACTGCCTTGGTTAAGGACGTCACATTTTTACAGCCGTCTGTGGTTATTTTGGAGCACGCAGACTAAGAAAAAAAAATCGAGCTTTTCGTTAATAGCGACTGGGTGATGATTTTTAGAAATGTTAAATGAAAAAACTAATATCTTAGAGAATAAAGGAAAATTGTATTCGCTCTGTCTGATGTTATCTGCTTTAACAAGAAGGCGGACTAAGATGAGAGCACGAATTCCGAAGGCCATTTGATTCAATTCCTCGCCGAAGACCCACATTCTCTCTTCGTTCCATGCTCATAGGAAAACATATCATATCTGTCTTTATTCGAGGACCCAGCCAAAAATTTACTATCTTTTCAATGTTATTAGGTAGAAAAAGTCACCTCTCAGGAGTGTCTGTTATTTATTTTCAGTCTCTCGAGATACCGACAGGCCTTAAGGAATCACACTTTTTTCACTGAGGCTTTCATTCTGGTTCTAAGTCCTTGACACAGGGTTTTCCATTTCGTTATTTTGCGTCTTAACTGGGTGGGGACTTGGCGATGCGTGGTTTACATTGGTAGAGTTGAAAAAATTGCTTGAGGGGAAGTTTTCAATTGAATATCGAATCCGGGATTGTATTGGTTTTGTTCAACCTCGCCTAGTAATTAGTCCAGAATTATCTTGCTATCCTCTCAACCAATCAGATGCAAACTAAAAACTAATTGCTTCTTGGTCGCCTTCTTTGAATTCTCATTGGCTCACGGGGACATTTTCTCTGACTGGTTTTTGCGATTACTCTAGTTTTGTTATCACGACACTCAATCGAAAAGTGCTCTAAATCTATCTAACTTTGAAAGATGTTTTCTCATTATGGACATTCTTCCCATAATCAACACAATTCGTTGTCTTACACAGGGTAGTATAACGAACGGTTTGAAAGAATCAGCCACCCCTCCCCCTTCCCACCCTAACTATCCCGGTTAAGTGCACCCCCCTACCCCCGGACCACATAATGAAAAATTGCCTTTTGAATCTCAGAACTTGTCTGATTAACAGAGAACGTAAATTGTAAGGGAAAACTCAACACAAGCCAGAAAATATCTAAAAACAATTTTGCCTAGGTGTTAGGTCTGCTCTCGTTCTTTTTAACTTTTTTCTTTCCGCTTTTTTTGGTAGTATTTTTGCCTTATTAAAATATTTTTTATGGCTTGTATTAGACATTGACATACTGGCCAACGTAAACAGGTAAATATTATCCGCCGACCAGGACAAAAAAAAAAGTGAAAATAAGATTTCTGTCGATGTTGTTGGTTACTATTTTATAGCACGCTTACCTTCATGCTGCATGACATCATTCTCATGTCCATTTTTAACTTTGGAAGCTTCAGACTGATATGCAATCCAGATGTTTGGCATGCGTCATACATTCCCGTGCAATTAGTTACGGTAATGTTGTTACCAGTGCACATGTTCTGTAACCCTGGGGTGCAATCGTAGCACAGTAATCCCAGTGCTGTAGACACAAAACGGAAAGGCGTTACCAATTTTTTAGGTAATATAATCAATTGGAATCTTTCTCATCATTGAGCAGGCGCTAATTTTAATTATATTTCGCTTCAGTTTAAAATGTGTACCGAGAGCCGAAATTACTTATCCTGTTTGAAGGTTAATTTGTTTTTTAAATTACACACTGAAAATTTAAGGGTGGCTGATTCGTCAAGCAGTTCTAACACTAACCATGACAGGGAGACAAAAAAAAAACACAACAAAACACAACACAGGTTGCTACTTGCCTAACCTTCCCTAGTTATCCTTATAATTTTGTTCCTTTTTATTGATTTTTCTTTTCTCGAATCTTTGAATCAAGCGATAAAGCAAAGAGAGAGTTACGCGCCACTGCCTGTTTTGAAACACAAGCCTTTTTTATACTGAAACGCTTCCAAGCCCGAATGAATGATGCTAGTATATACCATTTGCATAGTATCAGAGCATTTACTGTACATACGTGTGGTTTGGACAAAGCCCAAGAGCTGACTGTTTCATATAAAAAAAATGTTGTGGAGGGACAAGAGTTGTAGCTTTTGACTGACAAAGCCTGCCTAACATACTTGCACAAGTTTACTCTTAAGTTACTTAGCACTGTCCTATCAAACGAACCAAACAGCAAGACACAGAAAGAGGCAAAGACGGTGTTCTGAAAATAGTTGCGTACCTAACACCAATTATTCCTTTTGATGATCACCAAACCCCAAAACGTTCTTTGTTGACATGTTAATCCCTAGATGCATCAGCTTCGGTTAAATCATCATTGTTATGTAAATGCTTTTGTTCTGTTTGACACCTTGATCAGGTAAAAAGATTTAGGTGTAGTTTTCATTCGGTAGGCACTTGTAAGAGATACAAGATTTGCATGTCAAACGAACTAAACATTAAAATTTTACCTAGCACAAAAATTATAGAATGATTTCGTCTAAAGAGAATTTAATTTTAATGCCGAATTCACAGCACAGTTCCTATCTCTCAAAACAAGAAGAGATAAACGGGGACCTTTATTCAGGGAAGTTTATAATCGGCTGGATGTATTATTTTGCTCATATCTTGAGATGGCTTCAAGGCGGTAGTTGACCATAAACTTAAAAAAGTACTGGACCACAAAATACTTAACGCTGAAACTGTTCCTTTCGTTTAAACAGGTTATAGTTTACATGCAATGATTATTATTAATCGTTTTGTATCTCTTTTTTGTAAGCTCAATCATGAAAAATACATTAAACGTCAACAGAGTTAGATTCCCAAACCGACCATGTATGATAATTATAACTGAAGGCGTAGTAATCTTAAGCGAAAATTTGTTATTGCCGCCAAGATTTCTCCCCTGCCCTTCTTTTTAACTTAATAAGCTTTCCATAAATCATGATTCTTAACATTAGTGACATTCGACAAATAATAGACACATATAGAAAAAGGATATATTCGAGACATATCTATTCCCTGCTATTAACTTTAAATCGTGCGCAGCCATACAAATCATGGTACTAAGCTCATTCCAGTGGTTTTTTTTTTTTCAAGATTTCCGTAGCACTCATCATGATAGATGGGGTTAGGAACAGCCAAAACGATTATCTCCAATAAGATGTAAAATGATAAGAAGATATTTTAAAGTTTGCAATTCTAAGGGCTGGTTTTGCTATCAAGTCGATTTAGCGTAGACGTAACTTAACAGAAAACTGCAGCAAAATAACTGAAATCAAAACGAATATTGATTAAAACAAAGCACATAACAAAAACTACCTACCACAAGGTAAAGAAGCTGTTACAGACAGAACACAAATCAAGAAAAAATTCATGTTTAGCGCTGTAAATTAGCCGACGGCTGCCTACAGGGAATAGTTGTTTTTCGTTAGGTACTGAATTCATATTAGCATAGTTCAATAATTCATAACTAAATACTGTCGTGAAATGAGACATTTTTGGCTAAGGTTTGTTTCGGGCCAAGCCAAACTTCATAAATGCGATATTTGGCAATACCAACCTGCCTCAAATTCCTGCCACATGATAAAATGCATTAAACGTACTACATTCTGATATGCAGCTGCACATCAGCTTTTTATAGAGAACTACGCTGTCCAAGGTAAATGAAAGCCAGAGAAAAATTAATGAGTCAATAAATTTCCTTCTCGTGATACTTTCAGTCCTGACGTCTACTTTTAAAGGTGCAATGAAATCGATTCCTTTACAAACAGGAAAGTTTCTGAAAAATTTGTATACATGTACGACATGAATAGTGGAGTTTTGGTTCACATAATTAATTTCTGAATTTGGCTTTTACCTTTTTAAAGTTTTACTTTCTGCTATTTTCCATGACAAATTTGCACAATTAGGAATATGTAGACTTTAATGGACCGAGTAACCTGAGTAAATATCATCCTTTGCTGTCCCTTTTTCTACTGATATCATCACCACGGTGATCGCGTAACGTAACAACGTGAATATGAAACCAATAAGCGAAAACTTCCAACCGCAATGGTACGTTAGAAATGAGCAAATACGATAATTACAAGTCGTCAAAATGCACTTTGTCTCAATAAAAACGTTTGTGTCGCGGACTGGAAAAGTCGCTGTTTGCTTTTTATCATGGCGGCGCCAAACCGGATAATTGATACTCAAAAACCTTTTCAAACTATCACCATAAAACCCGTGGAAAACAGCTTGCCTGTTTAATTAATTTCGTATCAATATAGCAGTTAGAATGACTCTCTCATGAGACAGGTTACGAACTACTACGCAAGAAGAGTTACTGAAAAGTTTATAAAAAGGAATCAGAGGATCAGATATATTAAAGAATTCTTAACAGGCCAAAAGAATAGCAGCTAAAATGAACACTGTACGGACATTAGTGGGTAATCAAATCGAAGATTTGTATAAGGAAAACAATACGTCCCAAGTCCAACATTTTTATTTGCTTGGTTATTTATCAATCTATCATTTTTTTTGGAAAAATGAACTTACACTGACACGAACCTTCCTGAACAGACGCTGACATTAGAATTAAGCACCTCATTTACAGAAACCCTTTCTAAGCAAACAACTCGATAAGAAATTTTCGCTTTATCTCTCTCCCATTGCAATTAAGATTACATTGTTGACTTATTGAAATCTGTGTTCTATTGACTCAAAGGTTCCGTTTGAAAGGCCGCGGATCGCTCACTCTGTTCTATTTAGTGTTTAACAATAAAAACAGTTCTATGTAATTTACTGGACTTGTCTAACTTTGATACAGGCGGGAATCCAGCGGGTGGCCGCTTAGTTCACTTATACTATATATAGAGTGGTTACAAAAGATGAGAAATTTGATCGGCTCCAAAATTTGAATTATTTGTCTTTAAATAGTAAAAAACAAACAAAAACAAACAGACTCTAGCACCTGGTTAACGTTGTTTTCAGCAACTCTTACAATTATCTCTGCTCAAAGTCAGTACACACAAAAAAGCACATAGAGTGCGCTTGTAAGGGTGATGGCGAATGATACAACTTTGTTGTATGTTGTGGCACCACTAGAAGGTTTCGGTGGGGTTCCTGTGGCCGTAGTTTTTACAGGAACACTGGTTGCCGGGCCACTTGGTGAGGCGTTTACACTTGGTGAGGTGTTTACACTTGGCGAGGCGTTTGCACTAGGCGAGGCGTTTACACTTGGCGAGGCGTTTACACTTGGCGAGGCGTCTACGCTTGGAGAGGCGTTTACACTTAGCGAGGTGTTTACACTTGGCGAGGCATTTACACTTGGCCAAGCGTTTACACTTGGCGCGGCATTCACACTTGGCGAGGTGCTCTCTGCAAGCCCGTTGCACTTGTTCTGTTCACAACACGTGGCTTCGCATTTTTCAAAGGTCATTCCAGGTGGCAGTAGCGAGGCATTGCAAGACTTTGCCTGGAAGTCTTGGCACATTGACTGTGTAAAGATTGAAATAAGAAAAATAAATAAATGATAGTAATTGTCGAAAAGAGTTATTTCTTGAACATTTTTAGGGAGTAAGCTGAAAGAGGTGGGAGAAATTGTCAAAGCTTTCGTGTCAGCATCCATCCTTTCTGAAAAGGTGGAAATGTTTTATCATAAAACAAACTTGTTTGTTTGCAACCTGTTAGATTTAATTATTATTGTACTCCCCATCCCACCCCAGCCTCTTATATCGAAACACTTATCCACACCTCTGAATTAGTTACTTGCAACGAGATTTTGTGAGAGAACTTTGATTGTTTACAAGTGATTCACCTCTCTGCCGAGATTGATGCACAAGAAATTATTTTAGAACAGTTTTAAACTGTGTCGAAATTCTAAACTAAACTGGGACTGTTTTGAAATTGTTCTACACCACCACAAGGCGTAGTTCCACGCGTCTTAAATGAGAGTGGCTTACACTGCTGCTCTTTCATGTGTATCATTGAGCGCGAGTTCACCAAGCTCAAGCGGTGAGAAGGACAGATAGATGGGGTATATAGAACCTTATAAGGTCTATACCATTAAGATTCTTCGGATTAGCACGTTTTCACGAACCTGAATTACAGAAGGCTTTTATGGAATAGACTGAGAGCCAAACTTATCTATAATAGAGAAGGGTAAAAGACACCCCCGGACCACACCATATCCATGCCTAGGATCACCCCCTATTTATGCCCAGCCCCAGGACCAACCCCCTAACTATGCTCCCTGTACCTCTACACCATCCACTGAAACAGTCGCTTCGCTTTTTTTTTCCTTTTTTTATCTACTCTCAAAGGCGTCGTGATAACGCCGGAATGACGAGCCGAGATCTTAGTTTTATGAAATTTTTAAAACTTTGACTTGAATAACGTTAATAAACTTAACCAGTTTAGCAGAAAAAGCCATATTTTAACTGCGAAGGATCAAAGCTTACCTTCGTTCCACAGCTAAACATATTCATAGTCTGGTTCATTCGCCCCATTTTCGCTACGGCTAATCTTTTGCTACACACGTCAGCCATGCCTGATGGTACGGTCGGATCCGCGTCACAATCGGTGACATTCAAATCAGCCAGCGTTGTGCATGACACTGTAGGTGGGTTTGGTGCGCAAGTGTAGCAGGTGATGGCCAGAACTACTGAAATGATAGAGTTAGTTCACAAATTGATCCCCAAAATTTATCCATTATTATTTTATCGTGAATTATCATTCAAGGATCCAGTACGACTTGAATTTGACATTATTCAACCTCGTTATCGAAGGAGGAAAAGAGAGGACCCTGGAAACGAGGCTTTGTGTCTTTTTGTAAAGACCTTCCCGCGAAAGATGTGAGAGCGTAGGGATCGAGATTCGCACATTTTCATCTTTATTTCGATACTACGTTTTTTTTCAGTGATCATACTGTCAATACTTGGATTGTTAGCTCTCTCTATCTTATTAGACGATTCGCTGTTAGAAGCACTTTCTCTATCAACAATTGTTTGGGGGGACCAGCTAAGGAAAGCTACTTGTCAGCCAAACATGACATATTTGAATTTGAAAGGTACATATTAACATGGAATATCAGTGTTTTTACGGATGTGTTAGGGAAAAGCCTTCTATAATAACCAACAACAATGATACCACTAGAACGAGTCCTGTGCACTGTAGCACGATCAGGGTTATTGTTCCTTCACGACGAGAGTGAGTGGACAAATTTTGAATCAAATATTGCTTGAGGTGTTGATGAATTGCACCAAACATTTTGATTTGAGCAGTTCTTTAACGGCAAGCTGTGTAGCATGATTCATGATTTGTTGAGTGAGCCGACAATATTTAACTGGATTAGTTTGCTCGGTGCTATCTGTAGATGAATGTCTGATTAAAATTATCTTTGGACGAATTTTTGTGGCTTCTAGGAAGCTTTGTCGTGTGACATCGTTTTTGAATGATATGCAATGTTAAGAGGTGTTTTCATTGAACAACAATTTTTCTACGAAAGATGGTTGGTGGTTTGGTTGCAGTCAAATTCATGGTAAACATCGTGGTGTGTTACTCTTGGATCGGGTCTTTCGATATTAGAAGTTTGAACAGTTGCAAGTGTGTTGCAAGGTGGATTTTGTGTTATTGTTGGCTGTTAAGGGAAATTGTTTGGCTGTTTCGAGGGTAATTTTGAGAACACTGGACGAATGGAAATGTTTTTGATGCCTGGAGAAAGTGATCTTGTGGAGTCGTTTGGCTAAGGACGAATTCGGATACCATCGTTAGTATGTGTATTTGATTCTGTTATCTGGAAGGAATGATTTGCGGAGGTATAAGTTAGTAGTAGGATGTGATTTACTAACGTTGAAAATATATCAAGTCGAAGGAACAGTTTTGGTCTCGGTCCGCATTTTAGTCAACAAAATAAACACATACCGCTTAAAAAGATGATAATACGGACCACGTGCAAAGCTGTCAATTTTTTCTCGTATATTGCGCGTGTTAAATAGTCAATAGTGACATCTCATTTACATCTATTAAGTTGGTAAAATCTGTACAGACATCACACCAACCAACTCGCACGCAAAGTGAGGAGACTATATGAAGGCTTGAAATTGTATTAAGTCTGCATTTTGTACCCACTCTGGAGTCTGCAGTCTGCAGTCTACATTTTGTACTTAGTCTACATTTTATATCCGGTCTGTACTCTGCAGTCTGCAGTCTGCATTTTGTACTAACAGGTATCCGTGGCACCAATACAGTTTACTTTTGGTTATAGTTATTCGCACAACACACACAATCAACCACAAAATACCTGTGAGTGAGTTAATTCGACGTTTTCGTTCTTTTGCGCGCTAATACTCTTTTCTTTTGTAAAAATGTAGACATCACTTACAATGTTTCAATTAATTCATCCACCCACCCGAAAAAATAACTCTTGCATGCATAGCATGCTTATGTTTTAACCTAGACACCGGTGATCCACACTTATGGTGAACTGACCGATTTATTCTTCAAGCTTGTGAAGCTAATCACAGAATTACAGATTTCTGTTTTGCAAATCCTAAGCATATTTCCATTTCGCAACTGACAGAGTTTCAATTCGTTTCGTTTCGTTTCGCAAATTACAGTAAGCCGAAGTAAGTGGTGAAATAAGCATAGTTGGGTAAAAAAACTGAGAAATTACTGCGTGAAACACTACTGGAAACCTTAAAAAGTTATATGCAAAATAAATACATTCAAAGATTAGATAATTGAGGTGCTGTCTGGCATGACTTGAATCCACTGTTCGCACGAAATTCACCTCTAACAAATAAAGACGTAAGCTGTTCATAGAAAACATTTCCTTTGTGTCAGTGTTAGAAGAAATTTCCTAACACTCGTCGTTCAGTTGACCATTTCTTTCATTCTCTCTTTTATTAACCAAGTTAATACAACGGGGACTAGCTCTGGTCTCTCAAGGAAAGTGTGGGTCACCGCTTATAAGGGTGACGCTTACTGAGCTGTCAATCTCTAACCTTCGTCATGCTTTTACACTTAACCAGCGAATCACACTAAGCTACGCAGAGCAGAGTTCGTATACTAAATAGGCACCTTCGCGATGTTTACGCTTTACAAATGACTTTCTACTTTAAATTTCTTAGTCTTACGGTCAAGGTCGGGTGAAAAAAAAACGAGATTGGTAATATAAAAATTATAATAAACTTGCTAACAGAATTAAAATCATACTTGAAAAGATATTTTAAGATAAAATAGTCTTCGAAGACTGTTGCATAACAGTAGAATAAACAGAAAATTCGGAGAAGAAAGGGCGTACCCAAGGTACCGCCCCTAAAAGAGCCACATGCTAGCTGTATAAGTTTTCTGATTAATAATTCAGTGCGGAGGATGAAAAGTACTACATGTTTACACCTTAAGTCACCTCTAAAAAAAGAGGAATTGAACGTGCTAAATTAAATTTTAAAAAATATTTTCCGGATAAGGAATACGACATGAATTTAGCCTAAAAACGGGAGTATTAAAGAGGTGAAAGTATAAGGGAGGGTTATTTCCACGAAATTCCTTTATCAATTTTATAAGGTAGAGTCATATTCTTAGTAATAAATTATCTTTTAGCAACATAATGGAAGTATACCGATATCTAGCCGCAAACCGCAGTTTACGTAAAAACATCTGTCTCCACGTCAAATTCACGATCATAATAAGGAAAAAGGTGACCAAACTCTACCTGGAAGGTAAGACCGCCAAAAGGAATAAGAAATGATCACTGGCTTTTTACAATGTTTAATGAATGGCTTACGCTAATATATTACTTCCATTCATTTTCCAACACCAATATAGGAAACCCTTACAATGTTTTTGGATTAGATATATTACTATTTTTATCGTTTAACATCAGTTTACACCTGTGAAGTCGGTGAGATTCACAGTTCACACCCATTATCAAAAAACCAACGTTGAACAGCGCGACAGCGACAATCGACTTTTGATCGTTTTGTTTACAGCCGCTCTTTTGGACAGTGGGTTTTCTTTTTAGGGTCCATTGCTACTCTGAGTCTTAACAACACTCCTAATCGTTTTTTAAACGCTTACATACACTGCCATACTTAAAGCTTTACCATAATTTGCCAGATTGAACTATCTATCGCAAGAATTCCATGCGAATTCAAGCGACAATTCACTTACCGTTTGGTAAAGCGAACAATGGCAAAATGTACAGAAGATAGCCGTTCATCTTGAAGAGCATCAAGTGAAAGCACCTCCGTCGGGATTGAAGTCAACGACAACCGCTAATGCAAGTAACCATATGGACTCGAAAGGCGGAATCGGGAATTATCTAATTCTTTGCGGCTTTCTAACACCTGTTGTAATGGAAAAGTTGATAAAGATCTCACTCCCATCAACCAAAACATTGTCAAAAACACGATTAACTATCTTATAGCTAGACGAGAATTACAGGCCACTGCAAAAAATCTCACCATCACCACTCCTAGAACCTCGTGTATTTACTTTTTACCTAAAATCCACAAACCTAACAACCCAGGTCGACCCATCGTCCCTGCCCGCAGTTGTCTCACCGAAATTGTTTCCAGCTATTTAGACAAAATTATGGCTCTTATCGACAAAACTTTACCATCATATATTATAGAAAGCCAACACGCACTTTAAATTTTTCACGAATTTAATTTCCTTAGCCAAGACAAAGTTCTTTTGGCGATGGACACTATATCTCTTTATACTGTAATTCCCGATGGCGAAGGTCTCCTGGCCTTCGAACATTTTGAAGTATTTATTTTTTTATCAACGTGCTGTTAAGGAACCTAGCTCTAAAACACCACTAAACTGTTAACGGTGGCCAATTTACATTATCATGTCAGTTGATAATACCAAATTGCCTTGTTACATGTATACTCTTCCACCGATGCAGCACCACAGTTTCTTAAGAAACTTACCCCCCTTTATTTATCCAGTAACATGATGCCTCGTTCAATGATCTGACCTGATCTCGAAATCGCGCTCATCGTAAAGCCACCGCGTTTCCTCATTACGCTTTCACATTACTGTCCCAATCGTCCCAGAAGACCTTTTCTTGGACGCCTGAAACGACCCAGAATATCATATGGAAACCAGCCATAAGTAACAGTCTAACTTTTATGAGAAAAACACATCGTGAAGATCGAAATCGTTAAATTTAATTCTAAATTTGTCTCTGATTAATAGGAGAGAAAGTCTTTGGTTAATCCTTATCTCAAGGATATGAAGGATTTGACAAAGGTCTTTTGACAAACATACATAAATTTGTTGGTCGGCTTTTGGTGAGAAGTCAAAGCTTTAACAAGACAGTGCAAAGAGAAGATATCACATCCTTACTCTTGGCAGCATAACGAAAGGTTAACTTGAGTATCTATGCCCAAATCCGCTGAGTACATAACGAGTAAATAATCTTCCCCCAGAAATAATCAAAGTCGCACCAATTGAAGCACAAATTGAACTTCCCTTGTTCGTAGGGGGGGTCATTATAATATTACAGAGCCTCATAGAAGGATCAGCTTGATTTTACTGTGACGTTACCAGAATCCTTCGATCCCTACTTCATAAACAGGCGTTCTTTAAATCGCTAGGTTGCTTACTTTTAGCGGCGCAGTTAGATATAACTCGACTAAGATCGTAGGAAATACGTAGTAAACAGTTTGGTAAATTGATATAATATTGGAATGGAATCATTACGGTGATCGCGTAACGTAACAACATTAACATGAAACCAATAAGCGAAAACTTCCAACCACAATTTTTGCCCATGTAAGGTAATCCGGATTCCGGAATCCAGGAAATTTTTGCTTGTGGAATCCAGAATCCGGCCAAAGAATGAATTCAGAATCCATTTGCTGAAAATTCATTTTCATTTCGTATTAACGGCTTTCACGCGCATCCATGGTCATGCTAAAACGCAGACTGCAGACCGTGCAGATCCCACAGACCGTGCAGACCATGCAGACCGCGCCTATTTCGTTGGAGAATTTCGACTGTTACAGCTCGCAAGACACTGACAAATTTATTCATGACCTATCACCCAATCGACTTCAACACTGACCTGGCCAAAGCCAATAATTACAAGTCGT